TACAAAATAAAATCAAATAAGAGGTGTCAATTTAATTTTGATTTAACGGTAATAAAGTGATTACAAGTTGATGTAAGAAAAAAAAATTATAAATATAACCTACCACTATAATGGCCGACTTTTAGTAGTTTAAAATTCCACTCCAACTTAGAAAGCAAGAAATGGAGTCACTAAAGTAATTTGTATACACATGTCCATTCAATTTACTTTAATTCCAAGTTCAATTTCTATTTTGTTCTTTATTTTCAATGTATTAATATTCTGTTCATATTCACTTTAGTCTTTAATTTTACCAAAACTCAACAGAGCTTTAAGAAATAATACCTTCGCCCAAAAGTGACAAGACAAGGAATAAGGTTGATAATCCAAGCTGGTAACTTTCGCTCAAAATATATCAATAAGATTACAATATAGTCAATTAATTAATACATTATAAAAATGTGAGAAAACCAAAGTGCAATGTCCTTTGATTTTTATAAGTCATATTACTAATTATTATTATTTTAACAAGCTTTAAGGTTTAATATTTCTCTCGTATTTATATGGGAGTGGGTGAGACTTCATTTTTTTGCTCTCTCCTCTCCTCATAAGGTCTTATCTACTTTTATGTGAGTATAAGACATACAATTATTTTAAATTTGCGAGAGAAACATTAATCTTTAATATTTGTTAGTAAAGTGTAAAATAAACAATTATTTCCTGTAATTTCAGCAAATTTGAATTTTATTTCATATATCTTATAAGATATTGGTTAGTTTCACTCACTTGGTACTAAAAAATGCATTTTTTTTTACAGAAAAATTCTGTCAAAAATGGTTAAAATTTCGTCGAAAATGAAGTTTTCGACAGAATTTTCGACGAAAATGAAATCGTTGGATATTTCTTCGTTGATAACAATTTTTTCGACGGAATTAGAGATTCTGTCGAAAAATTTCAACGGAAATAATTTCCTTCCATAGAAAAATTTCGACCGAATAATTTTCGTCGAAAATTTTCGACGAAAAATAAATGAAATTTCGTCGACAAATCTTGTATTAGTTTTCGATGAAAAATAAATTCCGTCGAAATTTTTTGACGAAAAATGAATGAAATTCTATCAAAAAATCTTGTAATAATTTTTGACGAAAAACAAATTTCGTCGAAATTTTTTGACGAAAAATGAATGAATTTCCGTCGAAAAATCTTGTAATGAGTTTTGACGGAAAACAAATTTCGTCAAAAAATTTTGACGAAAAATGAATGAAATTCCGTCGAAACCTATTGTCTCAATTTTTGACAAAATTGTTCTTCCATCGATTTTTTTTAAAATTTCTCTCTACAAAATTAATACCTATCTTGTAATAATTTTTGACGAAAAACAAATTTCGTCGAAATTTTTTGACGAAAAATGAATGAATTTCCGTCGAAAAATCTTGTAATGAGTTTGGACGGAAAACAAATTTCGTCAAAAAATTTTGACGAAAAATGAATGAAATTCCGTCGAAACCTATTGTCTCAATTTTTGACAAAATTGTTCTTCCATCGATTTTTTTTAAAATTTCTCTCTACAAAATTAATACCAATTTATGTTTTGCATCTGATAAACAAATATAATGAAAGTAAATAACATCAAAATCATATGATCTTAATATAATTATGTGTACAAAATTTTTTGTCATATACTAATCAAAAGAGTCCTATATCTATAAAAGTCCAAGACATATACTAATCAAAAGGGACATACACATACAAAAGTCCTTGTTATATACTAATCAAAAGAGTCTATGTACAATAGTTCATGTCATACATCCAAACAAGATACAAAAGTCATGCTAGTGGATGATCTGCATATTCATGGTCATCACCTAGGTCCTAAGACGGGGGCTGAGTCTTGTCGTCATCCTAAGTATCTAATAATAATGCCTCGGGAAGCCTTCGCATAAGCTTCTCCATTTTTTCCATTTGCCTCCGCATCATAACCACGAGACTATCATGTTGCTCAACCCTTTTCTCTTGTTGTGCAGCCCTTTCCTCTTGTTGTGCAATTGTACCCTATAGGCATGTAAAAAATTTAAAAACACATAATTGGAAAAGCACAACTCTTCCAACACTCAATCAACAGTGCTGTACAGGAGCAGGAGCATTATATATTCTTGACCCTGATGGCCTATATAATAAGTTATAAAAAACTCAAAAGTGCAAAAACTTAATATATAGAAATTTAATAACATATAAAGAACACCAAAAGAAGGATGAATTGCCATTCAGAAGACTATAAGCAAATCTAATATGATATATAATCTTAGTTATACAACCAACAAAAAAGTGTATGTATTATATAGGCAATAACAGGCTCCCCATACCAACGTTCTAGTGAGTTGTCTGAAGGAAGGATAATCCTATTAACAAGAAAGTATACTTGATTGAGGAAATTAATAAAGAATTGGTGCAATTACAGAGATAGTTGAACAATATAAGTCAAAGAACAAAATGTCAGATCAAGGTATTGTGTAATGGATCAAAAGTATTATGAAGTACTCACAAATTATCAAGTGCAACACACAATTGCCTATGATGCTCACAATGCAGACGAAATGAACCAATACCTCAAAGAGTAGAGACTGTATAAACTTAAATCCAAATAATTCAAAACTATATAGACCAAATCCAAAGAGGTTGCAACATTGTTTTAGCTGCTTACTTTTAATCAATCATACTTTTATGTCATTATGGGCTCTCAATAATCATGTTTCAAATTCAATTTTAGTCTCAAGTTTTTATATCATGATCTCGTTGTGTTTTGATCTTGATGCACTTATTTTATTCATAACCTTACCCATGGTCATCATAAGTTTTATGCTAACATTATTAAATGCATATATATTAAGTTAATAAAAAAAATTATTCTCTCGTCACCCGTTCGTATATATCCATTCATGATTTGATATGCCTTTCTTTGAAGAAACGTTGTACTTCCCTTCAATTAAAGTTAGAATGGTTTCCCCACTTTTACCCGTTCCCTATTTTGGTCAGGATTTGTCTGGGAGTCTTTATTTGGGAATTAATTTTAAGAGGGAAAGAAAAGAAATGAGAGAATTATATTCTTTCTCGTGAGTTTAAAAAAGTGAGAGAAAGGAATTTGAGATTTTAACAAAATCCTCCAAAACCCTTATTGTTCTTAAAATTAAAGTTTTTCCAATTTGGAGGGTTTGAGGAGGAAAATATTTGGAATTACTTATCTATTCTTAACAATAAAAAGTAAAAACTATACAAGTGTATATTATTTTTTAAATGTCACACTACTAGAAAAATTACAAATACCGACAGAATTTATCTATAGGGAATAATTTGTCGAAAATAGTGATGGTATTTTCGATGAAAATCATATTTCGTCGAAAATAGAGAAAAAATTTTCCACCGAAACTAAGACGGAACAAGATTTGGTCACAATAACTTACAGTAATTTTTTGACAAAATCAAAATTCCGTTGAAACTTTTACGTCAAAATTTTTGACGAAAAATATTTTCGTCCAAATTTTTGATAGAACATATTTTCGTTGAAAATTTTCGACAGAACACATTTCTGTAAAAAAAATTGACGGAGCACATTCGTTGAAAATTGATAGAACATATTTTCGTTCAAAATTCCGTTGAAAGTTTCGACTTAAATATTTTTGTCAAAACTGTCAACAGAACACGTTTCTTTTTAAAATTTTCAACGAAAAATATATTTGTCGACAATTTTGACAGAAAATATTTTCGTCAAAAATTTTGACGAAAACACATTCTATCAAATTTTTGTACAAAATCTAAATTTCATCAAAATTTCGAAAAAAACATTTTTTCTTCCAATTTTTTGTCGAAAAATATTTCCGTCAAAATATTTAACGGAACACTTTTCCAACAAAAAATTTGGACAAAAAATATTTTAGTAAAAAGTTTGACGAAAAAAGTTCCTTTAAAATTCCTTACAGAATCTAAATTCCGTCCAAAGTTTGGACAAAAATATTTTCTTCAAAATTTTTGACAAAATATTTATGTCAAAATTATCGACAGAACACAATTCCATCAAAAATTTGTGACGGAAAGCATTTCTGTCAGAAATTTCGACGGAGTAACCAAACTTTCGATGGAATCTTTTTATGTCGAAAAAATTTAAGAAATCATTTTCATCAAAACTTTGACAAAAACTAAATTCCGTCGAAAATTTCAACAAAATTATGCTCTGTTGAAAATTTTGGTAAAATTTATTCAGTCAAAATTTCAATGTATAAAAAGTTTTGTTGACTTTCGACGAAAAAATTTCGTCAAAAATGTATTTTTCGTCATTTGAAATGTAAAAATTTCATCAAAAATATAATCTTTTTTAGTAGTGGAAAAAGTATATAAATAATTTTTTTTAAAAAAACCTTAAATTTACTTTTATTTGTGAAATACAATAATATATTAATTTTTAAAAAATTAATAAAATGATAAAAATATCTCACTAACCTTCTATTTTTCTCCCTACCATTTTTTTAACTCCCAAACAAGGAGAATGAAGCCCTTCCCTTTCCCTTGGATTCCTTTCCTTCCTCTCTCCTCCAAACTTCCAAACAAAACGTTAAAGATTATATTATCTCATACTAGTGCTGTTTATATGCGTTAGACTGCCTTTATCAGGCACAAACCCCCTCTCCCTCTTTCCATCTCAGAATCAAGAGTGTCGATGCCACCCAACTCAACTAGAATTAGGTATGCCCTTCATACTAGACCAAACCAATTCTCATTAACTAAAATATAATCCCGACATTACCCATGCATAAAACCATGTTTTTGCTACTATCATTTTTCCACGAGCAACTACCACTTTTCATCAGTAAGTCTTAGATTAAAGATTTTTGAAACACTAGACAATCTAAGCAAACTTAGTAAATTAAGAACAAGTCACATAAAATTTAACGCTCACTTGATATGGAGAGGATTCTCAAAGAATGCTACTGTCAAAAAATGAAGAGTTGATTAGCATTTTGCACCAATAATAATCGCCTTAGGTGTATGTTTTTCACCTGTTTTCAGTCACATACATCATAATTTACACATCATAATTTACAAGACGTTAAGAATAAACCACAGCCCTTCTCCAGACCAAAGATAATCCCTCACCCCCAATAAAAAAACATTAAACATAATGGAGTATGAGGAAAAGTAGAACAATTCGAAGATTCAAGGATCAAGCAGCAGCATTTCATGAAGGGCTAAACTACAAGTCAGATTGTCAGGGCAAGTAAACTCTTCTAGACATGGGAGGTTCATGCACAATTAGCCTTGGGCGATAGCAAGAACTTCCTCAGGCTCGCATTCTGTTGCTGAGATTAAGGAAGCAGACTGAATCTTTCCAGCATGATCAAGCCGCATCAAAATAACCCCCCTGAGAAAAAAATTCACCAAACAGAATAGTCATTAAAGAAGCAACAACCCACTAGTAGGTATCAAATTAAGGACATGATGTCAGTACGTTTTAAATTTCAACCAAGATGTCAAATGAAATTAAGGGCATTGTCATGGATATTGTCAACAGAAACTAAGACAATAAATTTATCAGCATTGTCATAATAGCTTAGCATCTAGAAATAAGTCCAATAAATAGCATCCGATTCAAAGAAATAAGGAAGACCACTTAAGTCTCCTCAAAAAGTATTAAATAGGACTCACTAGTCAAGAATCAAGATGAATATAAGAAATATAAATATACCAAATGATTGTTCAATCAACAAAGGAGACAGAACTGAAAATAGCAAATATATCAGCCCCATTCAGTATCTCAGACATGTTTGCTATCCTTAATTGCAATGGCTGCTATGGCTAACACATTTCAACTATCTAGAAGTAGAGGAACTCAGCACCAACCTACTCCGGTGTAAACTATGGGGTATACTGATAGGACACAGAACAAGGATTTAGATATTTCAGTTAGCATAGTTACAGAATTAGTTAGAGGCAGTTAGAAGTTGTTAGGTGCAGGAGCATAGATTAAATAGGAGAGAAGATAAAAGAGGAGGTATTCAGATTTGTTAGCATTCGGGGAACTGAAAGTAATTATGCTATTATCCTTCTTCATGGTCCTATCGATGCCACCCTCAAGTTCAACCTTGTCCCCAGCGTTGAATTTTAGAAACTCTGTGCTGATAGTCCGTGCCTCCACCCCCCAAGTGCCCTACTCTGGTGGCTGAGAGTAACCTTAATGAGAGCTTAGGTCAGCATTTCTCCTTGGCAAAAATCCGAGGAACTCAAGCATATACACTAGGGAACTCCATAATTGAAAAAGCTTAATGCATCACCCAAAATTGATCTAATAGCAACAACTTATGTATAAACCAATGGTAAGTACTGAAGACACTATTCCCTCTATTTCTGAGCCTGAGACTAAATATTTCTTTGAATGATTGTAATTCTGATGGAACCTAATTTAATTTCATTTACTGTAAATTGAAGAAGATAGTTATGGAGACAAGCTCCTTACAAACACTAATTGCAAAATAAAACACCAGAAGACCTCAACTCCCCCTTAGAAACAACTACCCTAGGCTCCAAGAGATCCCTTAATTCCCCACTCACCAAATGCTTAATACATGCCTCCCCCACTATACACGCACACTCTCTCCTTTTATCCTAACTCAGAATATCCTAGAAACTTTCCTAACAAACTAACTAACCTCTCATCCCTTTCAGCCCATAGGCCCATCAAATTCTAATTCTAATGACTTACCTATTTCCTTACAGAATGCAAAAAGGTCCTACACCCAGTACCCTATGTCTCAATCTGTCTTTTGAAAAAAATTCCACATAACACGAGTTTTATTTCAGCTATTGATTCTATCAAAGTTTCAATATTAGTTCTAGAAGCATTAAAAGATGAGAAATGGATTCAAGTCATGCATGAAGAGATGAATGCCTTAGAGAAGAATAAAATATAGAAAGTTATTAATAGACCAAGAGGAAGAAGTGGGGTGCAGATGGATCTATGCTCTACTGTACTAGTTTGATGGAACACTTGACAAGTATAAGGCAAGGTTAGTTGATAAGGGTTATACTCAGATATATGGCATCTACTCCATGGGCCAAAATGAACACGATAATAGTCCTATCATCCCCTGTTGTTCTCTTCAATTGCTGAATTTGAAATCAAAGACTTTGGTAAGCTGAGGTACTTTCTTGGGATAGAAATTGCTTACTCCAAATAGGGTATATGTATCCCTCAAAGGAAATATATCCTTGATCTCGTCAGGGAAGTTCGAAAAATTGGGTACAAAGCTATCAGTGTTCCTAGAAAGGCTGAACCACAATATGGGAAGTGAAGAGGAGAGTCCAAAGGTTAATATAGGGCACTTATTATAGGTTAATATAGGGCATTTAGTATATGTGGTGAGTGTTGTCAGTCATCTCACTCACGACTAAGGGAGAGACATTTGCATGCCTTAGATAGAATGCTCAAGTATCTGAAAGGTAAACTAGAGAGAGAGAGGATTGCTATTCTGAAAAGGTGGAAACTTATTCTTAGAAGTGTATGCTGATGTCCATTATGCAAGATCCATTATTGACCAAAGATCAACCTCTTGTTGTATGGTCCTTTGTGGGGATTTAGTAACATGGAGGAATAAGAAACAAAATAAGGTAATGCAGTCAAATACAAAGACAGAATTTAGAGCCATGGCTGACGGGATTTGTAACCTTGTATAGCCAAAAATCATACTAGATGACTTTAAATTGAATACAAAGGATCTATGAAGTTGTTCTCTGATAATAAATCTACCATTTGTTTAGCTCATAATCTCGTTTAGCATGACAAGACAAAACATAAAGATTGACCGCACTTCATCACTCCATATATCCCTTCAAAACATCAACTAGCTAATGTGTTGATTAAGGTACTTCCCACGGAGAGATTTCAAGAGCTCACTAACAAGCTTGAAAAGATAGTTGTACCTAAGTCCTTAACACCAATGTTGTTAAAATGTAGAGTTTATGTAAAAACAATAGGGGTGAGCAAAAACGTAAAATCGCAAAACGTAAACGGAACGTAAGAGTTTACTAACGTATTAAAAATAAAATATATATCCAACATATATAAAACCAAAACACACAAACATGTTTATTTTATAAGAATGTCAATTTTAATCTTTGTTTTAATTTATATAGAATGATTTTAATGTATTAATTATATAAGTTATTAAATTTAAGTTGATTAATGACTAAGATATATATAATTTTTTTATTAATATTACGTGTTTTATATATATATATATATATATATATATATATATATATATATATATATTTTTCAACTACGCAAAAAAAATCATATTATATATATTTTTATATTATTCATGGATTTATTAATTACTTAAAGCATTGATTATTATAATATACAAGCATTAGAGTGTGGCGGTGAGTGTCTCTCACTTCACTGAATCTTCTTCTTTGTTCCCTTTTACTAACACTGACATTGTTTTCTCTCTCTCTCTCTCTCTTCTTCTTCTTAACGGTGGATATAGTTTAAATGCTTTGCATCAAGAGCTGTCTAGTGCCAAAACTAAAGCGAGTAGAAGAGAAAAGAAAGCAGTTTATCAAAAAAAAAAAAAGAGAAAAGAAAGCATAGAAACAAGTAAGAAGAAATGTCATCGGTTTTTCTTTCTGCAACTGCAACTTGAACTGCTCTTCTTCTTTTGCGTTTTGGTTTGGGTTGGAGTAACAACCAACAATGGTGAAGGGTTGGCGATGAAACTCTTCTTCTCCTTCTTCATCGTCTTTGCTTCTCTCTCTCCCTCTACGTCAGATCTGACTCTTTCTTTTTTTTTTTTCTTTTTTTTTAGAAACTGAGTCAACTCAATAAACTTGCCGAGTCAACCGAGTTGACACAGCATTTCAACCCAAAACCCGTTTTGACACGATTTTGGACATAAAAACGTAGAAACGGTCTGTCTCTACGTTTCGAAACGGTCTGTCTCTACGTTTCGACACTACGTTTCGAAACGGTCTGTCTCTACGTTTCGACACTACGTTTTTACAACATTGCTTAACACACAGGGAGACTAGTTATAGTATATCTCCCTTCAACTCTCTCTCTCTCTCTCTCCTGATTTTTCTCTAACACACAAGTTATAGGCTTACAACATAATGATTCAGCAATCAAACAAGCTGCAAATATGCAAAAGGACATAATCCAATCTTACCTCGCAAATCGAGATTGTATTGAAATATCCCGAACCTTAATTCTGTTGACTGTACCACTTTGGCTTACAAGGACAACTTGTTCATCACTTTCACCATCCTCTGGTAGAGACAATAATATTTACAATAACTAAAACTATTTTACAGCATAATAATAACAGCAGCAAAATAAGTACTACTAATTACCAGAACTGCAACCAAAGATATTATTTTTGAAAAGTGAAACATTGAGAAAATACCTGCTAATGAGAATCCTACCACAAAAACGGCAGCCAAGCGATCCTCAGCAGAAAACTGAATACACAGACGAGAAATGACACAAGACACTTAAAATGAAAGGGTTTATTATTGACAAACGGGAAGTTTTTGTGATACAAAAAATACCTTGTATCCTATCAGACCAACTCGATTCAAAGATGATATTCGGAAACTGCTTAAAGGAACCCGCTTTCCAAAACCACTCTCGGACACAAACAATAACCATGGGCCATTTTGGCCCTTTGCACTGTGGGCACATAATAAATAAATATATCAAGGACATATGTGATAAAGTACTCCCATATTGCCTTCAGAAGACAATTAGTCATCTCAAAGTCTAATAAACACTGCCTGTCCGTGCATTTGGTGTCATAATTCAAGAGATAAAGACAAAATAAAAGCAGATGCAATATATTTAATTATAACCTATACATAGTTTGCAGACAAAACTATCGTCATATTTTAAAAGGACAAAAAATAATAACTAAACAAATAGATCACAACCTTTTTTAGTATAATACATAATAAGCCTATCCAAGTTAACTAGAATACTAAAAAAGAGACCATTTTAAAACTAAGAATTTTTATCATAATTTAAGTATGTCTATACCTTCCAAGGAACTCCAAATTTGAGGGCTTTAGTTGGTAATATTAAAACTATAATGCAGTTGCTCACTGCAAAACTCACGGTTCATTTGCAGGGATGATTCAAGCAAACATAACTATATCACTGAGACAAAGTTCCAATAAGAAAATATACAAAGCTTATACTCAAAAGCACATGAAGAAACTAAATATATAATTTTGTTTGTTGAACATTGTAAGAATATTATAAGATATCTTATAATATTATAATTATATCTTCAAATAATTTAGAGTATCTTAGATGATCTCTAAGGAATAGTTTCTCTATTTCCTTAGGGGGTGTTTGGTTCAAGTTTTTGGAGAGGATTACCGGTAATCCTTCTTTGGTAAATGTAATTACCACGTTTGGTAGAAGGAATAAATTACGATTCCCGGATATCCAAGGATTACCGGTAATTTGATTTATAAAGAAAAGTCACTATTCAGATTACCAAAAATAATATGGTAATTCGGAATACCAATCAGAATACCAAGTAAAGGGAAAGCACAACAATAAATTTTGAGACAAAAATACCTCAATACACATAAAAATCTAGACCCAATCTATCAATTACAAAAGTAAAAATAGTTTGGGGTTATTTTTGTAAAATAACCTCATATTCCAAGTCATATTTCGTTCTAAACCAAATATGGAATCAGTAATTTTTACCCAGTATTCCCGGTAATATTTTGGCGAACCAAACACATCTTTCGTAAGATTCCAAGTAAACTCAATTTCTACTGAATTCCCATTAATCATGATTCCCGGTCACCAAAAAATTTCTCCTGTACCAAACACACCCTTATATTTCATTATTTGTTTCCTTATTTTAGGAATCTACTATTACTATAAATGGGGGTTATTATTTTGTCTTTCATATCACATCACTACACATAATGTTCATTCTATACTCTCTCTATCCTTTCTCCCTATATACTTAAATCCCTATACTTCAACAAACTTAAAGTGAAAACACGGTAATTATAAGCAGGTAAGAACACAATTACCAAACAATTAAGCAGATCTAGGACAATTTTCTCAACCAGATCATACTTTGAAGTTTGACATATGGCAAAGATGAAGTAAGTCAGACGACATAATTCTAACAGTTATCAATTCACTACTAACAAAAGCATGCAGGATCTCATCATTATTACTTGCTCCCAGGAAATTTTGATGAGGTCTCCAAGTTGTTCCACATGGTTGCTTGTATAATGTCCACGCTTGCCATCCTATCCCCTTCTCTGAGTCTCATTGCCAGTGCTCCCCTTGTATTTCTTCCTAGTGTGCGAATCTGATCTTAAACAAACACATGATAGTGTCAAAAACATAATTTTACAATGATGCTATGGCAACAAACTGCAAAGCAGTTTTGGCAATGAAATACTATAATTTTTATCACTTTATTTTGACAGTCTTCATGGACACAGTACATGGGAGTAGCCTGTTTGAGAGGTTTTTACTTAATAGAAAGAACACCTGTATGGTTAATACTGAGTTTTTGACATATATAAAGTATTACTACGTAATTACGCAATTCATATTTGTTAAATAAAAGCTACATTCAAAGATTATTATTGAATTACATGGTTTTCATAGTCTTTCCTTGTTCCCCTCCTTCCTTTTCCCTCTAACACCAAATTATTCAGAAGAGTTGACACAGTTTTCAACTCCGATCTATTCCAAAGAGATCACACTATACCAGTAAAATCCAATGCTTTTATTTTCAATTGATTTCTTCACAAATATAGTGATTTTGTTGAGATATATAGTCCCACATTGGTCGAAGAGCAACTAATGTGGGAGTTTATAAGGCCTTGGGCACTCCCACCCTTTGAACTAGCTTTTGGGGTGGTGCATCCCAAAGTTCTTTAACAGATTTATATTTTAAAATTAATGACAGTAACTTGCCTTACTGCATAGGCTCAGCATGACCATTCCATTGTGTGAAGCCATGGCCACAAAGTCATCATTTGTGCAACAACGGACCCATTTCAGCTCATCACCAGGAACCTTTCGAGATAAATGGTATGAATGAATAATATTCATAGACAAAGATTAACCACTAATCTAGCAGTAGGACAATACAATGAAGAAATAGCAATGTAGACATAGAGAACTCAAATAAGAGAACAAACCAACTGAATTGCAATGATTCCAGTCGACCTGATTGATGAAAATGAATTCAATGATACTTTTTTAATATAGCCTTGCATTGTAAGCATCAGCAAAAATTGATCTTCAGCAAACTCGCTCACAGGAATAATGGATGTTATTCTTTCACCATCAGATAAAGATAAGATCTGGCACACACAAAAATAGAAAAAAAAGATTGTTATTTTGGGCAACTTGCCTTACAGTCCTTGTTTGTTCAAGTGTATGTTAAAAAAGTAAACTGTGAATATAATTAATTTTTTTAAAAGAAAATTTGTCAAATCCCAATTTCTTGCTCAATTTCCCTCCACATATAACTCCATTGATTCTAACTGTATCCGTTGTCCCATTTTCTCTCTGAAACATTTTATTGCATGCTTTTGGGTGTGCATGTAAGTGTCAAATATGTGGGGATCCACCTACTCCAAGATTTAAGTCTTGACAACCATACACTGTCAAATAATTTTGCATAATGTTGAATCATTGAATTGAAAGTTCTCACTAGGTTGATCCCATGGAATTTATGAGATATGTATGAATGCCAGATTTTAATTTTCTAATATCTTTCCAAAATATAAGTAAATGTTAATTATTAGATTAGATTAGATATATATGAATGCCCGATTGATCTTAAATTTGGTATCCATGACCATAATAGTATCACTTGATTCACGGATTGGTAAATTGTGCAATTTACAAATTATTCAACGGAATAAGTGAAGAAGGTTTGCTCTTGTCTTCTTCACTTATATATATATATATATATATATATATATATATATATATATATAATTATCTCCATTATCCCACTTTCTGTCCAAACCTTTTTGTTGCATGCCTGTAGGCACTGTATGCTATATGCTAGTATGCCCATTTTTTATGGCATGTGTGTCATAGAGAGAGAGAACAAAGAAATACCTGAACAAGTGGAGTGCCAGCAGCAGTCCGGCTACATTCAGGAATTTTGTAGGCACGAGCTGAGTATACTGTTCCCTTGTCACTGAAAATTAAATTTCACAAGCCATGCCATATTCAAACGTAACTAGATCAGCGACAATGCAACGATTTTAAATACTTGACAGTAAAATAATTAACCACAACTAAGAATTGAATCGAAAACTCAAAGACTCTAATGTAGGCATCATAATGCCACTTCCTAGATAAAGGATGGTTGTTAATAACTCAATAAGCAAAGTCAAGTCATAGAACAAGCCAACTTACAAGCTCAGTATCTTCTAGAGAGCTTTTCAAGAAAGTACGAACCAACACAAAAAGTACGAACCAACACAAAACTAAGTCCAGGTTCAACGCACATCATGATGAAAAATAAAATTAAAATATTTTTGTTAATATTCAGCCTCTTTACAAAAATACAAGGGTAAAGCTGTATTCAAGGATTTTCTCACCCCTACCCTCGCAATTCAAGATTTTACAAGGAGCCCTTTTCTTAAAAAAAAAGACAAATGCTAGCAACACACACTATCATTAAGTGAAATCACATACTAGGCCTACTAATAGAGAGTGGGCCGAGATTATTTAATGGGATTTCACCCAATTGAAAAGAGTGTCAAAGTGTGTTACTGGCATTCCTCATTATATTAATTATGGATGATGATGTAATTTGAATTTATGGTTTAAAAATAATGAGTCTTGTGTTTAGACCATTTGCCCTAAAGATTTGGGTTTTCAATACAAGGCTAGTTGTGTTTATAGAGGTACAAGTTTCATGAAACTAAACAAGAAATAAATTTGAGCATTTTTCAATAGTCTTTTTTGTATTTGTTCTGCACCAAACTAAGGGTCCAAAAAATTCAATATACAGAAAAAATTTCGCATTGGCTACAAAAGAAGAAAAAAAAAGGAACCTGAAATAAAGGACATGATCGTGTGCACGACAAACAAGAAAATCAGACATTGAATCATTCACTCTCAGTTTTCCTACTGATTTGCCAATTGTTCCACGAGTTTGTAGGTTAAAAGTGCTTGGCTTCATCCGCTTCACATAACCTTTTTCGCTAAGTGCCTGAAAGTAAAAGACAACCCCATTAACACAAGAATCATTTAGTGACCTACAGATAGATGGAGGAAAATGCAAAAGATTTATAGTCTAGCTGCCACATACCAATAGCATATCTTCATTTGGAATAATATCAATGTCTTCAAGTTGACCATTATCTGTGTCCTCCAACATTGAACGCCTCGGACTGGCAAACTTATTTTTCAGCTCAATTGCTTCTTGTTCTATAAGCTAAAAATATGAGAAAGAGGTCAAAATGGTTGTCTCAGATAAATAAGTTATTTTTTAAGCAATGTCTTTCAGGTGAGTCATTAGTCACAGTAAAAATGCTAATAGCCTCCTGTAAAGATTAGCTATATGGAGTTACAGTCAAACCTAAAAACTTATACTTGCAGGTTATGAATATCTATGGCATTTTAAGCAATGTTAATGGTCTTAATGTTAGCCACGTGTATCTTTCCACATGATTAGCATTGGAAACTATGTAAATGGTGACTAGGTCAATACATTTATTCTATAGGAATAACCAAATCATGTAATTATTTATAGTATCTAGGATCTTTGTATTTATCACTGTACTCCTATAAATATTCAGTACTGCAACACAATTTTCAGCAAATGCCTCTCTCTCTTTCAACATGGTATTTAGAGTGAGGTACTCACAACAGCCTAAAATTTCTCTGGCCAAAACCAAGACAGCCTCGCCGATCTACACCCTACTAGAATTTCAGATCCAGCCAGAGAGACACATGCCCATAAACTGCTGCTGTCCACTGAACATCTCTTTCGGTGAGTCTAGCCTTTTTCGGAATATTGATAGCCACTTTTTTCTGTAAGCCTGTTTATTGGCTTTGCAATTTTTGATTGAATTTATTTGAAAAAAAATGTTGCAGAAAAATCAAAAATCTCACCGCACACCTTCCTTACCATCCCACTCAGGTGGCTTTTCCACAACTCACAACCATGTAATAGTGTTTCGAGCCACATTCTTTGTTAACTCCCAAGATCAGGTTGCCCCACATCCAGCTAGATCATAGCTTTCCCACCTTTGTTTCGCGCTGTTAGGTCTGTTTGTAAGCTGTCCCTTCATGGGCTACCATGCTGCACCAAGTTGGCTCGTACATGTGACAATTGTTTGACTCTTATTCTCACCTGTGAAAGGCATGCAAATTTCTTAGTTTTCCTTGGATCAGCTTATTCTACATGGGTTTCTCTGTTTCCCTTGCCTCCCCTGTTTGGTCGCTGTATGGTTCTGTACAGGCTCTTTGCTTCCATTCTTGCATTCATGTCCTTGAGTAGTTTGTTGCATTCTCTTCCGGCCACAAGCTGCTGATGGAGCCATTTTAAATTGTTTCAAGGCAATTCAAGCCAGATTCCTTTTATTCCTCATCCCATCCATCTATAGCTCTTCTAGATGTGCATTTATTGTCTCGCATACAGGATTTTCAATTCCACATTTTGCTGTGTCGTCTCTCCTACTACATGGTTTATAGCACCCATCATATTTTTAAATATTATTTTCTTTAAGTGAATTTATTCATAGCAAGTTGAGAGCTTAGTAAGGGTGAGTGTTAGAATACTAGGTTAGATTCATTAACATAGTAGCGGAGATAGATGGGCATATCTAACACAGGTTAGAATATTCGTAATTATAATTATGACTGCAGTTAATAGCTGTAATTAGCTCTAAAGTTAGACCTTGATTAGCTCATGCACGTAATTCACTCACAATACACACAATTTCTCTTAAACAGTGTTTCAACCTTGTTAATTGGAAGACTATCCTCTACTTCTGCACAATATCTCAGCCAAGTCTTTTATCTCCATAGTTCGCTTTAGTGCTTGAGATTTAACTAGGGGTGTGCATGGGTCAGGTCGGGTAAGGTTTCTGTGCCGACTCGACCCAACTTGATTTTTATAGGTTAGATATTTTGACCCGACCCGCTTTAATTTGATCCAAGTCAAGACTGACTTGGTTTGAATTCTTTTGAACTAGTTCAGAACTGGGTCGGATCTGACCTGACTTAGTTTCTGAAGTGGGTCTGACATGGTTTCTGAAGTGGGTCAAATCTGACCTAACTTGTTTTTGACTTAGTTTTAAAATATGTTTTTAATTTGATTTTTTTATAATAATTGATTTATTTTTTAAACTCATATAATTTAATTATTTATTTGTTTTAAAATATATAAATTTTATTATAAATTTCATATTTGTTGAATAAATAAAGGAATGTAATTTTAAGCCCCTGCACATGTGAAGAAAAATTAGTGAAAATTAATGAAAAGTAAAGGATGAGAGAACGCTCTTCCCATCTTAAAATGACAAATTACTAATTTTAACAATGATATATTATAAAATTACATAATGTCCACCAATAGGAAATTCATAAATTCAAACCCAAATTTTACAAATTAAATTAAATTTAAAATTTCAAACAAATTATTTATGTACTTTTCACAATACTAAACAATATCATATTTTCGATGAAATTTCTACGTTACAAACGACAAAAATTTTGTCACAATTATTTTTTCGTCGGAATACTTTTTGTCGAAAAGCGACGGAATTTTTTCTCTAATGAAAATTTTTACAAAAATAAATTTTCTATCGAAATTTTCGAAGAAATTTAGTTTCCGTCAAAAGTTTTGACAAAAATGATTTCCTGCATCAAATGTTTTAAACGAAAAAAGAATTCCGTCAAAAGTTTTGATGGAATATTTTTCGTTCAAAATTTCAATGAGAATGTGTTCTGACGAAAATTGTTTTGAGGGAAATGTTTCATTCGAAACTTTCGACGAAATTTAGATTCTCTAAAAAATTTTGATAGAATATTTTTTCCGTCAAAAATTTTTACGAAAATTTTTGAGCGAAATGTGTTTCGTTGAAAATTTTGATGGAAATGTTTTTTTACCAAAAAACTTGATGAAAATATTTAGTCAAAAAATTTCGATGGAAATGTGTTTCGCTAAAAATTTCGACGAAAATTTTTTTTTGCCAAAAAGTTTAACGAAAATTTTTTCGTCAAAAACTTTCGCCGAAATTTGAACTCTATAAAGAATTTTGATGAAATTTTTTTTTGTCAAAAAATTTCGATGTAAATGTGTTTCGTCAAAATTTTTGATGAATATGCTTTTTTGTGACATATTTTGACGAAATTTACATTTTGTAAAAAAAATTGATAAAAAAATTTTTGCATCAATTTTTTTTTGCAGAAATGTTTAGTCAAAAATTTTGATAGAAATATTTTTCATAAAAAAAATTTACGTAATTGTTTTTTTCTTTTTTCTTTTTTTCACATAATGGATGTGGGTCAAGTTTTGGGTCAATGGATCATTATTAAAACAAGTCAGGTCTAAAACTGACCCAAATAAAAATAGGTCAGTATTTAAACCCAGTTCAAAAAAAAAAGGTATTTATGGGTCAGGTCAAGGTCAGGTCAAGGACAGGACAAGTGAACCAATTTTTTTGCACACCCCTAGATTTAACCCTAGGAATTTTTAATCTACAACAGATAGTAACAGCATTAACGATTTGGAGGACAATAATACAATTTCACAATTGCCATACCAGCAACTAGGTAATAACAGTATCACATTGAACAAATAGACTTAATAAGCTAATTCAACAGTTATGAATAAGAGAAATGCAAAGTGAAACTATACCTCCAGTATATTTTTCCTGCTGGACAACAGATCCTCTAACTTGGAAATTTGTTCCATCAGAGATTTACTTTCAGCCATAAAGTTTCCGCTCTGCACAGCACAAAGCTTATAATTCTACCTTTGCTCTTATCACAAGTATATTTATAGAAATCTTGATAAAGAAAATCATCAATTATTCTAGTATACAAATAGCCATGATTACAATGCACCTCACGAAGGGTCAATCTTCGTAGGCTAATGTCCAAAAGAGCTTCAGCTTGTTTCTCAGAGAGACTGAACTCTGCAAATAGTATTTCTCATCCACATTAAATAGCTAAAAGATAAAGAATTTCAAGCCATGATTACATAGATTTTATTTCAATAATAAGTAGAACTTTTCACAAGATAGGGACAGCAAATAAAAAGTTTTCAACTGAGTATCAGACTATAAGCATTCCATGAAAGCAGACTCTTCATATCATGTCTTAAAATTACATATTTAGAAGAGAGATTTACAATCAAGCAAAATCAACAAATAAGCTTAAAACTTAAAAATAAAGAGTTTACCATTACGTAAACCAGCTGCTGCAATCGAGTTACTAGAAGCTTCACGTACTATGCGAATCACACCATCCAGATTACCAAACCCGATAAGAATACCCTGAGTTTGTACAGAACATATGCTTACAGCCAAGATGCTCAAGAAAATTATGTAATTTCAATAATTAGTCTCATTCAATCTTCAAGCATTAAATTTTCTAAATCCATTTATTTTTCCTTTTTCCTTATAATACGAGAAAATAGACTACAAGACCACATAGTCTAAGAAGGAAATGGGAAAAGCAAAAGAAAATAATGAATACACAAAGAAAAGAAATAAATATTACAGCAGAACACCATGGATAAAGCAGATGAACAATCATGCCCCCAAGCTAATAACGTGACATATTCAGTTAATAGCAGCAAGCATCATAGATCTCCAGTCAACAAAGCAAGCAGTGCGCTGTGGGTAATAATCAAACCAATTTTCACTTCCATCTCCAAGTCCAACCAAAGAAAAAACGCACATTATCCAAAACAACCACATTTTATACAAAAGAAAAACCCAAGATCTCAACATGTACAAATCACAACTTTTGAAGCATTTTCCTTGATATTCCAAAAGCTCATGGTGGCGGCTAAACTCTAAAGCACATTTCATAATAATTTCCCTAAAGTATCAAAGGAATGTTCACCCCAACTCTTTTAACCGAGACAATCATTTTCAACCCCAACAAATGATGTGTCCCATTTATTTGCTGCATAGCACATGGAACCAATAGAATGATTTCATAATGTATGGCGCAATTAAATGGTGTACAGTAGGTTTTCTCAAAATTCAGGATTCAAAAGAAGAAACTTATCATTGTCAATTTGATAGGATTCAATCCCTATTAACAAGGGAGATAGAATTTTTAGTGAAAATTAGATGGAAATACAGAAAAGTAAGAGCGATTCTCCCAGCCAAGGAAACTTCATCTGGCCCCAAGCTATAAGCCGAAAAACATATACCTCCCTCTGTCACATGTTTCTATTTGTATAAGATTTACTCTCTCTCTCTCTAACTAACTTTCCCTCCTTTCTCATGTTCTCTTCTAATTGCAATTAAGCTTTAGTCTTAAGCCTATGACTATAAACTTGTAAGGCCTTCTTGGGCTAAACCTGAACCATGTTTCGGTCCACAGTCATGTCACAATGATTTGCACGTGCCCAAACAATGAAAGAATGAACATTATGGAAGAAATTAACAAATTAGGATACAAATAATACAGATGGTAACATCTAATTACTTTATGAATGCAATATGTGCAACATTGATTTCTTGGAAGTCAAGCCCAAATGCTCTCATTATGGCATGATATAATAGAAATGGGAGTTAAAGGAATCCAAAGAGATGATAACTCTTTTAACTACAAATATGATAACCACTATCACCATAAACTAGGTACATATGTAACAAAACATGCTTGGTCGTGCAAAAAATACAAGTTTGATGTTACAGACTTCAGCGATCACTTTCATAGTAATTGTAACTCGGCGAAACAAACCTAAAAAAATATGTATAACTATAACCCCTCCACCAGTAAAATATTTGAATTTCATACTCTATGCACATGACAATACAAACATACACAAATTGATCTTACAGTATTTGTGACATACCTCGACAATATGTCTTCTCTCTTGTGCTTGCAATAGCTTAAATCTTGCTCGTCTCTCAACAACAGAGCATCTGAAGTCTAAGAATGCCTGAAGTAAGGTTAAATATTAAGCCAGAAAAAAAAAAAGTACGCTCTAGCTTACGAAACAAAGCCATTAATGATCTAGTGCACAGTTGACTAACACCAAATAAAAAATAAAATTACAGGAAACAATCCCATTAAACATACTAAAAACACTACAGTAGCTCCCGGCAGAAGAAAAAGAGTTATTAGAGAGATGAATCTTGAGTATAGTCGCCAAAATTATAATCTTGGTTTGACAGTAGGTGAAATACTAGTTTCTACAACTTGTACAGAAAGACTTACGGGCAATTTATATTACACCTAACACTCAAAAGAAGGTCTATTGGCTAGAGAGGCCTTTTGAAGAAGAGGAAGTTCAAAAAGCTATTTGGTGTTTGGAGTTTGAGTTTGGGCAGGGAAAAGGCTGAAAGGCCTGATGGCTACATGATTGCCTTCTTTCAAAACTGTTGGGACTTTGTTAAGGAAGATCATGGAAGAATTTTGCTACTTTAATTGCAATGGCAAGATACATTTGGCATGAATTCTACCTCCATGATGACATTGGTTCCTAAGAAAGTCAGAACAGATCATTCAAAGTGGAAGCTTAGAGATCCATAAGTACATGATGACCTTGTTTCCTAAGACAAGACAAGACAGATCATTTAAAGTGAAGGCTTAAAGACCCATAAGCTAGGTTACTGGTGTCTATAAGCTTATGACCAAGGTTCTCTCAGCTAGACCTAATGATGTTTTATTAATAATCTTTGCCCATCAAAATTATTTTATTGCAAGTAGACAGATTCCCACCATCAAAAGTGGCCTGAAATTATGTTATTCTTTTTGCTTGATAGCTGTCCTTTACTTCTACCTAACACCACATATCAGGAAATTATTCGAATTGGCTTGAGAAGTATTTAAACATTCATTCACTTGCACTATGCTGCTCGCTCAGTTGTCCACAACGCGTAAGCCAAGGGAGATGGAATAAAATGTATAATAAGCAAAGGAAATGCAAAGAAGCCTTTGAACAACAAATACAGATGATTATAACAACTATAAAATCAACAAAAGTACATGATATCCTGGTGTACAATCGAGCAAAGAAAATTAACAATCAGCTAAGCTAAATTAGTATTTGTGGAAGCCAATATTTACTCTAATGATTGTAACAACAACAAACTAAACAAAGTCTTATCTCATTAGGTGGGCTTGGCTGCATGGACCAATTCGTGCGATTGAACTCTATCACAAATTACCTCCAATGACTCAAAAGATGTAAAAATCACTTGAAAAAGGAAAACCTAAATCTAAAACATTTCTGAATTTGTACATCAGTGTATCACTGTATTACACATGGACATCAAAGTTATTAAAGAATATCAGTAAGTATTGACAAACAAATCAATTTTAAGCTACGCTGGAAGGCAAGAGAAAGAACTTTTCATTCAAAAAATAAATAAAATAAAAATATAGAAGAGATGGGGCAAACACAGTAGATTTCCAACACCAGTATGTACTCACCTGAAGCAATTCCTTGAGCCCCATTAGTTTAGGTTGTCCATTAAGAATTCTACAAATAAAAGACAAAAAGGCATGTTCAAATTAAGAGATGAAGTACAAATAGAGTATAATAACTCAAATATTACATAACCAAGTGCAGTGAAACAATAAGCTGACGAAAAATTGATACAAACTGGATTATAGAACAAGAAGAAGTCATAAGTATTTAGAGTATATTTTAATATTTGTCTACTGCTACTGTATCGATGAGATACCAATATCAGTAAGAACAAAATTACAAGGGAAGTATTTGTTAAGTGGTACGGGAGGAGCCCAAAACCCTTGCAAGGAATACCTCCAATACATGGGCTAAGGCGACAAACCACGATAATTGAGTTTGACATCACATCTCAACCAACTCTACCAATCTTAAGGCATTTAATCTATGGGCTTTTCCACTTATATGGTCTTCATTTGGTCCATTTCTAACCAATGTGGGAACTTTACCACTCAAACATGAATTTCATACATTCTTCCCGTAAGTGAGTCCCAACATTCAACATCATGCTCTCCATTAAGGGTAAGCTTTTACGGAAACATCTTCAAGTATTGGAGTTACACTAGCCTCTGTAGAGGCCTTTTCAACTACATCACTACCTCCAAATACTCCGCCCAACCAAACCATTGGCTCTGATACCATGGTATTTGAAAAAGGGACCTTGTCCCACACTAAGTTGTTATGGACATAAATACAAGGGAACAGAGGACTTGGAGAGATATATCACAAGCCAGTCAGTTGGATTAGTTCGAGGCTTTTATTAGGAGCTTGAACTAGTTAGTTAGTTAGTTGTAAAGTCAATTCAAGAGTAGGTACTATACAACAGAAAGACTTCATTGTTATCACACACTTCTACACATTTATATTTCATAGAGAGTAATAGAGAGTGCTCAATTTCCCCTTTGGAAAGGATAGTTCCTCTTTGTAATCCTTACAGACAATTTAGCAATAAACACGCTATTTTCTTTTCTTCTTTCTGGTGTATCACTTCTTCAAATCCTTTCTTGATTTCTGGTCGTATCAATTGCTCCGACCTGCCGAATCTGAGGGGGTGAAAGCCATGGGACTATATCTTGGAGCTCTGAAGAATTCGGGTAAGCATCTTAAGACCAGGACCAACGATACAAAATTCAAAGAAGCATTCCAGAAAATATTAAAGATCCTAAATGCACCGATTGAGAAGGAAACATCAATCTTCGAAATAAAAAAATGGCATGCTTTCAATGGCACTGTTTAGGATGAGAAAATGCAAGCGAATGTAGTTTCAAGCTAGAAACTGATACAAGAAAAAAGGAGTCAAAAGATGAAAGATAGGTCTCACATTCTGGCAAAAGATGATACTGAAGAGGAAAAGCCAGCCTTTAAAATCAAGAAGACACAATCTTGGACAGAGGATATTTTTTCTGTCATGGGTGTTATTGATGAAAAAAAGGAGCATGGCACCAAGAAGAAACAAGAAACAAAAATATTAGAGAAGGCGCACGAGGAGGTGGATTCGAAACCGATAGCAAGAATAAAGGAAACTGAAACAGAAGATGAAAATGAAAAAATGGATCTATGTGATTGTCTTGAGGCATGACTCAAGGATGAAAGATATACTAGAGTTAAGGAAGGAGAACACCGATATAGAGCAGAAGCAAGACTCACAGGAGGTGTTACAAGTCATGGTAGAAGACATACCTAAATCCAGTAGCGAAAAAAGATGATGGAGATTCAATAATTCCTTTTGAGCCTTTACTCTTGGAAGCAAATGTATTTCTAAATCAAAGAACCATGGAGGATGAGGCGCAACTGGAGAAGACCACAGCCGAAGTAATGGAGAAGCGCACCATAGGAGATCCTCTTGTGCCTTCACCTACATCGGAGCCGCCTAAGTCCAACCCGCGTGTGACAGATATGCACTATTGTGGGTGTGCCTATTACGTCCAAGAGGAAGCGTCCGGTTTCGTGGAGGAAGCACGTGTTAGAACAGAGTTGGAATTCTGTAAAATGGGTCAAAACTTTTGCTTAATGGGCCAAGCCCAAATTCATCATACCTTTGGGCTTAATGGGCGTGCATCAAAGAAGAAAATCTCAAACAAAAAATTTAGTTCATCTAGCTATACAGCAATAGGGAAATTGTTATTATTGGGGAAACGTGCGTTTAACTCGACAAAAGAAAAGCCTCGGAAGCATTCGAAGGACGACAAAATTGTGAAGCAAGAAAGTGCAGGCAAAAACTCGAAAGGTGGAAAGAGTTGGGTCATCTTCCTTCCAGTCCAAGGAATCGCTTCTTTGTACCTTTATCCTCAAGTCATAAGCACAAGACGATGACTAGGACGCAACCAAACCGGTGTGTGAAGAAAGTCATGAAGCGACCAAAGAAATGCATGGAGGGAGCATTGTACCTGAAGCTTTTCGAAGATAGGACAATGGCTGAAACAAAACCACACAAGAAAGCTAAAAAGAAGGAAAGAAAGAAGAGGATTTTGTTTTCTCAAAAGCATAACCATGCTTCTTCAGGTTTCTTAGATTTTGTTGTTCACTCACTTGTTCCTGAAATTTCATCTATTGGGATATTTTTTGTTAGGGGTATGCGACAAATTAGAATATTGGCTTTTGATTTGATTGTTTTGAGTACTGCCCTTACCTGTGGGGTTTCTTTAGTTTCAATTCCATTCAAGTGAGACAGCCCCAACGCTCAATTACCCTTAATTAGTCCAGCATATTCAAGTGCTTCTTTAGCTGCAATTTCATGCTAATTTTTTTGTCTTCTCTTATCGATTAGTTGTTCAAAAAAGACAATCTGCAGAATTGCAAACATGAGGCACTAGATTCCAGAAGGTTTAAGAGCCGCAATTCTTTCGAGGTTCTGGAATTTTCCTAATGGAGTTGCCTTAGAGAAGTTAAATAATTGTTGTGTAACGTTTGATGAGCTCCTCATTCCTCTGACTATTTGTTATGAATCCATGCATTCAAGTGAATTTGGGATGCTAACTGACGCTAGACTTGTGGATCTGGTTTGTAGAGTTGCCGCCTTTGAACCGCTGTGAAGCTGCTTGATAAAAAGCAATACCATTACACATTTGTTTAACTTGGAATTCAGAATTCTATTTTTTAAGTTGTAGGAATTAGTCAGTAAAATTGGTAACACTATTTTTTGAAATATAGAGGAGATACCTTGGTTTGTTTTCCCTTGGTCAATTTGTCTTCTAATCTGTCGAATACCCTACTATTTCTTCACATGCCATTGGGACACTTGTCCAATTGTCCAACTGAAGGAGATGCATTTCTCATTTTCAGCCTTGAGGACAAGGTTGTTTCCCAGCAAGGAGGTATTGTTACAGACAAATACAAGGGAACACAGGACTTGGAGAGATATATCAGATTGGATTAGTTTGAGTCTTTTATTAGGAGCTTGAACTAGTTAGTTAGTTAGTTGTAAAGTCAATTCAAGAGTAGGTACTATATAACGAAATGACTTTATTGTTATCACACACTTCTACACATTTACATTTCATAAAAAGTAACAGAAAGTGCTCAGTTTGAAAGCGAATTTCCCTTTTGGAGAGGATAGTTCCTCTCTTTAATCCTTGCAAACCATTTGGCAATAAAGACACTATTTTCTGTTCTTCTTTTTGGTGTATCACTTCAAATCCTTTATTGATTTCTGGTCGTATCATAAGTAAGTTGGTTTTAAATCTGGAACAACAAGAACATTACAAATAGTGTGGGTGGAGTTTTCCTTGGTATGGAGAGTGACCTTTCCTTTTCCCATAACAGATATTTTGGAGTTGACACCAAAGTTGATGATGACGCAGAAAGATTCATCTAGCTCAAAGAAGACCTTATCTCCATACATGTGGTCACTACAGCCAGTGCCTAATTACCACAAGTTTTGTCGTTTCTTCATTCACAAAGCACACCATCAATAGAGATACTTTTCCTATTAGAAAAAGAGAATGTAACCATGACTCCTGCTTTTTGCAACTTTCTTTCGTCACAAATGCAACCCTTATGAAACTAAGGCCATGATACGATTTAGCTCCACAAGTTGTGTAGGCGCTCCTCAACCCTTATCTCTTCTCGCAAGCAAATCAAGAAGGCTTCCTACATCATCTCCTTAGCAGCATAATGGAGTAGTGCTAACATTAGCTCAAATTGCTCACGATACTCCGCTACCATGCCCTCTTGCATGAGCATAAGGGCCTCATAAGGATTTCTAGAAAAAGAACTATGGAACCTCTGGAATACATTGATACAGAATCCATCCCACATGATTGTCGGATTTATAGGTTCCCACCACTAGAACCAATTGAGGGCATTCCCCTCCAAGTAAATCGACGCCATCTCTACTTGCTCGTTGGCTGGAATCCTCTATGGATACGAAAGTATCGTTCAGCTCTGTAGATCCAGCCATACAAGTGCTTGCCGTCAAAGTATGGAACCTCAACCTTCCACAACCGTTCCTCTTCCCTAACATTCCCAACATTTCACGATTCTCTATCTCCATTCTCTCCCTTCTTGGTCGCATTGCAACTATCCCGTTCTTTCCTGTCCGTGTGTTGCTCCACGCGCTCTAGGTACTCAAGCAGAGTATCTCTCAATTGATGATTAGACTCCTTAACCCCATTGATTCTCCCATTCATGCCTTCAAAGCGTTGTCGTTGCTCCAGTGCTTCCATTCTCTTTGCTACCTCTTCCACTCTTACCTCCAATCTTGACCAAACCACTCATTGCCCCGGAGGCTTTGTTACCAAAATGTTAGTACTAGAAAATTGATTAAACAACTAAGTTGGGGAAACAACCCCCTAAAGCAAATTCCAATAGAACAATACCCAAATTACAATTTGATAATAACAAACTCTGCAACCCAAATGCAAAACAGAAAGTTCAAGAGTAGAAAGACACAATAACAAAAGGAATAAACAAGAAGAATGACAACTCCACCTACAAGAAACGACCAATCCTGAAGAGTTCCCAATTCCCTTTTCCAAAAGACTTATCAGAAATCAAATACCCCCTATACTCCCATTTTCCCTCCCCTATAACCCACTGTCTCATGCATTCCGTTACATCCCAATTCATGCACTCCATTCAAATGTTGCAAGCTGTCCACTTCCTCAATCAACCTCCTTTCTCTCTCCTTGACAACCTACATTTTGTTATTCCCTTTAGGACTTGCCATCTCATCACTCTTCTCACCACTTCTCTTATGGGCTTGAATCCCATTTCTCATCTTCCTACACCTATCACATAACCAAGAAGTTTTGCCCAACAAACGTTTTCTCAAATATCCACAAATACAAGTTATATCCCATTAAAAGAATCCCGTAGGCCACCAGGAGGTCCAATGAGTGCAGAAACATTCCAAAAGATATTTATTTATCGAAATACAAATCCTAGATATGGTTAAAAAATACCAATCAATCATCAGAAGGTAGCAGCAGTGAACAGAGTATTTAAATTAACTTTTTCAAAACATGTATAAAACTACAACCAACTTACCCCACCATGTTACAGCTAAATGTAGACTGCAGAGATGTCAAGCGATAAAGATTATTCAAAACGATCATTGGGTCTGATCCCCGCTTCAGCTAGAAAGTGGATGAAATTAGTCGGCATCTAGTGTCAAAAGTATCTTTTTCCTTTTCTAATTTTTCTCCCCTTTTTTGTATGTGTCCATTCAATAAGAGAATATAGGAGCAGAGCCATATTTATATATTTTACCTCAATGACTACACGCATTCCAGAACGATCACTTTCATCCCGAATATCACTTATTCCATCTAAACTCTGTAAAAAAAAAAGTAAAAAATTTAAAACAAAATTAGGATACAAAATTTACATGCTAGCTGCATGTTTAACAAAGGCTTGGCATAAGCCCTCCCCCTTCCCCAAGCAAAAAGTCTAACATTTTATAATGTTAAAAAGATAAAATCCATAAACAAAACCTGTATCGAAGTGTGTTGTGTTTGCATGTGTTGACAAGATACGAGTATAACAAAAAATCTACAAGCTATCTGCTTGTCCAATTATATATATTCTCAGAATTTGCAGAATGTATTTCTATTATAGATGATAATACTGATACATACATAAGCTGGATTTATACACAGTCAACCTTGACAGAAAAGGAAAATATCTTATTTCAGAATCCTGTATTTGGGGATTTCCTAATTGACTAAAATATACAATTAAATGTGCCTAAATCAAGGAACAAAATATGTTACAGAATATTTCCTGATATAGATGATATAATCAAAATATCATGCAGTTTTCTCACATATATGGATACTTCAATAAGAAAAAATAATATTCAAGCAACCGAATACTGTTCCCACACTTGAGCCATTACCGCCAACCGGATCACCTTTCAATATATAACAACATACTGGAGAACCACTAATAGCATAACTTGGCAAAAATGTTATAGTAACAGTTTTACAACAGAAATAGAAGAAACTAACAGCAGCTATAAAATATAATTTTGACACATAACAAAGTGGAAAGAGCAAAAGGATACGGTAGGGGAATGTATAAAAGGAAAAGGGTTGACATCACAGTCATACATTAGAAGACAAACCGTGTGAAACTTGAATAAGTTTATGCCAAAGAAAAGTAGATAGATTCACCAACTTTCAAATCCAAGAGAATGGAGAACCCAACAAAATTAGAAGCAAACAAAGTGGAAATCTCTGAAGTATAAAACTAAGAAGAAATGAGCCTAAAAGGTTAAAAACAGTTACAAAGGCAACACAATAACTCCAAAATATCTAATAGGAAATCACGAGCCCATGAAAAGACAACACAGTTTACCAACTATGTCAACTCAGCAAAAAGTCACAATTAAGATGTTCAGTAAACTGTAATATAGGGGCAGTTAGGCAACTCTCAAAACTTATTTAGAAATTAGAACTGTTTAAAGATAAACTGGTCATATAAATTTAGGTTATTTCGTATCTAGTTTTAACTCAAAACCTTAGTTTGGTTAAAATTTGTTTTAAACAGATTCTTGTCTAATTTATTTTGAATTTATTTAAATTCAAAAAAATTATCATGTTAATTGACCATTAGATGAATTAGTGGTCCCTACAATTATATTGTATCTAATAAAAACCCTTATATATAACTGAAGGAGAGAAAAGGAGACAGAACATGGAAAAGTTGGACTAAAAAAACCAAATTCGAAATGGGTTTTTTAAGAACTGGTCTTATCTAAAAATTGGTTTCCATATGAACCATTTTTTAAATTTCCTTATATTTAAACACTAGCCTCACGGCATTCACATTTCTAGTAATTAGATGTTTCCAAACACCCCCATGTCATCTCTATCCCTCGGAAAATATCTTATTTCACATTACACAAATGTAAGTGGGCGTGCAATTTCAAGAAGACAACAGTAAATTGACATTAACATCATACTGAAAAAAATCATATTGAAACACGGTAATACCTTGTTTTCTACAAGTTCAGCAATCTTCTCAACTAAAGCTGCTTTGTTCGTCTGATAAGGAACCTATTCCAATCATAAAACAGAATTTCTATTCAACTTCCCAAAGAAAGTAAAGCAAGCATTTCTAATGTCAAAATCTGAGAGAATCTATAGTGCCACCTCTTTAATGATTATTGCAGTCCGTTTTGTCTTAGAATCAAGCAATTCAATATCAGTTTTCCCTCTGACAATAACACGTCCTCGGCCAGTACGGTAAGCCTCTAAGATCCTTAAGAAAAATGAGTATATATCAGACTATATATACATAGTAAAAAGTAAAGTAAAAAAAAAAAATTACAAAAAATTTGATACAACTAAAAAATGTTACAACAATTACTTATGAAGGTTTGTCAAATATAATGATTAAAAACAAGGTCACACGGGTCTCAAGTTTCACAAGCTTCTATAACTAAGTAGCCAGTTTTTCTCCAAGTCTCATTTTATTTTTTCTAAAATTCTCAATTTCTAGTACGTAATCAATAATTTTCAATTTAAAGTGTGCAAGAAATCAAGGTGCAAATAACTTATTATTCATCATATCAACAATCCATATACCATCACCAAAATATACTCCATGTATACTGATGTAGGCACTGATAAGTTATTCATAATTGAATTGTTGTTGTAAATATAAAACTGATTATTATGCTGTTATTCTGTTAAAGAATCTTATCCTAGATTCACGAGTCAATTTTACTATAGATTCACAAGTTTACTACAGATTCACAACACTACTTACAAATTTACTGCACATTTAAGAGATTTCTGTTATTCATACAGAATTCACCTCTTGTATGAAAAATAGATCATAATAATATTTTTTGGAGTTTTCAGATACAGATTTCCAAGTTTCAACTATTGCCACTGTCAATTAAGAAGGAACATAATGAGCAGCATTTTCAAAGTGTATAATGACACAGATAATACAAAATTGTCAGCCAACACAAAAAAGTCGTAAAAATGTTTATCAAATATTCATAAAAAGGAGATACTTCCAAGAACTTTGTAGACTCACCCAAGATTTCCCATAATCAGCCCTCCTGTTGGGAAGTCAGGTCCTGGCATGTATTCAAGCAATTCTTGCAGCTACAACATACCAAAATTAATCAGAAAATTTAATTAAAGAGGGAAGAAGGAGAAGAATACTGAGATTACAAAACACATAGAATAGTGGGTGAAAAGTAATAAATTTCATTTCTTGAGAATTATATCACTTACTGTTAACTCTAAAGAATTATTCTTAATGATTACAGACTTGATTCGTTACTAATTTCAGGATGTTTTTCGGTTAAATGGTCATAATCCATGCATAATATAAAACTCAGGAAGAGGAATCAGAATATTTGGTAGGTTTATAATCTAAATGAAGTTATGCTTATATTTGCAGAATGGATGTGAGGTATGGAGCTGCAGCATTAAGAAGGAAAGTAATGAGAAGCATGACTAACGAATGATGAAAGCAAAAAGGTGGGGACCACGAGTAAAAAGAGGAAAAGGCAAAAGATTCCAGCTATGGGTGAAAAAATTGGTTGCAACTGACGTGCACCAAGATTCCTTTCGGGATTAAAATGACAACTTTATGTCTCCTTTTGGGGAGAAGAATTCCTAACATTGGATTAAAGGACACCTGACTGCTCTTGAGGAAATCAAGCTAACAAGAAATAAAGAAAGAGGCATAAAACGACTGAGAGTACATAGCTGAGAACTGCGTTGCACCGACACGGACACGCAACACGTGACACGACACGACACTTCGACACGTCAATTCTAAAAAAATGTGAATTTCGACACGTTGGGACACGTTTTAGTTAAATAATATTTTTAATTTATGAAGTATATATTATATTTAGTATTTAATAATTTAGTTTTATTTTCATAAAAATATATATTATAAATAATTAATGATTAATATTTAATTATAATCCCATTTTATTCAAATATAAAATTGATTTATTATGTTTTATATTTTAAATAAGTGAAATACATTTTTTTTGGTTGACAGTCAAATACATATTTAAATAAAAGCTGTTGTTGCACAAATTTATATATATATATATATATATATATATATATATATATATATATTATTTTATATCTTATTCATTTGAAAAATAGATAAAATATATTAAAGGAAGGTGTTGTTGCACGGACTCATATTTATTATTATTTTTTAGTACAAAGTTGAAGTTCAATTTTTAGCCCACACTAAATGGTCCAACCCCAGGCCAATCTCAAATTAAAATGAAACCCTAATTTTATTGTTTCATTGATTGAGAAGTGCAGCCGCCGTCTACCATCACAAGCTCGTGTCACCAAACCAGCGAGAAGGGGCAGCGCAAAGAGCTCGTGTCACCAAACCAGCAAGAAGGGGCGGCGCAGTGGAAAGCAGAGACGGAAGTCGTGGATCTGCAACAGCAAGTTAGAAATGAAGTGAGGCCGAGGGCAACGCGAGGAAGACAAAGAACGAGGCGAGGAAGAAGAACGAAGCACTCTTGGCAACGGCGACGGAATGCTTGGCCGTGGTGATTGATTTCAAAAATTTTACTTTTTTGCCACTTGACCGTGTCCTACACGGTCAAAATCGCGTGTCGGAATGGTCAACGTGTCTTAAAATATTGACCACGTGTCGGACGCGTGTCGGACGCGTATTTTTTCAGATAAAAAGCGAGTCCGTGCTTCGTTGGCTGAGAACACTGGTCAGTGAGTGCAGAGAATTGAGAGAAAATTGCTATTTTAGCTAAGTCACAAGATTGTACTGGATGCAAGACGGATTGCAAAAGGGACAAGGAATTGGTGAAGGCTAGGATGCATTCACATGGACAAGCTTGGATCTGAATTATTCTATTCGTTTTACTTTGTTCTATTACTCTCTGTTTTATTCCTGATTTCCTAGGAACAATGGTGTTTTTGGTTGTAACTTTGGTTGAGAAAGTACCCAAATGATGTACTCATCCATGGATCTTTGACTTCTGTGAACCAATTTAATTTCAATTTGCTTAATACTAATTTGAATGTTTACTTTGATTATTGACTGGTCATCTTTAGCAAAGTATTGTGAATCTCGTGGTTGGAAAGTAACCTGGTTTACCCCTTTATTAAGCAATGTGTTGTGGGAGATGTCATGCACATTTACCCCTTGTAAACTTCAGGTACATTACTGCACATAGCCTAAAGAACTAGAGCTTAACCGGTTTCTGGGTTCAGATCTAACATAGGAATATATCACAGAAGGTTCAGATCTTTAATTGTGTAGTTATTGGAAAATACTCGCATGCTATTGCAATTCTAGTTAACTAAATTAAATTGTAGTAGCAGCTGTCAGAGCATCCATCCTGGGGATGGTATAGCATTTAGGGAAATCAACACCTAGTCACTTCTTATTCTGATTTCCTTTACTCTATACATTCTCTTATACTGTTTTTACCTTCAATCATTGTCATTTAATATATATTTGCATAAACTCAACCTTATGATTTGTTCAATGTTCACTCCTAAGCAAATACTAGTAAACTTTGCTTTAGATATCATTATTTAATCATCTCTATGGGTACGATACTCATTCTCATCTCTAAATTACTTGTTAAGGTGGCGTACACATGAGCGAGTGTATTGTGGTTAATTGCACACAAAACACTACACTTACCAACTCTAAACTATATACCCACCAAATTAATGCAAAATAGTGAATATACATAAATTTATTAAATTTAAGTGCTTAATAATCTAATTTAAGCTGGCCTCAAGCATTGAAGGTGTTGGAAAATATGAAAATAATGTAAATAGACTAACCAATTATTGCAATTAAAGTTGTTGAGATATATAAAACCATTAATGTAGCTTCACCCAATAGCTTAAGCTTTTGGGTTGAATTGGTTCTTTACAAAAGTAATTAGGATATTTATGATCCTGGTCATTCTTTCATTTACTTGAACTTTTTAGAATACTTGGAATGGCATAAGAGAATTCCTCTCAGCACCTATGAATTTATATTTAAATCTAACTACAATCCAAATCCCTAATAACAGATAACTTCAAAATTGTAAGTGTTGAAACTCAGACAATAAAAATAAGACATAAGGATATCATTTAAATAGCTAACACATATTTCCTTAAAAAAAGAAAAAAAAAAAAAAAAGAGCTCCCCATGAAACCACCACTTGCGAGGGTGGGGGTGAATGTGTTTAACTAACATTTTCCTAATAGACAGAAATTCATTCTAGATAAATTATTTGGAAATTCAAAGCTCATTCACTGAATAGGATCAATACTAATGATTTGTTGCAGATTCAGGACCTAACACAGCCATCTCATCTAATATTTGTGTCATGTGCATGAACAGTTTAGAATCAGTTACACATCTGTTCTTACATTGTCAATCAGCTAGTGTCTTGTGGAACAGGCTGTTTGGTATTTGTGGAGAAAATTGGGTTTGTCTAACTAGAGACCTTGGTGAAAATGAAGTTTAAAAGGTTTGGAAGAAAGAAAAGAGGTCAAGAGTCAAGATGTTGATCAAATATGCTGCAGTCATCACATCCTTTCCCTAATAAGAGCTCGAAACATATGTCTAGAAAAGTAATGCTCTAGCCACTTCAAGCAGGAGATGATTTTTCCTCTCAGCAACCCATTCTTTTGAGGGGTATCTACACATGTGAGTTCATGAACTATATCATTGTCCTCCTAAATAAATTGTGAAAGTTATTGGTTGATATATTCAGTACCATTGTCAGTCTGTAGTCTTTAAATATTTTTTCCAAACTGGGTGTTCAGCGGTGCACCTGACTGTATTTTTGTATCTCTTTTTTTCTAAATGGATTTCGTGTTTTATAAAAAAAAAAAAAAAAGAGGGAGAAAGAGAGAGAATCAAGATTTGGCACTCACAGTAGCTTCTGGATTATGTATCAACACACAGAGCACCTCTACTACTTCTCCTAGATTATGGGGAGGGATATTAGTCGCCATGCCAACCTGATGAAGATAAAAATTGACAGCTCTGCATGAGAAAATGCTTGATTTGTCAATGAATAAATATCAGCAGTTATTTCAAATATGCAAAAGGGGACCCAAAATCACCGCAATCCCAGAAGAACCATTCAATAATAAGGTTGGAAGACGAGCAGGTAGAAGTGATGGTTCTTTCTGTGAATTATCAAAATTTGGGACAAAATCAACCTGCAACCAGAAACAAATACAAAAATGCATTTCAGTTATTATGTTAAGTTAAATCAGAAAAACTATAAATCACAGGGCAAATAACAGCAGTGACTGACTGTATCTTGCTCTAGATCTGCTAACAACATTGCTTCAGTCAGTTCCTGCAAATTCAGACCAAGAACCAAATACAATCCTTCAAAATGTCTGCCAGTATGTCAAATCAATTCAATAAACATGTAAGACAACAAAAACAAATCCAACACTCTGAACAACTACTTTAGACTAAATTAAACTTCATGTTGATCCCTTAACATCAAATCCTATTTATCATTAAATTAGTACTCAAAGCAGTGTTTTAAAACCCGACTCGGACCGGCCGGGTCGACCCGGGACTCGGTGGGTTCCCCGGTCCGAGCGGGTAGTTGGACCGGTTATGCAGTCAACCCGGATTGGACCGGTTGACCCGGCCGAAACCCGGTGACTCGGCGACCCGGTTGACTCGGGTTAAACCGGTTTTTCCTTTTTTTTTCTTTTTTTTTTTGGTCAAATTTTTTGTTGTTGATAAGAACTCTTGAATTAAATCATATTCATATTTTATGATGAATATGATTAAAAGTAAGGTGAAAATAATAAGGTATTTTAGATTAGTGTAGTTCGTTTATGTAATTTAGTTGCATCTTATAATGATCTCATGAAGTTAAGTGGTGATAAACACTGATGGTCTCATGATCTCATCTCAACGGTGGACACTTTTTTCTTATAGTGTATATTTCATGCATACTATTTGTTATCATAATTTAATTTATCCGTATCATGTCAAGCACAAAAAGTGCATTTAACTTATATTGCATGGTTTAATCCAATATTAGGATATGGTCTAGAGCTAGAAGCTTAGAAGTATATAATATTTGCTATCATTGAAAACCAATTTATTTCTTGAAGCTCATTGATAGTTTTCTTATATGAATTTTTATTAATATAAGTAATATTTTTATATTTTTAATATGTGAACAGTAAAACCGGTTCAACCCGGTTGAACCCGGTTGAACCAGTGACCCAATGACCCAGTACCTCGACCGGTTCGATTACCGGTCCGAGTTTTAAAACACTGATTCAAAGTGCACTTCCAACACCGTCTAAAAATCACAACGATGAAGACTCATTGGGTTTTATTAAACACAAAGTCCATAAGTCATGTTCTTTCATAACAACCTCACAATAGAAAAATTGAAAAAGGAAAGGAAAAAGACCTTTTAAACAGAAAATCTCAATTATGATCACTTATTAACGACAGAACTTCAGATAAGACACCCTATAGCCATATCATGTCCAAACAATACAAATTTACCAAGCAACAATCAACTAAAACTCAAGAACTGGACCAAATATACACGACACTTGAGTTTTGACAATGCTAGAGATAGCAACCAACATTCATGTTTACCAAACCAAAAACTTCACATTTCCTAGAAGTTCCTTGCTAGTTTAATCCTATGAGACCCAATTTTAACAATTTTTTGGCAGCCAATATATACCATGCAGTAGTTTCTTGAGACCAAATACTTCTGACTTCAGATCTTTAGGCAGAACAAGTAAAAACCAATATTGTGAAAGCCCCACTGATGATTGATTTTTTACATGTATATCCATCATGGATATCCAGAATTCATATGATCTTTCAAATTTCTTTTCCTTCTAACACTTTTGAAAACGGAACTGATCTAATCAATATAAGTTTTCAAGCCTGGTTACTTAAATGTTAGAAATGTTTAAAATTTCTACAATAAACAAAAATGGATAAGAAATAACTGTCTGATTACTGATATCAGAACACTAGCATGACTAGAATTAGTGTATAATTTTTTTAGTGATTAACAAGCACAAACAATTATTGATTGAAGAAATCATTGCGTCACACATTTTGATATAGAAATGAAGGTGATATAATTAGACAAGTAGAGTTTAGATTCAACAAGTAAAATAGTTGATAAACACATACTTCCAGTCTGCACTCTGTGTAACGCATGGCAGCAGGAGGGTCAGCATCAATTGACCCAAAATTTCCATGACCTTGGATCAAAGGACAACGTAGGGAGAAATCCTGAAAATAAATTTGAAAAGACATATAAATACAGCATAAAGAAATAAAGAGTGAGTGTCTAAGATAATCCACAAAAAATATCACTTCAAATAGTAATTGCATATTAGGTCCCAAAATATACTAGGTAAAAGAATATAAATCTCTTTGAAAGGACCAAAAGACTAACAGAGAATAGAACTCTCAGTAAAAGGAAATTTATTGCTTCCATTCAATAGAAAACATAAAAGTAGGCTGGTCAAGAAATTTATATAATGCTAGAATACCACAAGCAAGTCCCCAGCATAATAACATCCTAACACAACATGCTCAAGGAGAAATTACACCAGCACAGGAACAAGAGCGACAGAGTACATTTCTCATGCAGTTAGCCGACTATGACTTGCCTCCGGAATATTCTACCAACGTGATCGGATTTTGGGTTCACTTATTGTCCCCACTCTAAACACAGTTTGCTCCTCCTTACTTCAAATACTGTCCAAATAACCCTCTCAACTTGACATGCCTCCTTCTCTTGTTGATTTTCTTTGCATTTGTATCCAAGAGTTCTAGTCATGGTCGTAAGTCCAGCAAATCTCATCCTCAATGTGCCCATTGCCACAAGTCCAGCAAATCTCTACCAAATCTCTAACTCATCTCCTGTTTGCTCAGTCATGGATTCCCCTCTCACTATTCGTGCCCAATTAGGTCATCTGAGTCTTGACAAATTGCAGAGATTGGTCTCAAACCTATCCAAGGTATCTAGTTTGTCTTGGGATTCTTGTCAGCTGAGAAAACATACCCGTAAGTTCATTTCCTAATCGAACATGTAGCTGAGCTGCATCTCTATTTGCTTTGGTGCATTTCGATGTTTGGGGTCTTAATCGTATTGTCTTAATTAAGTTTCAAGTACTTTATCACTTTCATAGTTTCATTGATGACTATTCACATTGTACTTGATTATTGTTGATGCAAAAGAGTGTTTAACATTTTTCAAAGTTTTAATCATGAAATCCACACTCAATTTGGTGTTCCCATTTGCACCTTCTATAGTGATAATGCCATTGGTCACTTCATCAACTAGATATCAAAAATGTCTTACTTCATGGTGAACCCCCTAGGTTTGTTGCTCAAGGGTAGTCTGCTGGCATGGTTTGTGATCCTCAAAAATCCCTGTATAGCCTTAAGCAATCTCCTCGGGCTTATTTGGGTCAATTTAGCATAGTTCAATTTTTGGTAGGACAAGAAGTGAAGCTAACCACTCTATTTTTACCATCATTCAACTAAAGGAAATATTTATTTTATTGTATATGTCAATGACAATGATATCACTAGCAGCTGAGATGCACGGACACGCTCCTTTTTAAAAAAATAGCGTGTCGGATACCGACACGTTCCGACACGTAGTCAATATTTTAGGACACGTTGACTATCTCGACACGCGATTTTGACCGAGTCGGACACGAAGTCAACATCTTCGGACACGTTTTCAGACACAATTGCAAGCACCTTTGCAGTTCAGTTTAAAATAATTGTAAAAAAAAAAAAAGTAGAGAACAAAGTTTCCGAACAGAGTGAGAGAGGGGAAAATCACAAAGTTATAGAAGTTATAGTCTGTGAGGTCATCTTCGTTGTCTCCGTCGAAGTCACAGGTCGTCCTTGGTCGCTAGTTTTCACAGGGGAAGGGGTTTGTCGAAGATGGAGAGTCATGGTCAGTGCCTCCACCTTCTCCGTCTCCGTCGCTGGTTGCATGTCGCTGATGGAACGGATTTGTTGAGAAGGAAGAGTAGGGGTTGGTCATATAAAAAACTTATGAAAGGGAGAAAGTATTCATGCTGCAATTCCTATTACCAATGTACACCATAAAGACGTTAGTCAGAAGGGAAGGGAAGGGAAGGGGAGGGGAGGGGAGGGGAGGGGAGGGGGAGGGGTTGGGGTACAGATATTTTAATGGTTGTATGACAAAAAGACCCTTAAATTATTACAATTATAATTTTAAATAGAGAGCAAATATATAAACTTGGACATTCAATAATTTTAAAAGGATGAGACGACTGACTAGTGGGGAACCAAATTGAATAAGTGAAAAAGATAAGAAAAAATAAAAGGGAGAACGGTTTAATAAAACTTAGCAAATTGATATATTTTAAAAATTATTCATTAAAATAAATACAATATATAATTTCAATGTAACTAATGTTATATATATTAAAAATATTATTTAATATCAAAACTTGTCCCAACGTGTCGAACTATGCCATTTTTAGAATTAACGTGTCGGCGTGTCGAGTTGTGTCGTGTCGTGTCCCGTGTCAGTGCATCATAGACTAGCAGTGATCATTGTGCCATCATTCAGATAAAAAACTATATTGGCCATCCCTTTCAAACCAAAGATCTTAGCAAACTTCAATACATTCTACGAATAGAGGTAACTCAATCAAAGATTTCAAAGGGAATATGCTATGAACATTCGTGACGAAAACAATATGTTGAATGCAAAGCCAGTTAATGCTCAAGTGGATCCAAATGCTAAACTCCTATAAAATAAGGGGGAGACACTTTCAAATCCAGGAATATACAGAAGGTAATAGGGAAATTGAACGAACTCATGATTACAAGTTCAGATCACTTTTTGCAATTAATGTGGTAAGTCAGTTTCTCAATTCACCTTGCAATGAACATCGGGATGTCATGCTTCGCATCTTAAATATGTCATAGGTGCTTTATGAAAAGGGTTTTTTCATGAAAACAAAGGTCACACTCAAATTTTTTGATATTCAAATGCTAATTGGGTAGCTTCCTTACCGATAGAAGGTCTGCTTCTGGTTATCATATATTCATAAAGGATAATTTGATATCTTGGAAAATTAAGAAGCAAAATGTGATTGCAAGATCAAGCGCCGAATCAGAGTATTGACCATGGCCTCAATCACTCGCGAAATCATTTAGCTAAAATAGCAGCTTAAGAGCTCCAGTTTAAAGAAGTTACGCAAATGAAACAAGTTTGTGATACCAAAATGCACTGCATATTGCATCTAAACCTGTATTTCATGAGATGACAAACACATTGCGGTAGAATGACATTTCATCAGAGAGAAGATATTCTGGTCTAGGTAGATTCATTCATTGTATAGAGAAGATATACTTGTCTAGGTTAATTGTATATTACTCCTCTTTTTTGTTATAAAATCAAACCTCCATTACATAGTTGAGACACAGAATTCCTCCGATTGCCTCTCATTTCCTCCTCATTTAATAGTGGGTTTGGATTAGCTTATTTTGAGAAAATAATTGCTTTTTCGACCACTTTCTGAGAGAGCCTTTACAACGATTATATCCAATAATTAATCAGTCACCAAACACCCACTTATGCATATGATACTACAGTCTACATATAAGTAACAATTGGCCCAAAATAACATTAAGGGCCTGTTTGGTAGAGGGATGTTTTTAATTTTACCAGGAAAGTTAACTAAGGTTTTGTGAAAGGCCACGTTTGGTAGGAGTTTTGCTAGGTAGTGCCCGGGTATCCAGTTTGCCATGGAATTGCTGTTATGAACAAAATGTGATCCAGTTTACCTCCACAAATTACCACCAAAGGGGTGGTATTTGTGAAATACCCGATTGGAGGAAATCTTGTTTGATATTTTGGGACAATTCTACCCTTCGTGTGTTACAGCTGGTCTTTATAACTGGTGTCTCTTTCTCTTTCTTCAAAGAGAAAGAATTTTCTCTTTTTCTCCTGGTAGCATCCGTACTTGTGTATTTGACCCATTCTTGTTTGATACCCCATTTACAAAAAATGGCAAGACTCAAGGTGGATTGGAAGATCAATGGACGAGACGCATTGTACTTCAGACGGAGGGTTCATTTCCAGCTTTAGTAAATAGGCTATTAGTAATCAAATCTGAGTCACTTGAATTCTCTCCTGTAGAAAATGCATTTGGGATGTTTGAAACACAAACAGCTGCATTAAGAAATGAACTTGAAGAGCCTCGAAGTTATGAGGGGATCAACTTCCACGACTCCAGAGTTTACAATTTTTTTTCAATGGCTCAAGAAAAGCCATATCCATTGTTTCTCTGTAAGAACAACTCCATTATCATGTTTGAATAAAAAAATGAAGGTGGGGGTTATTTTTGTAAAATAACCCCACATTCCCGCTAATATTTTACAATCAACCAAACACAGACTCAATAAACTTAACCAAATAATCCTGGTAAAATTTTGGCATACCAAACAGCTTTTTTGCAACATTCCTAGGTAATCTACTTTCTCATCATATTCCTGGAAATCATGATTCCCAGACACCAAAAAATTTCTCCTCTACCAAACGCCCCCTAAAATGAAGGGCAAATAACAAAGAAAGCCAAAAACTATTATTTTACCTGGGCCATTCGCACCAAGGAATCATATACAGCAGAGTCTCCATGAGGGTGGAATTTTCCCAATACCTATAAAAACAGCATCAAATAGTAGCAAATCAAAAAATAAAAATGACAATGGAAAATATGCCGTCCAAACATACTTCTAATGAATGTATTGGATTCTTGATTAATATTAAGAATTCAACATCTATGGCTAGATATTAACCTCTCCAACAACTCTTGCACATTTCTTGAATGGTTTTTTTGATGAGAGGCTGAGCTCATGCATTGCAAATCTGCATTCAAAATATTACTTTGCTTTGAAATCACATCTCAGTAAGAACTGTCAAATTTCAGCAACTCAAAATGTTAAAAGAATCGGGGTAATCGTACTCCCAATTGTCAATTAAGGATCCACAGTAAATACTTTTAACTATAAATTCCTAAATTTCCCTCACTTAAATAATGTGTATTCAGATAAGCTGTAATCAATATTTTTATATGTCTGTTTACATTTAATTGAGGGTAACTTAGAATAGTACAATTAAAAGTAGTTAGTGGAGAGCATGAATAGACAATTAGGACTGCAAATGCATTACCCTAGATTTTATTATTGCTACACTGCAAACTATAAGCTTCCATCTCAGAAACTTCACATGATGAATGAAATAAGGAATGGTAGGTTTAAATTAAACATGCAGTAAAGCAAACATTCTTACAATTCATGAACCAATGCAAGCAAAAAGTTTTTTATTGAGAAATGTCAAAACGTGTAACCAAGGCCTGCTTCAATTAACATCTCCAGTTGCCTTATTGTGAAAGCATCACGAACAGCAAAATGACAATAACAAACAATTCACACAATAAAATTACAAAGATAAAGCATAACAATATCAGAACCAAGTTCTAACATAACAAAGTCAAACTGACAAGTGATGCATAAATGCTAGAGACCAATTTGATACCAAGCTCAAACACAATCACCGAAATATAGGAAGAAATGATTAAATTATATATTAAAAAAAAAACAATTTACTTCACAAATTTCTAAAATTCCTCTAACAGAAAATCCCGTAACAATACTAACAGAATCCTTCTATGCACGGGCTTCAACCCGTCACGAACATCGGGCAAAGCGCGACCGAGTAGCACGGACATAGCATACGCCATGTAAGCTTCAGTTGCCTCTTTGTGAAGCTCCGTCATCAGAACCCTTCCATCACTCCGGTTATTCTCGTCCACCACCATGACGCTTCCATTTCCGTCTTGCAGCGGCTCATCCCGGCGTCTGGCGGCTTGGACCGCCGTCGCCGGCCGCCGTGACACACGTCGGGCGGAGGAGGAGAAGAATCGGAGCTCCGAGGTGTGGCGGAGCCAAGAGAGACGCGTGGGTGCCAAGGGGGAGAATCTGAGGGTTCTGAGCGCAGAGGAAAATGCCATTAAGGAGGAGGAGTTGTTGCTGAGAAGATTGGGGTTTTGGATGGAAGAGGGTTTCATAGAGCTGCCATAGAAAACTGTGCGAGTTGGGGTTTTAGGGATTTAAACAGCGACTAGTGGTTCTTAAACCCTTTTTAGTGTTACGCTTGGATTTCCGTGGGTGCGTTCATGCGCGCGAAGTTGTGAATTTGGATGAGAAATGTTGCTCGTAGTGACGCACGAATTTTCCGCGTCTTGTCTTTTTTTAATTTAATTTTTTATAAATATGTAAAATATACCGTCGAAGTTAAAATAAAAACACTCGGTATTTCAAAAAAAAAAACACTCGAGTGCAGCTCACTTACCAATCGAATGACCAAGAGTTTGCTTTCGTAAGGGGATTTAAATTCTGGATAAAATAAATTCTTAAAATTTTTTTGGAGGTCAGCAAAGAAATCATTTCTTTTGAAAGGAAATTAGTCTCATCTTTTTTGTTTCAGCAATGAGCTAATCTTATGTTACGAAGTACTGACACTTCAAAAATCTTGAAGTGTTGTGTTCGATACTTTCCGACATTCCCTGGCACTCCGATACACTTTCCGACACTCTAATACTAGTTGCAAAGACTCAAAAAATGTTCAAAAATTACGTTGCGTTGCATTTTGAGTTCTAACTATTAGATTCGTTAGATTACGATTACGATTACGATTTTATTGAGTTTAACATAAATATTTAGAATATGTTATGTTTTTTTGCAAAATTGATGAGTATTATAAGTTTAGCTTTATTTTTTTATTAAATTATTGAATACTATATATAATATACACTCATAAATTAAAAATATTATACAATATCAAAACATGTCCTAATCTGTCAAAATTTAATATTTTTTAGAATTAACGTGTTAGAGTATTGTGTCGTGTCGTATCTCGTGTCCCGTATCAATGTCAGTGGAACATAGGCCTTAGGACTTAGGAGTCGTACTCTGAGAACAAAATAACTCAAGAAAGTTGTGTGGTAATATCTCCAAATTATGAGTGTCACTTGTGCATTAAAGTTTTTTTTTAAAAAAAAATAAGGGCCAGAATGGAATTTAGGATGGAATTTCTTTACCAACGGAAGATAAGAAGCTCCACAATAGGACTAAGAGTATGATTGTTATTTTATTTTTTTAAGATAAAAGTTACATTTAAACTAAAGTTAAAAAAAAATTAAAGCACCACTAGGGTTAGCCTAGTGGTGTGGGGTGTGTGTGTTAGGAGTATGTGTAGTATAGGGTGTTGTGTTCAATTCCTTGTAATCTCAAAAAAAAAAAAAAAAAATTAAAAATAAGCTACAAGTTATTTGATAATTTCGTACAAATTTTAGCTTAAAAGTCGTTTATTTAAAAAAGCACACATTTCAAAAAAAGCTTATATAATTTTAAAAAACTCTTCTTATGAACTTTTGATTTTTGATTTTTGATTTTTGATTTTTTTTTATTTAAAAAAAATTATTATAAGAATTTTTGTAAAATCTTATTGACCTAAATTTACTCATAAAGAGAATAGAATCTAAAAAAAATTCAAACAGACACTAAATGGTATTATTAGATGTTAGTTATCTGTTACTTTTTAAATAAATGTATATTGAGTACAAAAATCTTATCAGAAAAAGTTAATCATCTATCGTGAGTTTACAATGAGTCTCATGATGCTCTTTGAATGAGCCGAATATAATAAATTTAAATATTATGCTCATTGTTAGCTGATGTTTCTCATTTCCTATCGAATCAACACATCACAATTCTTTTTTCTTGTTTTAACCTGGAGCTGCTCAGTGTTTGTGTATAGTCATGAATGTATACTTTGGAGCAGAGTGTATCTTGATCGAGAGGTGCTTATCGTAGCAATGGTAAAGAGCAAGACATCATTGAAGCTTCTCATGTGCCATATTATAAAAATGAGGGGTGTGTGTCGAACGGCTATCGTAGTCTAGAAAACATCGACACTCAATTTTTTTTGAAAAAATGTGTGTCAGACAGCAACACGCGTTCGAGAAGCGATTAACATTTTGAGACACGTGGTCAATGCTCTGACACATATCCGACAATTTTTTTTTAGGTACAAATTTTATTTTATTTTATTAACTAAACATGAAAAATAATTTATAAATCAATTTTTTCTGTTATGAAATTTGACATGAAAAATTAAGGTACGAAAAATTATTTTTGCTTTATATTTATGTTATGAAATTTGAATATTTTATTGGTTATATGACTTATTACGAGCGATTATATGTATTAAATATAAATTATATTATATATTGAATATTTACTGCTATTATAATACTAAATATTTATTTCAAATTGGACAAGTCTCTCTCACAATATATAACAATGTTATAAAAATTGAATTGATCCGGCCGGGTCGACATGTAAATCGGTGAATTCTTATGTTGAATCGGCTATATTACAGAATTGGTGTGACCCGGTGTAACCCGACAGGTTTTCGTAAAAATCGGTGACCCGGCTCGATCTGTGAAAAAAAGAAACTAATTTTTTTTCATGAATTGATGTCTTCTTTTTAAACACTCTCAAACACAAATGATTTGTTTTTTTTTTTTTGAAATATTTGAGTAATTTGCAACTTATTAACTTACATAGATTATGTACCTACAACACTAAAATTATCTTGATTATGTAATATGCAGGAAATTTTGATTTGATTTATAGTTAGAGATGTCGTCTAGTGAACCTGAAACACTAGTATCACAAATATTATATGTTTGATTGATCTTTTGTTGGACAATGATGTGTACTTTATTATTTTTAGGCTAAAATATAAGTTACTCCCTTGAACTTTGACTATGTTTCAAATTACCCCCTTGTACTTTTAATTATTTCAATTAACCCCTTGTACTTTATAATTGTTTCACATCAACAATTCTGTTAAAAAATTTACAAACTCTGTTAAACTTTCTCAGATGCCCTAAGCCTCAAATCTCAAAAATTTCTTCTCTCTTTACTTCTACGTTCTCCAATCTTTTATTACAATTTCCTTTGGATCTTTTCTCAATAGTTTAGGATGATTTCGATCTGATTGTAGGATGATTTTGGTATGCAGTTGGATGCTCCACATTCAGCAATGATGAGAAGCCCTCCTTCCGTTGTTACGACTTCACATCTGTAGGTCATCTAGTTGATTTAATTTTGGAGAAACGGTACCCAATGGTTATCATTGTAAATTACAACAACTCATATGCTACTTCATAGTTCATACAACTCTAGAGCAGTTGGAGTTTTTACATTAGAACAATTGAATAGGCTTATCACACTTGTATCTGAATTAAAAGGGACAGATCTTTCAGTCTACAGAAGATAATATAACATGTTTAGCCATACCAATATGTCAATTTTTTTTTAGTTATGTAACAAAATGCATTGATTTTAAAAAAATAAGTTGTTTTTTCTTACTTGGTTGAAAATGAGTTTTTCTTACGATACTGCATATAAACTGGAATTGTCCTTAATGTTTTATGATTTATGATAAGGAGTTTCTTTTAGATACTAAAGCGATTCATGTATGCAGTTATCTCAGGTTAAATGCATTCTTGAATGCTGAATCCAAATCATCCCAAATTATTGAGAAAAGATCCAAAGAAAATTGTAATAAGAGATGGGAGAACATAAAAATAAAGAGAGAAGAAATTTGTGGAAGTGGGAGACCTGATTTGTGGAAGCTAATCTAGAAGTGACTTGGACCTCATAGAATAAAAAAATTTCTCTGGAAAGTGGGACATGACAGGTTATTAACAAAGAGTAGATTGAACAAATTTAATTTGGGCTGCTCAACTTGCTTGGTTTGTAACCACGATATTGAAAATACCTTGCATTTGTTGAGGGATTGTTCAAGTATTGGTAATATTTGGAAGCGGCTTTCACCCCAATTGGTTGTTCCAGATTTTTTTTCTTTGAATTTGCAGGATTGGCTAATTGAAAACTTGAAGTAGCTGTCATCTAAATGCTTTAATATTCCCTGGACGCTGATCTTTGGTATAACCGTTTGGAAGGATTGGTCTTGGAGAAACGATATTATGCATGGATCGGGCAGTATGGAAAACAGGTACAATCTGGATGTAATTTTATTATTTGCTAGGGAGGTCATTACATCCGTGGGAACAGATGGTAATGTTATTCATAGGAGTGCTTTGCCTGAGAAGTTTATTAGGTGGGTGCCCCCTGAAGATGAGTGGATAAAGATTAATACAGATGGGGCCTCTAAAGGTAATCCAGGTATGTCTGCTTGTGGAGGACTGATTAGAGGTTCTGATGGTAAATGGTTGGAAGCTTATTCTTATAGAATAGGCCATTGCACTGCGGTTATAGCTGAGTTGTGGGGTATTCTAAAAGGATCGAAAAGAGCTTGGGAAGGAGGTTGGAGGAAAATTATTTTGGAGAGTGATTCAGCATATGCTATCACTTTGCTCACCAAAACTGGTGATGAATCCCGTGAGTCTCATTTAGTGTCTCGCATATGGGATGGCTCTCAAAGGATTGGATTGTTAAGTTGCTTCACGCATACAAAGAAGGAAATATTTGCATAGATTGGCTAGCTAATCTCCCTCTAAAGCTAGATCAAGAAGATTTTATGATTTTTCATATTCCCCCTCCAGATATTAGGTGGTTTACTTATCTGATTTTAGCTCGGTACACAGAGCTAGGCACTCTTTGATGTAATTTCTTTGTTTTTTGTTGGGGTTGTGCCCCTCACCAAAAAAAAAAACAGAGAGAAGAAATTTTTGAGATTTGGGGCTTAGGGCATGTGAGGAGGCTTAACAGAGTTTGTAAAATTTTTAACAGAATTGTTGATTTGAGACAATTATAAAGTATAGGGGTTTAATTGAAACAATTAAAAGTACAAGGGGGTAATTTGAAACATGGTCAAAGTTCAAGGGGGTAACTTATATTTCAGCCTTATTTTTATATTAAAATATTTAAAATAAGTATTTTTTTACAAGTATTTAAGTATATTTATTGTTTTTTTAATATAAATTATAGATTTACATATACTTATCAGATCATGCGTTGAACCAGTGATGCACTGATTAAACCAGTGACTCAGTCACCCAATAACTCGACCGGGTCAATAACCAAGTCGGTTTAATAACATTGATATATAAGGTCAGTGAATAGTCCAAATTTATAAATGGCGCGTTTGAATAATGTATCAAGTTGTTAGTAATCACAATGAATTATAAGCATACTAAATTCAAAATAACTTTAAGGGGCGTTTGGTTGATGAGAAATTTTATGAATAATAGGGAAATGTTATTGATAGGGAAATGGGAGGAAAATGAGTTTGGTAGGAAAATGTAAAAAAAAATTGTTTGGTTGGAAAAAAATTTACCGGGGAAATTAGGTAACATTTATAAAGTCTATGTTTGGCTGTAGGCAAAATATAGATGGGAAAAAAGTTAATATTACAAAAATAACTCTGTTTTAAAAGTGGAAATGATTCAAACATTCTACCATTTACTAATTTAATCGGGATGTTAGCCCCAACGTCCATATGTAAAAAAAGTTGGTGTTGGCAACGAGCATATTTTCAAAAAACAACGAAAAAATCTGTGTCTTTAAAATTGAGCTGTCGAGGTTTTTGGCTCAGCAACCATCATAAGGGTGACGTCGAGACCGTGTTCCAGATGAGTTTGATGAAAGTAAGATGAGGTTTTTGGCTCAGACGAGGTTTTTGGTATCGTCATAGCTTGATGAAAGTAAGATGAGATCAGGAGGGAAAAATTCATCTTTTTCAACCTTTATTATGTCTCCAACTTTCAAATCTTTCCATTTAGAATAGTCAAAAACACCTTCTCCACGATGCACTTTGACCTTTCTGTTATTCATCTCGATATCCTGATGCAATTACAAGACTATTTTCAGACCTAAGAATGAGTTTAGTGCAGAAGCTACTTTTTCTCTCACAATTTCCTTACCATAGTAACTGTGGGCTAACTGCAAAAGTATGTATATTAAAAACTTTCTATGGACAATATTCAATTTGCATAAAGTTTAGAGAACAGAACATCATCTTAACCACAAATTTGAAGCAAAAGCAGATACAATCATTACCTACTTTTTTCTCCTCCAATCCTCAACTGCCTCTTCCCCCATTGTAGCAGCAACCACAACCACAAGAGGAACTACATTGCTGATGGCTGAATAAGGATGATACGCTCATCATCTTGCAATACCACTTATGTAGATAACTTGCAATACCACCTCTCAATTGGGATTATTTGGCCGGCTATATTGATCAGAATCACATGCAAATGGGTTAGCTAAAACAATCATTTAAGTAGACAAATTTGTGAAACCCTTCAACCAAACAAAGTGATCAAATAATCTCACTTTTCCATTTTCTTATCTAACTCATTAAAATCCTCCAACCAAACACACCCTGATAAAAACTTTACAAGTAAACATTGATCAAGATGAAAGATTGTTGTGTCCTTTAAGATCCAATTCATATAATGAAACACAACCTATTAAAAAGACAAAATTTATCCCGTTGTTATTTATATAAGACTTATAAATAATTTTATAATTAGAGATAATAACTCAACTTCAAATCATTTTGATTCAATAAAAACCGAGAATGTTTAATTGACATTAATAATAAATACAATAAGAAACAAGAATTAGAAAAATTTACAACTTTATACAAATAGTCTGTATTGAATATATAATAAATAATATTTAAAAAACTATAATTAAAATTAACATAATTTACATCATAAATATAGGTGGAAAGCTTTGAAAATGGACTAACACACGGAATAAATAATTTTTAATATATATATATATATATATATATATATATATATATATATATATATATATGTGTGTGTGTGGAAAACAATAGGAAAGACCGTGGAATAAAAATTTCTATTTGATGAATGATCCGCACATATCGTGTCAGTGGAAAAGATTTGAAAAAAAAGATAAACACTCATAATTATATTATTAATTATTGATACGAATTAAGTGGTACGGAGAGCAATAAACGGGGTAGTAGAATAGTGTAAACGGCATATTGAAGAAGCCTTTGAAATATCTGTAATTTTTTTTTTTTTTTTTAAGTCATCACTTTACTTGAGATTTCCAGGCATCGAATTTCTACAAACCGTGATGCCAATAAAACTGTCAATTTTTTATATATATTTTTTTCTCAGAAGATAATACTTTTTAGGGTTTTTTTAACCCAAAAAAAACAAAAACAAAAACGATGTCACAGAAATCGAAAAATCTAGAAGGACCGTCAAACTGGAACAAAGTTTCAGTACTATATTTCCTTCCTTACTCTTTTGTTCTGTGGTAGTGGTAGTGTCAGTGTTATCCACTTCGGCCAAAACATGTTGGCTTCCACTGTTCTAACACCTTCCAAGTTCAACCCTTCGCAATTCGTCCCACCAATCAGCGTCCCAGAAATTCAACGAAGAAGCAGATTGGTAATCTTTTCCAAATCAAATTCCAAACATGCTGTGCTTGCCAGGGTCAGTAGTAGTAATGGACGTGACGGTGCCGTTGATGCTACCTCACCTCCTGTATGTTAATGTTACAATTCTACACACCCTTTATTTTATAGGTTCCCTTTCAAATTTTTATTGTATACCCATTTTTGTGGTGTTCATGAAATGTCTATTGGCCCACTATATGGAACATATTTATTGGAAAAGTTGACATTTTTTTTTACTGTTATCTGTATCTGGATTGGATTCTAAATCTAATATGCTACTTTTATGCTGATTATAAGTTGATCCTATCGCTTTCTCTATAATTCTATATGTATGTCACTGTATGTGTTGTGAATAGTGATGAGTTAGAGCATGGATATTCTGTTATTTTGTATATCTATATCTGGTTTTTGTATTGTTCTTTGGGCCTTGACTGTGGTTATGCATTTGATTTAGTCAACAATTTGTTTCATGTGATATTGAATGCTTGAATTTTGCTTTCAGGACATTGAGGCAGTAAGTAGTGCATCTTCTGATCTTGGTGATGGTTATGTGGCCTTGTTTGTTCGTATGTTAGGCCTAGATCATGATCCTTTAGATAGAGAACAAGCTATAACTACTCTCTGGAAATATTCACTTGGTGGAAAGAAGTGTATTGACACTATAATGCGGTTTCCTGGTTGTATTAATCTTATTGTGAACCTCCTTAGATCAGAGTCTAGTTCAGCGTGCGAGGCTGCTGCAGGTCTTCTACGATCACTATCTTCAGTCAATCTGTATAGGAATTCGGTAGCTAATAGTGGAGCAATAGAAGAGTTAAATAGATTGCTGAGGCAATCTTCCTTGGCTCCCGAGGTATAGGAATTGGTATTCAGAAACTTGGATTCATTTGCACATGTTTCTTTTGTGTAGAAATTTGAGAATATTTGGAACTCTTTTTTGCAGCTAAAGGAGCAGAGTATGAGTACACTCTGGAGTTTATCTGTTGATGAGAAGATCTGCATTAAAATTGCAAATAGTGATATTTTGTTGTTAACTATTAAGTACCTTGATGATGAGGATATAAAAGTGAAGGAAGCTGCAGGTGGCATTTTGGCAAATTTGGCATTGAACCGTGTTAACCACAACATCATGGTTGAAGCAGGTGTTATACCAAAATTGGTGAGTCTTCCTTTCATCCTTTGAGTTTAGTAATTGGATGAAGGTTGGTTTTGTAATGAAAAAAAAAATTATTTACATGCACTGATCTATGAGCAGTATGTATTTTCTGTCAAGATGAATTCTGCTAGAGATAAACAACCATTTCTAAAACACTAAGCTTATAGATGATATAGTTCTTGACATGGTATCAAAGCCTCTTTGAACAAGTGGTGAGGAGTCCTATTCCATAGACTTCAGATATTCTAACAAAGTTTGATTATTTATTTATTTATTTATTTGCTTTTGAAACTAGCTAAGGATTTGTAAGCTTCAGCTTGAGGGGGAGTCTTGAAAATTATGATTTATTTTTATTTGATTATGAAAGTCTTCTTAATTAATTTAGCCATTACTTGTTGCAGAATGTGAGTAGGGTACAGATATCTTGTCATAGTCTTAATTTTAGAATAGATAAAGGTGTTAGATAAGTTTTTTTTGTATTACAACTATTCAGTGTCTCATTAAAAAAAAAAAAAAAAAACTCCCCGTTAAACCCGACTAGCGAGTGTGGGGTTGAGGAATCCTTATACGCAGCCTTAACCTTGCATAATTGCAAAGAGGTTGTTTCCTGCTGGATTTGAACCCATGACTTTTTAGTCATGAATATTGTTCATTCATTCTCTTCCTTTCTTTTTCTCTTCCCTAAATTTCAACAGAAACAATAGCATAATGCCTTTCAATAAAAGTTGTTGGAAAAAGAAAGAAGAATAAGAAGGAATGACATTCTAAAATTTGCTGATATTTTAATTGCCATAGGACTTATCAAAGGTCTTTTTCTCTTTATGCTTACAACATTCTAGAATGTGATTATATGTGATCTTACTTCAGGCAAAGTTCTTAACGTCTAATTCGGAAGGATCTAAAGTTATTAGAAAGGAAGCAAGAAATGCATTGCTTGAACTTGTTAAGGATAAGTATTGTAGAATTCTTGTCATTGAGGAAGGTCTGGTTCCTGTGCCATTAATAGGTGCTGCAGCCTATAAGTCATTCACCCCAGGTTTACATCTGTGGCCCAAATTACCAGATGGTACAGAAATTGAAAGGACTTCTACACAACCTTCCAGATTTGGTGCATCAGAATTACTTCTGGGATTAAATATCGATGACAAGAATGCTAACATAGAGGAAGCAAAAATCAATGCAATTGTTGGGCGGACACAACAGCAGTTCCTTGCTCGTATTGGGGCTATAGAAACGGAGGAGAAAACAATACCTCATTCTGAAAGCTCAAATGATCAGCGGCTTACACTTTTACCTTTGGTGGATGGTGTTGCTCGTTTAGTACTGATACTAGAACTAGAAGATAAGTCTGCGATATTAAGGGCTGCAGAGTCAATTGCTAATGCATGTATCAATGAACAAATGCGTATTGCATTCAAGGAGGCTGGAGCAATTAAGCATTTAGTACGGCTTTTGAATTGTGATGATAATGCGGTCCAGTTGGTGGTTATACAAGCTTTGGAAAGGCTCTCTGCTAGGTAACCTGAAATTATCAAAATTTAGTTCCAAGTTTTATAGTTGCAGCATTTAATTTCTATTCTTGACATTGGGGAGAACTGACAGTTCTTTTCCAAAATAGGGATCAATTCATTGCTATTCAAAATTAGAGGATATCTTGGAATTTCTTACTAAAAAAGCTTTATAGACCATCTTTCACTGTGTACCAAGAAATTCAGGATATGGCTCTTATGATAAAAAGAAACATTGTATCATTAATAAAGAGAATGGAGTTTCAATATTGAATTTCTGGGTATAAGAAGGTATCACCTAGAAGTTTAAGGACAGAATCTATGGTAAGTTTGTATTTTCTTATGTACAATATAGGAAAAAAATAAATGGAAAAGAAGAAAATAAAGGAAAATCTGAATATTGCATCATAGGGATAATATTTTGGAAAAAGAAAAAGGCATTGATTTTAGTGGTATATAAATTGCTTAAATAGTTTAAGATTGTGTAATTATACTTTGTAAATTGTAATCATACTTCATGATTTTCTCAATGCAGCAATGTTGTTTGCCGGGTAATTGAAGCTGAGGGTGTTTTAGGTCCTTTGGTTGGTATTTTGAAATGCTCAAAGATACCTGGAACTATTGTGGAAACGGTATTAGTATTTCTTTTGTGTTAATTAATTCTGGCAAGGTCCTGGAATATAAAAACGGATGAAAATTTATCAAGGTTTTGATGATGGTGTGATGTTCTTCTGCAGTCTTTGAACATACTTGCTCGGATATTAGACCCTAGTAAAGAGATGCAATTGAAGGTTTGTTTTACATATCTTGTAGCAAATTTATAGCTGAATATTTTCTGATTGCTTGTCAAGTACATTGATTCTTTTCAGTTTTATGATGGACCAGTTAATGGACCTGAGGAGACGTTTGATGGAGCTAAAAATGATGGTGTTTCAAAAACAAACACCAGGTTAGCTAAAGGGACTCTGAACCAGAGTTCCTAGATGGGTGTTGGGTTTGTTGAAGTTCAATTGAACAATTTCCAAGATTGGTCATTATGTTATTTGATTGAGCAACAGCAACAGGTCGTAAGTGCTCTGCACAGTGGTAGTTAACTTTGACTTATTTTTTATTTGGTAAATCTTTCAGGAATGATATAATGGATTCTGTTTTCATAGCACACCTTGTTGAGATTTTGAAGTCCTCTTCACCCAGTTTACAAGAAAAGGCTGCATCTGTGCTCGAATTCGTGGCATTGACTGACCTGACTCTGGCCCCAATTATATCTGTGGATATTGAATCTGGTCTCAATTCTGTTTTTCAGCAAAAAATTTTGAAAATTTCAGGTAAGCAATTTCTGCTCTGTAATGCATGATCTGTTATCAGTGCATATTCTTTTAATCTGTTTGGCATGTTTTGTGATAGAAACTGGACTAGATTACACAGAATGTAACGGAGAAAGAAACTATAATTTTCCACTATAGCTGATAGAAGTGTAAAACACAGTTGAGTAGTTTTCAATGTGCCTTTCTTTCAAATTGTTAACCTGAAATTCTCACTAGGGTATGAGGGGGATATTTCCCTATAAATGAGTCCATAAGATGAAAACGTGAAATCTTCAAATTTTTCAAGGAAGCATTTCATGCAAGAGCCCTTTGGTGTGCTGATATTTAATTTAAGAATGGGTGGGTCATTGACGTTCAAACTCCCCACAAATTAGTCAAAGAGGCTTATCATTTTATTTAAAACCGTTAGGTGAAGGTCTAAAACTGGTTTTATATCCCTAACAAAATATACCTAGTGGGAAAAGGCTTTTGTTGTCTGTTGATCTTTAACACAACATAATTATTTTTGTCACTAACCATCAGCTTCTACTATCTGTTGATCAAAATGTTGCTTATGATTTGTTATGCCTATACAGCGGACATGGAATCTGATGTAGAAGATCAGTTCTCAGAAGCATATGCAATCGAATTCGAAGAAGCTGGTCGTGCAATATCTGCAGCATCCCGGTTAATGACAAGACTACTCGACTGTGAGCAGTTTTGCCACAAAATAAACTCCTCCCATTTCATTGGGTTGCTTCGTGAAATCCTCAGGTCCAATATTCCTCTCCACAACAAAGATTGGGTAGCTGCTTGCCTAGTTAAACTAAGTTCTCTCTATGGTAACAACATGGGTTTTAATCCAATCAATGTGGAAGTTACACTTTATGAGACAATCCCAAGACTAGTAGAACAGATCAAAACTTCATTCTCTCCAGAAGCACAGGAAACTGCTGTTGTAGAACTTAATAGAATAATATCTGAAGGAGTGGTGGATTCCTCAGGAGCTATTATTTCTGGGGGTGCAATATATCCATTGGTGAAGCTGATTGAAGAAGGAAGTGAAAAGGGTGTTGAAGCAAGCTTGGCAATATTGTATAATCTGAGTATGGACAGTGAGAACCATTCAGCACTTGTGGCTGCTGGAGCAGTCCCTGCCTTGCGGAGAATTGTTCTATCACACAGACCACAGTGGGAACGGGCACTTCATTTACTCAGGAGTTTGCAAACATGATGAGTTCAAAGCTACAAATCTTGAAAGAGTTTTCTTATATTGTATCATCTACTTCAACTGTGTAAAATAAAATCTTTACACTTTTTTGTATGTAAATCGTATTTTGGACCAGATAAATGGTCCCAACTTACTATTAGATAGGCATTATGCATTTTCATTCCACCACTCTCTCTTTTAACTTCCTTCTTCTACAAATAACTATCGACTAAGTAATTATCACATCACTAGTCACTTGCGATGTGAAGCCACAACCTCCTTAATTGCTATTGTATTTCATCTATATATGGCCTAATGAGGAGATAAACTCTTAGTATTCACATATGCTCAGGCTTGTCACTTTTATTACATTCTACACATTCATATATTTGTGTCAGAGGACATTCATCCTCTGCTTTTCACTTCCCTGGTGACCCACATTGTTGGCCGGAGATACTGACACATTATTGTCAGATATTTTCTCTACTTTTCCGTAAATAGAAATACTAACTGAACAAATTGTATTTCGAGTTTTGCCATCTTAAATATGAATGCATAAAGTTATTGTTTTTTTTTTCTTTAAAAAAAAATTCTTTGCACCGAATAAATGATATTATTCTTTTTTTTCACATGTAATTTTACAGTAAAATGTATAGTTAATTTGGATTAAGTATACAAATAATATTAGATAGCATATATAATGAAATATCTATATAAAAGAAGGGAAATGTTTTTCTTTCTCTATTTTCTCCTTATACATGAGAAATATATTCTAAGTAAAAAAAAAATGAAAAAATTATAAATGTTCAAACTAGTCATAATTATACATGTTTCATAAAATTATTTACTAATAGTTTATAAAAACTAGTGACTAGTGAGATTATGCTTCGGATTCATTGTATTCTACTTTGGGAAACTTCTTATTAGTATTATCCTTGAAATTATATTATTTGAAAAATCTTTTTTTTTTTAAAATAAATTTATTTTGTCATTTTCCCATCATTTATCGGTATTAAAAGTCTAAAATTTATTGTTAATGGGGATGAAATTGATATCATTCAATGACAAAAAAATTATCAGTTACAAACTAATTTACTGTTCCAAAATGAACCATCTGAAAAGACCAAATTGAAAATAATCTCTTTTCTTAGATTGTCTTTCACATTTTTATATCAACTAAGACATCTTTTATATTCATAAATAAACTAACCGTTATTTTTTTTTTCTCACTCCCAATTTTAACTCTTCCCATACTCATCTCGTATTATCATAAATGAATGAAATTGTCCTACATTATTTAATCATATTAATTGGGATACGGAGGAATTCATACCATAACCTTGAGTGTTTAGTATGGGTATTTGGCATGGAATGATAAGAAAGTGAAGCGGAGAATATTTATTTATCATGTTTGATATGAGTATTGTGAATAAAATGCCAGTAATTTTTTTTCCCAGTATTTTCTTTTTCAACTACACAAAGGTAAAAAAATTATCCCACTTAATCTTTGGTATTTTTTTTTGCCCATGGTCTTGGATTTTGAATATAATATATTGAGTCAAAAATACCCTTGTAATATATGACAGTATCTGTAAAGTGATTGCCCATGGTCTTTGATATTTTGGTAATTTCAATTCACATTCTCATTAATATTTTACCATCAACCAAATATAGCATCATTAAAATTAACTCAATTTTTTCGATAAAATTTTGTTCAATCAAACACTTTTTCGTAACTTATCCGGAATAAAAAAATTCCTATCAAATCCCCAATAATCTTTTTCTCTTGATAAAAAATAAATATCTCTCGCACCAAAACGCTGCGTAAAAGTAATAATAATACGGGAAACACACAAACAAATACTAAAACAATAATATCTCCAATAAACAAGGAAAACAAAACAAGGGATAAACTAACCTTATGTCACAAAAAAAAAAACAATCTTCAGCTGGTACTTCGATTTTTGTGCCAAATATTTTTTCTTAATTCTTTTTTGTCGTATGTCGACCCCACCAAAATTTTTCTCTTCTTGTAACAGTAGAGTCACTCTCCCCAACAAAATTTGAAAAAGAAAAGAAAAGAAAAGAAAAGAAAGTGTTGTAGATATTTTCAGTGTGGACTTATCTTATCTGTGTTGAACGTTTTATATGGCGCGCTGTTTATGGGAAACCAACAGTTACCCTTAAACAGTTGGCACGCAGAACAGAGAGAGACTCGCCATGTTTTGCTTATCCAACCTTTCTATAAGCAAACCCGTTGTTGCTAACGCAGCACTTCCCCAAAAAAGCAGCCATTCTTCTTCTTCTTCTTCTTCACCTGAAAAACAAACTAATGCTCCTAAACCCACCAAAAAAACCATAACTTCTCTACCTAGAAACAAGCTTCGCGGTGGACCACCACCGCCCACCGTAATCCAAATCGAACGCATCGTCGGCGCTGGAAGCTTCAGAGACGGCGATCCCGATACCGGGCATGCTTCCTTCAGTCTTAGCCATTTATTTTGCAGAATATAGCTTGTGATTTTTTGGGTTGGAACGAAGGGAAAAAGTTTTGTCCCATATTTTTTATCATATATTTCGAAAATATATATTTATAACAGTAGAATAAATTTTTTATTTATAAACTCTTAAACATTATGAATAACTCGTAATACTTCAATGAAGACTGAGTGCATGGCCGGTCAAATTTTAATTAAGAATATATGACCGATCAGATTTCAATTAAGAGTGTACGACTGATCAAATTCGTCATACTTGGTCCCATCCTATTTAATGGATGGCTCGGACTGGTGGGCCGATCAGTTTTGACGAACAAACTATTTTTCCATTAATCAATTTTGTTGAAAAATGACGTTTTTTATTCTGGGTTTTGGTTTTTATTTATTTATTTGGATAATGAACAGAGATACAGACGTAAGGAAATCTGTTTTCGACTTGTTCTTGGGGCAAGCACTTGAAGGGCCTGTGGAGAAGAAGATGAGGAAGACAGGAGAGTGGCTGTCTGCTAATGCTGAGACTCGATTTCGCTCTAATGGTAGTAACTAGTAACTCTGGTACAAACCAAGAATCTGATATTCAAGAAATAACTGAAGCTTAACCGAATATTGTAACTGATTAACAGAATCCTAACTGACTCAGTTACAGTTCTAGTACTAATTCACTGACTGTATGTATGTGGCTAACATAGTAACTGTAGTACTAAGCTCTCTCTTACAAATTGGTAATCATTTTTTTATTTTTTTTAATCTTTTGGACCCTGGATTTTCAAATTTTCTGCTATTGCTTATTATCATGGTAAATAAAATTTAGAACTTGTAAAAACCATATCAAAACCTGTTATCAAAAAAAAAAAAAAAAAAAAAAACCATATCAAAACTTGAAGCCTAGGTTCACAGTTTGTTTCAAAGTAGATAGAGAATCTTATTTACAAAAAAAAGAAAGAATCCTAGGGCCATTCCAAATTTGTATAGATTCACCATAACCCACCTTTCACTATGCCTAAGACATTCTACTTCTGTTCATAGCTGTCAACAAAGTTTCATTGTCAAAACATTGGGCTTTATTTGGTCAATGTCTCCCTTAGGATTATTGAGCTTTTGACATCAAGAAACATAATATAAAATTATTAAGGTCACCTTCACCTAACAACTTAAATTTTTTGGGTTGAAATGATTTTATATGTACTATACCATGATGCTATTTTAGGGGAGGATATTGATGGCTTTGTTTGGTTAGTGTTTCCCTTTAGGATTTTTAAGCTTAACATTCAACTCTTGGTGTCTGCAATGTGTATAAGGATTTCCCTCCTTCTTATTTTTGCATAAAATGGTTTTAAACATATGGAAGGTTATATTTACCACCTATTTTCGTTTACAACTTTTTACAACCATGTCTTAACCGTTGATTTCCGTCAATCAACGGTTAAGATTTTTGCAAATCAAATTTATTAATCAATTATTAGTTCACAATAAATTATAACTGTTGATTGGTAGAAATCAACGACTAAGATATAGTTGTAAGAGTTTGTAAACTATTTGAGTTGTAAATATAACCCCTCCCTTTAAACATAGATGTCTCCGTATGTTTTTTCTCACTATTTTGCCTTTATGGTAATAAAGTATTAGAAAAGCAACATGGCTAATGGCTCCTCTCATTTGAGCTTGCTTTTAAATGTTGCCCTTTAACTCTTCCCCCTCATTCTCAAGTATAACTTGTCGGGTATTGAAGATTTATTTAAATTATCTCGTGCTTTTATTTGTTGTTGATCTTTGAATTCCAATGTGTGTTTAGCCCTCACTTCATAATTTTTTGTTTCGCTTTAGCCATTATTAGATAATCTTAATATGATCTAGTCCTTGATAATTCTCTTCTTTCTTTCTTATTTATTTATTTAAATTGTTGCAGGAAAAAGAATTATGATGTTTATGTTTCAATGGATGATACCAATTTGGTTTATAGCATTCCTAGTAGCTTGTGGAGCCATCAAGTTACCATTCAGCAGCCCTTTTCTTGATGACCTACTCATGTGAGCACAGGCTAGTTGCTTTTTGCAGATTGCAGGGTGGTAAATTTCTCAAAGTTCAGGGGAGCACTATCCATATATTTTGTATTTAATAGTATAACATTCTCACCTGTTCCAAAAGCCGAAATTTTAATCAATTTACCTGAACACTCTGTAGATATTTTACTTGTGACCCTATTGATCTATAAATACTTGTAGTTTTCCTTCCATAGGTAGCAATATACTCGATTGTTTCATTCCAACGTTAGGACTTTTATTAAGGCACATGTTTGTTGCTCTTGTAATGGACAAGTGGAGTATTTCAGCATTGAAATCTTCCTTTATGTATATTGGTGTGAAGCAAAAAGTTAATTGTGGATGGCTTGCTATGTAAGAATATTTCCTAATAATTAAGCTTCCATTAAATGACAAATATTTGATTTTATAAAAACAGGTTGATATTCTATTTATATGGGAGATGAAATAGCCCAAAGGTGATTCGTTAGTGTACACACATACCTTAGTATGTGATTGATGAGAGTATGTCCATATACACAAACCATATGTAGACTGAAATTGCAAGTCCATTATAAATTGGAGAATGAAAGGGAAGATTTAGTTTCTCTACAATCATGATTTGATACGTATGTGATAGAACTGGTTTAGATATACGAGAAAGAACAAAGGAAAATAAAACAATATTTTATTGATGACATCTTCCGTGGTCTAGGATCAATGGAGAACACAGATTATCAACAAGGGTTGCTGAACTATTTTTTGAAGGTGTGTTTGAGAGTCAATATTATGATAAAAAAGGAAGAAAGATGAAGATTTTGCTTATGCATTTTCCTTGTGTATAGGTTTTAAAAAATGTGGGAAGAGATTTGTAAAATCCTTCAATACCTTTTTCACCCATAAAATCAGAATTCCCGTAATTTGGAATTTGAGAGGGAAAATATAATAAATTACTCATGTGCCTTTACTCTTTTTTCAATTTTTTTGATTTTCTCTATTTCTTAAAATTATTTGAATTTATTTACTGAAACTATTTTGTTTGTTTGTTTCCAATTGCATTATTTTGAGACAAGTGATTTACTCTTATATATGTGATTTATAATTTTAATTTAATTATGATGTGAAATAGACAATTTTAAAGAGAAAAAATAATTTATAAAGAGAGAAAATAAGTTTTCAGCAGGAGAATTATTTTTCAAATGTGAAAATTACATAAATAATTTTTTTAGAAATTTTAGATTTTATTTTATTTGTAAAAGATAATAATTATATTAATTTTTTAAGGAAGGGTAAAATTGTAAAAATATCTTATTAATTTCTTATTTTTCTTCCTTTTCATATTTTTAACTCCTAAATAAAGGGAAATATACCCTTTATTTTGTTTCCTTCCCTCCCTAGATCTTCTTTCTTCCTTTTACCTCCAAACTCCAAACTTGGGAATATGATCTTTTTTACTCTATTTTACAACCAAATACCCTCTCCGATCTCCATTAAATTAATTGTTCATGATAATACTTTTTTAATTCAATAAAAAATATTTAAGGCATGTTTAAATTTGTAACTTTAATAAAAGTATATAACCAAAATATTTCTTTAGATTTTTTTAGTATGAAATAAATCAATCCAATCATACTTTATCTTATAAAATATAAAAGAGAATCATATTTAAAATTTACTCATTATATGACTTTTTTTTATTAATTTTATTAATACTATCTATTATTATTAATAAAAAAAATATTATTAATATTTTTCTTAGGGTATTATAGTTACTTGTTTAAAAAATTAGAAAATTAATTATGAAAAATAAAAAAATTTAAAAAGCCAAAAATATATGAAAAATAAAATAAAATAAATTTTATATCAAGTAAATAGGGATAGGATATTATAATAACCAAATAATGTTACTATCAATATTGCTACTGTATCTTAACCTTTGATTTTCACCAAACAAGTGTTATCATTTATTGTGAATTAATAATTAATTAATAAATTTGATTTGTAAAAATAATAATCATTGATTGACGAAAATCAACACTTAAGATATGATAATATTGATAATAATATTATTTGGTTGTTACAATATCATATTCAAATAAAAATTACAATTTAACATTTTTTTCTTGTATATTGTTTTTAATTTATATGTTTAAATATATTTATTGAATGAATAAGATATTGTGTTAATTATTATATTTCTTACGATGACACAACGGGTACAGCTAAGAAGTAGCCGCCAAACGTCATCAACGCTGGAATTGCCTTTTCAAAGGCAACAGAAAATTCCTAATACGAAGAAAACTTCCAATTTCTTCAAACTTCTAACTTCTTCTTATCTTTCTCTCTCCTCAAAACCCATTCATCAACACATTCACACAGAAAGAGAGAGAAAGTTAAGAGACAGGGAAACATCAAGGGTTGAAGTTGAAAACCACTTGTACATACACACAGAGAGAGAAAAAGAAAGATCAACGTTGGCATGGGTACCCTTCGAACTTGGAGAAAAGCCTTTGGCGCTCTCAAAGACACCACCAAAGTGGGTATCGCCCATGTCAACAGCGATTATGCGGTATTCTCACTCATCTCAATTTTCTTTTCTTTTCTTTTCTTTTCTTTGTTTAATTGTTCCCCCGGCAAATATCTCATGTGGAAACTACTGATTAATCGGTTCCTATTATTAGGAATTGGATGTTGCCATAGTCAAAGCCACGAACCATGTTGAGTGTCCTCCAAAAGAGAGACACCTTAGAAGTAAGTGATTATTTTATTTATTATCTGATAAAGATGGAAATAGTATGACAAAATTTTAATTTTAAATTTTTTTTTTCAATGTAGAAATTCTGTATGCCATTTCTGCTACACGACCAAGAGCTGATGTTGCTTACTGCATTCTTTCCCTTTCCCGTAGATTGGCCAAGACGCGAAACTGGACGGTAGTGGCTTTAGTACTTTGATTCAGTTAATGTCATAATTTGATATAACTTTAACTTAGAATTGTGAGTTTTACTTTAGAAGGAAGTTGATTGTTATTAAAACCAGTCCGACCTGACTTGACCGGTTGAACCACTAACCGGTCCAATTTAGTCAATGCATGGTCCACGCATGCAACCCGATCAATAACTGATGAACCAGTCATGAACCGGGTTCAACCGGTGCTAAACCGGTATCGTTTTCTTGTTGAATCAGTTTTTGAAATTATGGCAAAACATTCCACCGCAATTGCACTTATGGGATTCAAACTTGGCACCCAAGGGAAGAGAAGTGAAATGCTAACCACTAAGTCAGATCACTTTGGTTGTCATATTACTTCTATTTATATATTTATTATATTTCTTTACATAAATTCAATTTAAGCAGTTCAACTAGTAACTTACTGGTTGAACCTGTGACCTATTGACCCGGTACCCCGACTGAGTCGATGACCAGTCTGGGTTTAATAACATTGGAAGAAACCATTGTCTTACAAGTTGTACTAAAACAGAGATAATTATGGAAGTTAGTTATACTTGAATGTAAGATGGGAAACATTGTCTAATAGGGTATAGCTTGGATTGGTTTCTGTTTTTAGTTGATAAGGCCAGTTCTTCTTCTTGTTACTAATAATAGCATGATTTTCTTTGAATTGTATTTAATTTATACACAGGTGGCATTAAAAACATTGATAGTCATCCATAGGTTATTGAGGGAGGGTGATCCTACTTTTAGAGAAGAGCTTCTTAATTTCTCACAAAGAGGACGCCTACTTCCACTTTCTAATTTCAAGGATGATTCTAGCCCTATTGGTTAGTTTTATGACCCTGTTTTTTATATTTTTTGTTAAATTAATTTGTATTTCCTTTACTATTTTTTTAATTTTCAATTAGGTCGCTACATTTTAAACTTTTGTAATTCTGATAGTCTAAAAAATTTCTAATTAGGTTTATTAGATATAAAATCATTCCTGAGCCTTTACCTAACATATTAAGCTTTTGGGAGAATCAGTCCTTGGCATGGTATTAGAGCCTTTTTGACCATGTGGTCAAAAGTTTAATTTTTTTTTTTTTGAAATTATAGGGTGTAGGCAAGGAAGGAGGAAAAGAGAGAATAGAGACTTTGACTAATATGATCTGTGTATATTGATGTGATATAAAATACAAAGTACTAACTCCTATTTATACCTGTACTGATCTCCTAATCTTAATTGAATATACAATCAGATAGTAGTCGGAGGATAATCAGAGTGTGGAGAATAATCTATCTCTTAATTTTTTTCATTGGTCAATGTACAATATACAGCCAAACAAAGAAACTAATAAAGGAAATAATGAAATCAGGAGATCCCTAAAATAATCTAGGGTATCATCTGAAAAGGAAAAAAGGAAAAGTGGAAACAGTGAATGTTGACTATAGTTATGATAATTTAATATCTTGAAAATCTGATATTCCCTCCAGCATTATGTCTCGGAAAAAATCCGGGATTGTCTCCAACACTCCCCCTCAAGCGTTGGAATGGAGGCCAGTCATGCTTAGATTGCTGACATTGGAATCAAAGTCTGATTTCAACACTGTGTATGTTTAGATATTCTAACAGGACCTATTCTCTAATAGCAAGTTAAATTTTAACACAAGGTAGGGTGGGCCTTTGCATAGTCCACACTTCAAGCCTAAATGACTCGTGTGTGGGGACGTATCAGATATAAAACTATTCACTTGCTATCATCTAATAGTTTAAACTTTTGGGAAAGTCTGTCCTTGACAAGGTCTTGTTACCATTAGAAATTTCTAATGGTTAGTTGGATTTGTGGACCCTATTAGAAATCTTTTAAACTGGGATCCAATAAGTTTATAATTGGATCCATTTAGTTTCACAGTTTTTTTAAATGTGTTCTTGTATTCAACTCACTGCTAACGGTGCTTTGAGGGAAGGGACCTAGTTAGAAATATTTGAAATTATAGGGACTCAATTACAAACTTCTAAAATATACAGATCTTGTTGGAGATCCTCAAATAGATTGGGGAACTATAGATCAATTTAATCTTTGTTAACTGACTTTTTGACTCTAGTTAGATGTTTTTAACAAGTTATTGGTTCAATACTCAACTGAGTCGTATAATTTGACTGTATGATGTCATTTGCTTGCAGCTTGGGATTGTTCTTCCTGGGTACGCACATATGCATTATTTTTGGAAGAAAGGCTTGAATGTTTCCGTGTTCTGAAGTATGATATTGAAGCTCAGCGTCTACCCAAGTCTCTCCCTGAGCAGGACAAGGTAACTTCCTTTTTCCTTTTTTTTTTTTTGGTGATAGAAGATGAGATTTATTGTCACAAAGAGAAGGACAAGGTAATTTCGTTAAACTGTGGTTGTACTTTTGTGATACTTAAAAAATAAATATAGAAACTACCTTTCCTCCTTTATACTTAAGATCTATAATTGTTTGTTTTTTACTCATTTTATTGGTTGTTTTTTAGTTTCTCAGATCTGCATGGCTGTTGTTTTAATACAAAATAGAAAAATCTGTATATGGTAGCATGGAAGGTTGTTACTTACTGGCCAGACTTATAGATATGTGCCTATATTTATTTATCATTATAGAAATCTTATATAACATGAGACATGCCCATCCTGCTGGATATGATGGTAATTTATTTTATACTCACTGTTCTCGTTGTATTTCCTGTGCTTTAATACTTATTTTGACTCATGAATCCTAGATGTTTGACGACAAGATTAGTCATATATGATAATATTCCTTTGGAGTTTGTTTCAATTATGGTTAAATAAATAACATTCAATTATAATCTTGGTGCTATGATTTGTTTAAATGACGTAGGAAAGTAAAGCTAGGGTACTATCAGTATGGAATATAAGAATTGAAAGAGTTTCTGCCACGATCTTGTTTCCCTGATTTATGTGAATGATTTAGTAAAAGGGGGGCTGCTGTACCTATTAATGGAAATTTGAAAAATGTGGATTGAAAGAAGAGATTAGGACAGGGATGAAGAACGGAAAGGAGGGAACACTCAGAATTATAGTATTAATCAATCATAGAGAAATTGAAAAGTTTATAACAACGCCGATTGTAAGGAGCCCTAGTGAAACTCTCAGTTTGTCCTGATTCAGTTTGAAAAGCCAGTCCTTAACTTTGAGGCACTTTTATTATTAAACCCATTAATCAGTGAGCCTTTGAATCCCCAAAGTATTAATTGAACAGCAGCACTGGAATTTGATGGATTATGTTTTAATGGAAGTGGGAAAATAGGAAAGGCTTATGGCTTTTTCTGTTCCATCTCTTTTTCCTAAAATCTGAACAATTCAAATTCTGTCCACGAATTAAAATAAACTTGAAATTGCCGGTCGAAAACCAGAGTGAATTGTTAGAAAATATTAGGGTTATTAGTCTTATTAGTATTGGGTTTTGGCTTGTACTAGCAATACTAGCACTTGACCTAAATACTAGTAGTATAAATAGGTGTATTAGGTTATTATATTTAATAACATGTTATTATCATTAAATGGTCTTGATTTACAGGAAAATACCTGATCTAAAGCAGGAGGAATTATAGTGTACACCTGGTTTATACAATGCGTTTTTTGTAAATAGGAAGTACTTCTTGATCTTGAAACTTGCCAAGAAGTCCTTAAATTGAAAATATAATTGGTTTCAATGTGAGTAGGTTGATTTCTGTTTATGGGTCTGGACACAGTTGATGCACTGGGTGTACTAAATAATTTCTCCTAGAATAGATAGACCCTGAAGTCAATTATTATCTGTTGCATGACTTGTAGACTTGTTTTAAACGCATGGTGACCTATGTAGATTTTATATTTGGCTATAATTATTTCCACTTACCTCTCCAATCCAGATTGGGGAATGGACTTTGCATTCTTCTGATGTGTTTTCCTGTCAGTCCTTTTTTCCAGTTTCTAAGTCGTTCTCCTAGTCATTAGAATCTTTCTAGTTTAAGCCTTTTGGAAGTACAGAATTCCCTCCAAGGTCAAGTCTCTGTGTTCGGTGTTTGGTGTTTGGATGGCCTTCCTTGATGGGATTAATCACATGACACATTCCTCATTTGTAAGTGTAAAGAACCAATTCAACTCAAAAGTTTAAGTTGTTAGGTGAAGGTCACATTAATGATTTTATATTTCTCTAACATGTCCCCTCCCACGAGAGCTCGTTGGGCATGAAAGGTGGACAATGCACAGACCTCTGTCAACGTGTGCTAAGTAACTGTATAATATTTAATTATTTATTAATAGAATGGGAGCAGTGAGGATCGAACTCATGACCCTTAATCACAGATGCTTTGATACTATGTAAAGAACCAATTATACTCAAAAGTTTAAGTTGTCAAGTGAATGTTACTTTAATTGTTATATATTTCTCTAATATTAGTTCTCATAGAGTTCTTTCTTCTGATATGTGTGTTTGTGCATATGTAGTTCTTAAACACTAGCCCACTTGTTTTTAACTATGAAGGGGTTTACTGTCCTACAGTATCATCTGTTTCTGTTCTTGGTGAGGATTGGTTGGGTCTTTTGTCTTAGAACTGTTTTTATATAGTTTAAAGGCTTTGGAAGGAACAAGGAGGCAAATATTTTATTGCAGCACAAGTTTATGCAGTTCTCTGATGTTTATGACTGGAGTGAAATGGGCATATTTTTAATAATATCCTTTTCCCCTTTACATATAATATAGAATAGATTGTGTTTCTGTCCTTTCTATGGTGCTTTGCAAAGAGTTATTTGAAGGGAATTATTACAGATATGCAAAGGGATTGAACAGATTTGTTGCATTTTTATTTAGATTTCTTATCCCTCCCCCCAGATATACTTACTCACTTATTTTATCCAAAAATGATTTGGCTGGCATGATATTTTGTCTGATACTTTTTCTACTTGAAATTTAACCAGTTACTAGTAGAATTCTGGGGAACTCCGGTTTATAGGGAACTGTACTTGTAAGGAGTTTGACTGATTATGGAGGACTAACTAACATAGAATACTTTTTTTCTTCTTCATCTTTTAAAAAAACTTTTTGGCATTGTCCATAAAATCTATTAAAAATCCTATGCATTACTGACTAACATTGTAATAAACTTAAATGGTTGGTGTGGATTTTATATTACTTGCTATTAATGAAGTATCGTCTTACTTGAAATGTGTCGATTTCAGCTTGTAAAATTATTTGCTTTTTTTAGAATTTTGCATGTTTGTTTGTTTTCCAAGCAGGGTTACAGCAGGACCAGGGATTTGGACAGTGAGGAGCTATTGGAGCAGTTGCCTGCTTTGCAGCAGTTGCTCTATCGGCTTGTTGGTTGTCGGGTAATGCTGTGAAACTTGTGGATATTTATTATCTTTTTCTTTATTCTCTCTCTCTCTCTCTTAAAAAAAATTAGGAGTTTACCTTACACTCTTACTCGCCAGTTTTGTTTAATTAGTTTTACCTAGTTAGTAAATTGTTTGTGGTATTGTTATGATATTTTTCAAAATATTCCTTGACTTCGTATGCTGCAACTTTTCAGCCAGAAGGAGCAGCTATTGGCAACTATGTGATACAATATGCCCTGGCTCTGGTATGTACTGAGTGTCTGTTTATCTAAAGATCCTTTATGTATCAAGCTATTTATTTAGAATTTAGACAGATCTTGATAAAAAATTTGTTTTCATATGTAAAAACATTTTCGAATATGGCGTTTATAATAGATTTCTATGAGTGACCTTATACCATAAGGCTGGGGGAAATTATGATAGAGGATTCTGCAGTTCACTAAAACTTTATTGGTTGATCACTTGAGCTTTTAAGTTATGGAGCATTTTCCCTGTTGTTTCTATTATGTGGAATTGTGGATTGCAACAATGGAATTGAAATTCTTGGGCCTAGAAATTTAAGCATTGAAGGGAAGAATTTATAAATATCTAAACTATTAACTGGTTCCTTGAAAGATGGGGGGACTGGTAATATCGTCCATGTTGGGTCCTTGGTAATGTCAGAATTGATTTTCAATCATCTTCATCTAATATATTTTTTGGGAGGACAGCAGTTATGATGACGATTTGTTTGCATTATTGACCCCTCATTGGTAGTTGTAAATTTGCTGAGATTAAATTACTGATTACCCTCATGAGTATAAGGTGTTTTAAACTCCTTTTCTTTTTTGTTAATTTTTTCTTTTGTAAAGTTTTCAAACTTTATTGTATTAGATAGATGGCTTTTAAAATGGTTGCTTTTGTCATTGATCTGTTTCCTATGCTCATTTTAGGTGCTAAAAGAGAGCTTTAAGATTTATTGTGCTATTAATGATGGCATTATCAATCTTATTGATAAGGTAAGCTGTCTTATGGTCATTATGCCACGAGTATCAAGTTTGAATAAAATCTTTGTGCCTTACATTGGTGAGTGATAATTTCTTGCTTTCCTTTTAGTTTTTTGAGATGCCCAGACATGAAGCTATAAAAGCCCTTGATGTCTATAAGCGTGCGGGTCAGCAGGTGATTATTTGTATACCACTAGACTTTTGGAATATACTTTCATGATGCTTTTATTGAGATACCAAAATTGTTGCAGGCAGCAAGTCTCTCTGAATTCTATGAAATTTGCAAAGGGTTGGAACTTGCTAGGAATTTTCAGTTTCCTACTTTAAGAGAGGTATGCCTTTGTTATTGCATCAATTTGATGTAACAAGTTCTGTCTGCTACTCTGTTTCATATTTAATTTGTTCCCTTTGTTTGCATTGTTGATGTTTTAGCCTCCACAATCTTTTCTTATAACCATGGAAGACTACATAACGGAGGCACCACGAGTGGTAACTGTTCGCACTGAGCCATTGGTTAGTACTTCATTTATTATGTTTATAAACAGCATATTTGTCATAATTCCTTTGTCAGGGCTTGTTTGTTTTGGTTTTGATTGATATTGGCCAGACACCAATCTTTTTGTTAAATTGTTGCTTTTAGATTTAAGTTCTAGACAACTAATCTTCTTTATCAACAGTTGCTGTTGACTTACAGACCAGAAGAAGATGGTCCCACAATTGAAGATGTTAATTTATCTGAAGAACAGGAGCCATCAGTACATCATGATGTTGCTGTCTCAAATTCCGAGCCTGCTCCTCCTCCTCCTCCACCATCACACACAACACCACCGCTCAACAATTTTGAAACTGGAGACTTACTGGTTAAACTTTTGTCCAAGGTTTAATTATGTCAGGTTATGTTTTTCTACAACTTCCTTATTTGTGTCCTGGTTGCAGGGGTTGAATGACAGTACAGCTGATGCATCATCAATAGAAGAAAGAAACGCTCTTGCCCTAGCCATAGTTCCCACTGAAACTGGTGTGCTTTTGTTTCTCTGTGTCTTATGAAATTCTGCTACTTAGCAAGGTTTCCTGGATGATTTTCCTTACCTAGGAAATGTGACTGTTTTGTGCATCTATAGGTACCACTTATACCTTTAACTCGAGTGCTGCTCAAGCAAAAGATTTTGATCCAAACGGATGGGAGCTTGCCCTGGTCACCACTCCAAGTACCAATATTTCTTCAGTCAATGAAAGACAATTGGTAGGTTCTTCATGTGACCTTTCTAGTATAAATTGAAGTCAGTGTAAAATCGAAGTTATGCAATTGATAAACATTCTCTAAATCCAGTTGGATTAGAAGCAGACATCGTGCAGACCACACTTAGGAAAATTTTATATTACTAAAACTTACTTTATATTTTATTATTTCCTCACAAGATTAATGTACTAAAACTTACTTTATATTTTATTATTTCCTCACAAGATTAATGTACTGTATGATTTTTTAACTATTATTTTAACTTTTTAATTTTATACTGGTGAATATTCATTTTATTTATTTTTTTAAATCTAGCTTTCATGATTGATCAGCTTAGTAGTGTCTCATGATTCAACAGTTTGGATCAATGAAAATGACATATATAAGAAATTATTCGACTGATGTTTTATTTGTCCTTGCAAGTGATTTGCAGGTGTTTCCTTTCCTTCTGGACATTATATTAAGCCCTAACCAGTTTGTGTAACATGTATTAATTGTTTGGTTACTCACATGCTAGATTGTTTAATAAAATAATGAGAATAACATTGACCTCTCTAGCTTCAGCTGTGTTTATCATTTTTCTCTGTTATTGAATATCAGGCTGGTGGGTTAGATTCTCTCACCCTCAACAGCTTATATGATGAAGGAGCATATAGAGCAGCACAGCAACCAGTATATGGAGCACCTGCACCAAATCCATTTGAAGTGCAAGACCCTTTTGCTTTATCAAGTAGCATCCCTCCTCCACCCAACGTGCAAATGGCAGCAATGGCTCAACAGCAATTAAATCCATTCGGTTCTTATCAACCTTATCAGCCACAGCAGCAGCAGCAGCAGCAGCATATGTTGATGAACCCAGCAAATCCCTTTGGGGATGCAGGATACGGGGCGTTTCATGTGAATCCTGTTTCTCACCCACAGAATAACAATCCATTTGGAAGCACTGGCTTTTTGTAAGAACACTATTTTGGAGATGCAGAATCAATCAAGCTGGTTTTTGTTGCTAGGATAGATAGTTTGTAGAATGATTTGTTTGTAAAATCTAGATAACACATAATATCATAATCATTTTGTGATATACGTATACAGATTGGTGGATATTTTTTTCTTTGCATATATCCCCACACTCAAATCCGCATATGCATATTATACAATGTTCATGTACCTTAGAACTGAGATTGAGTAGATAGTGATTAGTGTGCCATGTACATCACGTCAATAACTGCCGCAGGAGATTTCTCCGTTTGACGAGAATTAATAAATAAAATTCTAATAAAAAAATTAACGTATTTCGTTTAGTATTTTTTTTTTTTTTTGGAGATCAGTCTTTTAGTATTTTTGAAATGGAATTTGTTCTTATAACGGTACAATCTAGTCTCTCATGACGTTAAATTTTAGTCACCTAAAAGTTTAATTAGTAATTTATTGAATTGTTAAATTATTAAGTATCTGTATATAATATCTTTTTATTGGCTGCATAAGCAGCGATGTCATATCCTGACGCAGCCATTGACCGGATCTACCTTTTGTGGTTTTTTGCTTTTGATTTTTTTTTTTTTTTTTTTTTTTGTAATATAATCATTTTCACTGTCGTGCGGAGTGTTTTAAAATTCGAATTGGTTAGCTTTAACCAGATATATTGTTTATATATTAAAAAAATATAAATATATTATTTATAATAATAGAAAGAAACTGAATGATAATAAATGCTATAAGTGAAAGAAGAATATTATCTCTATATGTAACAAAAAGTGAGAGTATTATATTTTTTATCTTAACAATTTCATAATTTATAATTTTTTAATCAAATTTTCATAAAAGTAACTGGAATACATAAAAATAAAAGAATAATATTAATTAAATTATGTAAAATTGACATATTCCATCAACTCTCTTAAGTCCAACCCCTTTGGGAAGGTATAAAAAATTTGTGAATCAATGTTAAAAAGTGAATCTTGTGAACAACGACCATAACAAGCTGGTAAAAAAGTCATATCTCTTAAGTCCAACCCCTTTGGGGAGGTATAAAAAATTTGTGAATTAATGTTAAAAGTGGATCTCCTGAATCAATAACCATAAGAAGCTGGTAAAAAAGTGAGACAAAATAAGATCATAATATTCAAGATTTTATGCACTTTGAGACGATACAGAGCAAATGTCAGATAAAAAATTATTGCACTATGAATATTTCTTTATAAGTATAAAAGCATAATTGATGAAAACAACAATGCCGATTATCCAAATGCTTCCATAAAATATAGGTTTCTTTTTCAATTACAGAATATATTAATAAGAAGAAAAGAATGAATACACATTTGGGGAGGGATAAAAAGTTGGTTATTATACATAATCATAATCAGAGCTTTGTTTTGTTTTTTGTTTTTGTTTTTTTAAGTTGAAAAAGCAAAATTATTTTTAGGATCTTGCTTCAGTTTCCAGCTCATAGCCGTTTCCAGCTGTTGTTTCCCTCCCAAGGGCAGGTTCTTATGCGTTACGCACCTGTCCGTCACTAGAAACACCACTTCTGGTCCGACTTGCACGCTAGCTTGCTTAAGACTTTTTCCCTCTTCTTTTGTTTGAATAAGAAGCAAACTTAAAAAAAATGAGTTAGTTTTTCAAAAATAAAATAAAAAAACGGGTCAACCGAGTTTCGTTAACTCACTGAGAGTCGGCCGAATCAATCGATCTAAACCGAGTCAAGTGCATGGCCAATCTAAATAGCCATTCGAACCGATGCCTTCACCAGAACTCGGGACGACTCGACCGGATCGGTCAGAGTTTTAAAACATTGGTTTAGACAAGTCATAATATATCCCGAGGTTAATATTTTCCTTACAATAAAATTCTAATATTTTAATATATGTAGTTATATAAAATCTTGGACTAAATATAATTATAATATTATTTAGTATATAAAAATTAAATTTAATTGCTATAATTTCAAGAAGAAATATTTTTACTTTTGTTGTAAAAATAATTTATTTATCACATTCACAGAAAAATAAATTAATTTTATTACAAAGAGAAGAGAGAAATTTTTTTAAAACCTGTTCACTTTTATATGAATATAACATAAAAAAAATTCCATGACAAAATAAAAAAATTAAACCGTAATTAAAAATACAAACCATTTCATCCAATAAGATTATTTTGGTATAATTAAAACAATTTAAAAACATAGGTAAATGAATCGTTGAATAAGAGGATGCTGGTGCGCGTGCACTTGGGCTATCTACAGTAGGACCGTGAAAGAAAAGAAAAAAGAGAAAGGCACAGAAGTGAATGTGAACAAAATCCACACGCTTCCATTTTCATTTTCGGAGATATCCACGATTTTTTGTACGGAACAAACTCAATCTGAAACAGCTGTTTGTTTTCTTCAGTGCACAAATACCCAACTTTTTCTGCTCCAATTCTCAATCTTTTTCAGTTCTAAAACTTTTCCTCTATCTTACAACAATTCATCTAATTTCTTTCAATTTCGCTTGAAGAATCCCTGCGTTTTTGTTTCATGGGCTCGTTTTGGGAACCATAGAGCGCCATGACCAAACCCAGCACTTTTTTTCAAAATATCATAAAGCCCTTCAAATTCGGTTCCAATAGAGGTAAACCAACAAAATCTAACTTTTTTTTAAATACCCCTTTTCTGAATTTCTTTTCTGGTTGCTGAATTTGTTGATTATATTAAAATTCTATGATTTTGTTCTATTTTTATTTAATTAGAGGGAAATAGTGACGAAGATATACAGAACATAGCTGCACAGGAGCAAAAGATCTTCTCCTATGAAACATTGGTTGCCGCTACCAAGAACTTTCATAGTCTTAACAAGTTAGGTGAGGGAGGCTTTGGACCTGTCTACAAGGTAAATCAATGAGCATGTTTTATTGATTTTTCATGTTTTGCTGCTTTAGGAAAAGTACGAACCAGAAAATTTGCAGTTTCTGAGAAAGAGTTCAATTAGTTCAAGTAAATGTTTCTTCAAATGAATTCACCCATCTCCTTGAGGATTATGAAAATGAATTTTGTTAGCCTTAAACCCAGAATAATGTTCATATCGGTATTATCCTTTTGTAGAAAAATCAACACTGGGAAAAAGTGTTACTTTATGGTTTTTCTTGGTAAGCCTAAAAAAGTAGGACCTTTTCTAATTTGTAGTTTTGTTTTTTTGCCCCCCTTTTTCACTTACAGGGTAAGTTGAATGATGGGAGAGAGATTGCAGTGAAGAAGTTATCACATAGCTCTAATCAAGGGAAGACACAGTTCACTAACGAGGCCAAGTTGTTGAGTCGTGTGCAGCACCGTAATGTGGTGAATTTGTTTGGTTATTGTACCCATGGCTCGGAGAAGCTTCTTGTTTATGAGTATGTCCCTCGTGAGAGCCTTGACAAGCTTCTATTCAGTGAGTCCTTCTTTGCAAATCCTTCTATCTGGTTTTGAAATGCAAAATTACATAAATGAATATTTTTCTCAGATATTCTTTTCTCGTAGAACTTCTGTAATGTTGAGTCCATATTCAGTATGTCCATATTATGCTAGCCATGAAGTGTGTGAATAGGTTTTCCTTTCTATTCAGATTTCATTTGTGTCAGCTAAGGGCCTTTTGCTTCTATAGTTTTGGATGATCTAAGAATAAGAGTAAAACCGCTTATTATCTTTTATTAATCACTGATTCTACTTGCATCTAACTATTTTAATTTATTGGAGATGATAACTGATAGTTGCTAGGAAAATCAATGATTAATAAAAAGGTGGTAGAGTTTTTATTATTTTTGTGATTGTAAGTTGATTCTCCCAAACATTATAAACCAAATAGAAAACACTTGTTTTGACCGTGTTAGCCAAGCCGTCTCGACTTACATTAGAAGAAGAAAATTCCCTACCCTTATTTTTTCTATTTTCCTTCTCTCAATTAAGCACATGCTTTATTACCAAACTTTCTAGTTTTGTAGCACGTCTTTCTATTTATAATCATAATAATTGTGTTTTTAATAGTAGTTATCCAGAATTTGAAGAAAAACTTTGGCCAATAGTGGGCCAAGAAATATTGGAAGATCAATCGGCCAAAACTCTACTTTGGAGGAAGAATCATAGAAACTTCCCCTACACCAATTCTTCTTCTTTTCTAATTGAAAAAAAGAAAAGAAAAGAAAAAAGAACCCTTATGTGGGTCATGTCATCCGATGTTTAATTGTTATCGAATAATGTATTTATTAAAATTTTACATATTTATGTTATACACTAACATCCATGTGTTGGAAAATAATGCAGGATCAAACAAGCGGGAGCAGTTAGATTGGAAACGTAGGTTTGACATAATAACTGGGGTGGCGAGGGGGTTACTTTATCTTCACGAAGACTCTCACAATTGCATCATCCACCGTGACATAAAAGCAAGTAACATTTTACTCGATGACAAATGGGTACCCAAAATTGCAGACTTTGGCTTGGCTCGTCTCTTCCCCGAAGATCAAACCCATGTCAATACACGTGTTGCCGGCACCAAGTATATATATACATATATATCTCTTTCATCTTTTAACTTTTCAACCAAATACATTTATTATGTTGTCCATATAAGTCAAAAGTCAACACATCTATAATTTTAAAACGTAACGTATTCGTTAAAAATATAGTTCTTAATATAAATGCAGTTTTAGAGTTGAAAATTTGAGAATAATATAATATCCTAAGCCTTTTGTCAACTAGTACTATTTAATAAAATTTTCTATTATGAAAATTCCCAATTATATTATCTTTATTATGCCGTCTGAAATTACATAATAATTATGGTAGTATATAGACCATACATACACACTTCTTTTTTTTTTTTTTTTGATAAACCATACACACTTCTTTTTATTCCCTGCTTTATACATTTTTTTTGAATACTTTTTTATTTTATTTTTAATTGTACTTTTTTTTGAAAGATTTTTTAAGTGTACTTTGTACATGATAAAGATTCTTGTTTTGTGAAATAATAATAAAATAATAATAATTTACGAAATATGCAGTGGGTATATGGCTCCGGAATATTTGATGCATGGACATCTATCTGTGAAGGCAGACGTGTTTAGCTATGGGGTTTTAGTGTTGGAATTGATCAGTGGCCATCGAAACTCGTCGTTTGATTTGGACGTGAATGCACGCAATCTACTTGACTGGGTAAAGTTATTACGTAATTATCAAAGTTTAGGTGTTATGGCTGTTTGGATTTCAATAATCATGTCATGTTTTGGAACTGTTTTAAGGTTAAAATAGCTGTTTTCTAGACTTTCTATTTGTTTAATTAATTAATTAATTACTTGTCATGGTTTTTGTTGGGCCCTAATGCTTAGGCATCTTTCCAAAAGCAAAATTACAATGTCAACTTCACTACTAGTACTACTAGCTGAAAGCTTATGGCTACCTAACTTATTTAAAAGGGAAAAAATGTATATTGAAGAGTATGTTTCTCTCTTATTTTTTACTTGATATATAAGTGGCGTAATAATAATGTAATAGAAATGTTATGCATGCATTACATATTGTGTTTAAAATTAAATGTTTTAGGATTTGGCTCTAAGTTCCAAATTAACAAGAATGAAAAAAATAATGGGGATGCTACACTATTAGAGAATAATATAAACTATTAAAAAGGTCCTCACTCAACACTTTAAGGTTTTGGGTTGTGATTTTTTACATGGTATCAGAGCATCAATGACCACAAGGACACGAGTTCGATTCACATCGCGCTCTACTTTCAAGTGAAATTAAAATAAGCATAAAAGTAAAACAAAAAATATTGGGCTTGTGCAATATTCACACTTCAAGTTCAAAGGAGTGTGTTAAAGAATAATATAAACCATTAAAAAGGCCCTCATCCAACACCTTAAGATTTTGTTTGGGTTGATTTGTTAAAAATTTAAATAGAAATCTTAATTTGAAGTTTTGGCAGTATGATATGCATCCCTTCATCAAACATTTATTATCATTAGAATAAGAAATATAAAACTTGCTAACTTTGCTTTGTGTTGTTTGTTTGCTTTCTTTTCTTATAGGCATATAAGCTTTACAAGAAAGGGAGGGGCTTAGAAATCGTAGACCCTACATTGGCATCTTCTGTGGTGACCGAACAAGTAGAAATGTGTATACAACTGGGTCTGCTATGCACTCAAGGTGATCTTCAGCTACGTCCAACAATGGGGCGAGTGGTGGTGATGCTATCAAAGAAGCCAGGCCATATGGAAGAACCAACAAGACCAGGATTACCTGGTTCCAGATATAGAAGAATACCTCGCAGGCCTTTTGCTACGTCTTCCACTGCTGATGACTCTGATTCAGAAACTTTTGAATCAAGCAATTACGGCACTACCATTTCTGCTACAGGAACTAGCTCGGCTACTACAGAAGTAGACCCGCGAGGGAAACGTCCAATTCAAGGTTAGCCTCCTCATTGTCTCATTGGTGAGATGAGGCTCTTATTCTTTTTGTATCATAAATTTTTTGTTTGATAAGAGGCATGTATGAATTAATGATGTAAATGTTACGAGGAGGAGTAGGTTTTTTTTTTTTAATAGAGGAATTTGAGTGAAGTCCTAGTTTTTTTTTTTTATGTAAGTGAGAAATTATGTCGAGTGTTACAGAAATATAAAATTATTAAATGTAATCTCACCCAATAGCTTAAGCTTTTGGGTTGAGTTGATTTTTTATATGATATCAGTGCCAATATCATTAAGTGGTCACGAGTTCGATCCGCATTATTCTTGTCAAGTCCAATGGGCTTTAGTGTAAGGAAATATATTAAAGAAATATAAAAATCATTAAATATAAGGGTTCAATTTTTATTCTGTCAATGTAGATAACTTATCTGCATTGAGTCCAAAACGATGTCGTTTTGAGACGAAAATCAATGTATTTTTTATAATTGTAATTTATTTCAGGGTTAAAATAGTCATTTTCTTTATAATTTTTTAATCTTTCAACTCAAAATGACGTTATTTTGGGAGTGAATGTAAATAATTTACATTCAATGTAGAAACATTAAAGCCTTAATATAATCTCATCTAATAACTTAAATTTTTGAGTTGAATTAGTTCTTTACACCAAGAAATGAATAGCTCGACAACAATATAGTCATGTAAGTGTACTAATTAACAAGTAATATAGAATGAGTAAAAGTATCGTACCGTGTATAAGCAACAAAAGATGAATAGCTGGACAACAATATACTCATGTAAGTGTACTAATTAACAAGTAATATAGAATGAGTAAAAGTATCGTACCGTGTATAAGCAACAAAAGATGATCACAGGTGAAAGGATAACTTGTGGTTGTTTGAAGAATCAATTAAAGTTCAGTCAAATAAGTTAAATGGTGAGAGGATGAAGATATAAATTTGTAAAAAATTTAAAACCAGCGCTGAACTATAAGATTTGATGAAGAGATTAGAGATGAAAAGGATTGGATATTACTACTGTAAGGATTGCTACTCACTTAACCAGAACTCGGAAAATTTGTAAGTGTTTCCCAACAAATTGGCTTTTTGACCATAGTAGAACGTTTATTAAAATGTATGACTGGAATAATTTTAGAGTGAAATGATATACCAGAATAATGCATGACGACACGACATGTGGGTCAATGTTTTCAAGCGTGGCTCCTCTACAACCGCTTTTCCTGCAACCCATACACCATAGTCACGTGAGGATTGGAGCTTGAATTGATGTAGCTGAAACGTGATACCATGACAACCGCATCCCAGTGGTGTTAGCTGCAACATGACGTGGTCCAGGTGCAGCCGCGTCCCACCAGCCAATGGTGGTCCACCATGTCCTGCACCATACGCGGTCTCTTGACAACCGCGTCCTGAAGGTGATAGCCTAGGTGCCGCGTCCAGCCAAGCCTGGACCACTACAAAGTCTCCCCTTTCCCCGGCAGCTTCTTCCATTGTCTTCGAATGTGAATGCTGTCGGAGAACATCCTTGAATACGACTGGTGCTTGTAAGTGGGGTTTCTGGTTTGCCATTCTCCCAAGCTGCATCGTTTTCAAGTGAGTATTATTTAGGGTTTGTAGGTTTTAAATGTCTTACATTTGTAGTATAAAAGTCATAGGGTTTAGCACTGTAATTTTATAATCTGCTATAAAAGCCATGTCTTGGAATTGGGAAAGGTTATAGTTATTATTATTATTTTTTACTATTTATTACTACCAAATCTTAACCGTTGATTTCCGTCAATCTAACGGTTATAATTTATTGGGTCACATTTATTAATTAATTATTAATTCTAAGAAATTATAACCGTTAAATTGACGAAAATCAACGGTTAAGATTTGGTAGTAACAAGCAGTAAGAAAAAAGCAGTAACTATAACCTCTCCCCTTGGAATTATATTATTAAAATATTAGGTTGTCACATGATATGAGTGCATAATTGTATTATTAGTTTTTTTAAAGTTTTTTTTTCTTTTTGTCTAAAAATGTTAGAATAGTGAATTTAATTGTAATAATTTGCAATTGTTTATATTATTATTATTATTTTATATTTAATTGCATAAAATGTTATTATTATTGTATTAATTATTTTATAAAATTTGTTAAATATGCTATATTATATTATTAATATTTTAGGTTAGTGGTGTTTTATTTTATGCATAATTGAATTTTTATGTTCTTTAAAGGGTCCATATTTTTTGGCTAAAATCTTAGGTTAGTATATTTAGTTTTTATAATTTTCTATCAATTTTATTATTATTATTTTATATTTAATTGCATAAAATTTTATTATTATTGTATTAATTATTCTATGAAAGTTGTTAAATATGCTATATTATATTATTATTATTTTAGGTTAGTGGTGTTATATTTTATGCATAATTGAATTTTTATGTTCCTTATTAATTTTCATACAGTATGACTTGACCGCCATCTGCACTGATTTCTTAGATTCAAATTCTTGTTTAACAAACAACTCATCCCCAATGGTCTAAGCACCATGATACTCCCTCTCGTTGTATTCTCAGTTTTCATTCGGATACTCATAATTAATGTATGAGTAATGTGATATGCAATTCCAAAACGGAGTTACATTAGGACCTACATTGGGAGTTACAATTTACCTACATAATATACAAACAACTAAATCGTTAATTGAACTAGAAAAAAATATTGTAAATTTTTTTAAATAAATCACTTGTCAACTAACCTTCAATCACATTTTGATAGCCAACGATACCCGTTGACGTGGATTCATTGACGTTGTTTTGAAAGCCTATCGGCCCATCAGATGGATTACGATCGTTGTCATCTTCGCTATTTGATTCATCATCATTAATGTCGGCTGCCAGGCACGCATCCTCGTCTTCTTCTTCCTCGTCATCATCATTAGGGTCATTTGTTGGAATGTCTTCATCATCAAATATAGCATTTTTGGCGCTACTGGAAGTACAGATGATGATGCATTCCTGTGTAAATTATCGGTGCCTGGTGCTGTATTCAGATCAAGCGACCGAATCAGTATTGCAAATCATCGGTATTTTCAAAATCTACATATATCTCCACAAACTTTCTAGAATTGGTATGATCAAAACTCGTATCAGCTTGTTCCACAAATATATCTAATATAATATCAACATCATCATCATCATTTGTAATTGATATTGCTGTGTATTCAGAATTGCCAGCAAGAGATCTTACAGTGACTTCAGAAATACGTTGATTCCCTTGCAACCCCAATTTCTGATGAATATTCGCTTTCAACTGCTCAAAGGTAGTACCGCGTGTAATACGCATTGGTCGTTTTTCACCTTTAAATGTTACACCACAACGACCCATAACCTTTCTGCCATTATAGTATATAAGTACACGAACTGTTTGTAAATTTGAACTCATTTTTCCTGCAAAAAGTTAAACAAAAGATAGAAATACAAACAATTTATTATGTCAGAAACTGATACATAATATAATAACACTATAACAAAATTCCTTAGTGCAAAGTTTGAAATCTTAGATGCAGTTCCTTCAAAATGTGTTTATATTTTTTTATACAGCATATAATTACAACGATAACTTTTTTCAGAAAAAAAAATACTAAAGGAAAGCATACATGAAATAACAAATGAAAAACATAACTAATTATGAGTATAATCTTAGATTCTTCAACAAATTAATTTTTTCCATAATAGAACAAACACCTCTTTGGAACAAACACAGATAGCAAAATGTTTTTGAACACTGAGTGAAATGCGCACAAGCAAACTGGTGATATGGGAAACGGGAAGTGGTTAAATAGGCCTGGACGCGGTGAGGGATGAGACATTTTCAAGCCCTGACTGCCACAGTACCGCGTTACATGAACAAACCTCATTGGCTGGTGGGACGCGTCAGAACAAGGACCGTGTCAGTTTGGAAGTGACTCAACTGGAACGCGGTTGATTGTTAGCCGTGTCTTGTGCATGTCAGGTTGCTGAAGTGACTACTGACACGTGATACATACAGTACCACGTCCTTTGTATATGGTTTTGCATGGGACGTGGCTGGGCGAGTAACGCATCCTAGCCCAATGATTGACCTGCGTGGAACATTGCACAGGACGCAGTACCCATGGTGCCATGTCTTAACACGTCCTCCAACCTAACGCGTCGTTATGCATTATTTAGGTAAAACATTTGACCAAGAAATTATTCCGGTCAAACATTATAAATATTACATTACCAAGGTCAAAAGTCCCAACAAACTCGTATTTAATATCCCTGATTTCAGTGGTAACACATTCCTATGCAAGACATGGAACCAGAAATCAAATTAAGTACAGGTTCCAAATTAAGGACACCAATATGTATATTCGACCTTTACGATAGATAACACCCGCGACCTGTACAAACAATTCATTATTAGATTGTTGGGTGGATGCATCCTTTTCAACTCCATTTTCACTGTTTTTACGTTTTCCTCAACTTCATGAACTCCTCCCACAACAATGGAATGGATTGTATTAGCCAACTATGTATTGCACTTTGCACAATAATTATTCTACACCATGCTGAAACTCTTTATTATAGAGAAAAGTCATTTCCCAAGCTGGCTTTACAGAAGAAAAAGAGATTTTGGGTATTCTTGAAAAATCTAAACATGGAATTGATCTACTTGCCAATAGAAGTTGAGTCAAGTTATTAGCCAGTGAGAACACTCAACGTGAATCTATTATGAAAGCCTATTGTTGGAAAACATTTATATGTGTATTTTGCAAATAAGATTTTACATAAATTTCTCATATTATATTATGGGATATGATATTATGCCTATCTTTTTCATGTCTACTTTTACCTATTCATTTTTCAATATCGTTAGATCATAATCTCAAGAAGAGAGAAAGAATGAAGATAAATTGAGATTGTGATATAATAATATTGGAGTAAAAATAGATAAAGTAGCCATGAAAAAGGTAAACATAATATCTTATTTCTTACTTATATTATATACCATAGTAATATCATAAAAACAAGTGATTAATTCATTCAAATCAACCCAATTTTTTTTACATAGAGGTGCACATACAAAAAGGAAAAAAAATGATATACTAATATCATTTTCAAATTTAAAAAACAACCATAGTCAGCGGCCTAAACATGAGTTTGTCCTACTCCTACTCTTCATTTTCTTTGTCCTGATTGTCTTGGTCTTCATCCTCATCCATAGTTTCATCATTTTCTTAATCCAGTATCTCCTTTGTCTCATTATCAGACGGGTCCTCATCATCTAAAAATTTAGTATCCCAATAACATCTTGACTTTATCTTTCGTCAAGATGCTTCTGCACTTTTCTGGTGTTGGGCCTCTTTCGATGGAAACAGTGTTGTGCATAATATGGTTTTTCCAATATCTTCTTTTCCCCCTCACTGCTTTCGTTTTCAAGTTGCACTTTTGTTCTTGTATGTCCTCTCTCTCGTCATAGTTGTACACAAAAGTTTGAGTCATGGTACTTGGGTCTCTTTGTGATTTTGCAGAAGGTTTTTTTGTAAAGGGTGAAAAGTTCATAAGAAAAAGATTTTGAGAGAGAGAATGCCAAAAGGTCATGAAAATTGACCCATTGGTGTTCACAAAGTTTTTAGTAGGATATCCACAACGGGGTGATTAACCTTTTTGCCCATGATAAAAAATAAATATTATCGTACCAAAATATATCACTTATCTACCCCTATTTAATTGTTAATCGAGTTATGTACTCGAGTAAACCTTGATACTTGAGTATTCTTCGAAAAACAGTTTATACTTAGATATACTGGTTGAGTACTTGAGTATTTTCTTCATTTGGATTTTTTCCAGCATTATATACTCTAGTATAGGGGATACTCGAGTATTTTTCACGTGCTGGATTTTTTATAAAACCCTCGTATCATACATTCTCCCTTCTCACATACCCGAGTACCCACGCGAATAGATGAAAATTTTTAGAGCAATCTCCCTCACTCAGCCATTGCAATCGCCCTGTTCTTCTCCCACCATCATCATCCTCTCCTTCTTCAGTCGGTTGGAATCCCACTTAGGTATGTATTTGGGGGTTTTTTTATGAACCTTAACCTGAATCCCCCCTTTTCTCGTCGTATTTTTTCTTTCTTTGTTTGTTTTTTAGGTTTGTTTGGTTGATTAGCATGTGAAATTTGTTATGAATTAGATTTGTGAAACCTAAGTTTTCCAATTTGGGTTTTTTTTTTGCTAAATTATTCACAATTTTTTTGGTTATTTTGCGTTTTCCATTGTTGATTTAGCATTTGTGTTTTTTCATGTTTGAAATTGTGAAAAATGACTGACAAACATACATTAAAGAGACCGATGACCACTGAGCGGAGGACAAAGTGTACACATGACGCGCCTTCATCCCCTCAACCAGAGCCAGCTGTGGAAGAGGTAACGAACATGCTATTTGGTTATTTATTCAACAATGACCAGGAGGCACATGCTCGGTTTGTGTGGCACTTCATGAGCTGACAAATATGCAAGCCCAAGGCATCAGATTTAGCGTTCTTCCAATTCGAAGGGTTCGACATTGTCAGACTGTTGGACCAGATACATCTCTTGCAGCTTGTGGAGATAGAGTGCCTATATTCGGAGGTTATGATGAGGGCGTTCTACTAGAACCTCCACTATGCGATGGGCGGGCTGACATCCCGCGTCTGCGAGGTTAATATTGTCATGACTGCCCCTGTATGGATCGAGCTCCTCGGCTTCAACTTTGATGCAGACACAAGTGCAACTATGTACAACAGAGACTCCCATGCTATTTTTTATGGTTATGATCAGGATGCCATCGTCGTCGAGACTCAGAGGCCTGATGCAGAGGCTGTCCATTTTGCTCAGTATCCTGTGAGTAATCTGATAGTGACTGCCTGCATATTGCATTATATCATGACATACATCTTGTTCCAGCACTCACATAATCACGCGAAGATGTTGAAGGGTTATTTTGTGGGTCATCCTTCACAACAATAGGGTGAATTGGAGGCACTATACATGCATATTGATGCATATGGTTGCGGGGTCCAAATCCGCTCCACTTCCCTATGCATACCTAGTTCAGAAGACATTGCATAGATTTGGTGTGCCTATGGGGACTGAGACCCTAAAGACTCACACGGGCTGGAATGCAACAATGTGGGATTACTGAGAGGAGGCGGGGTGTGTGGCAGTGGAAGTCTGCACCTGTGCCACCTGAAGTCCCCCTTCACAATGATACAGACAGATGATGTACTTACTGATGACCATGATGATAACGCTCCTGAGGATGCTGGTGCACCTACACCTCTACCCAACGTCCAACTACCACCTCCTCCTCATGAGGCTGGCTGGACCATTGATCATGTTATGACAGCCATGCGTAACATGGTGTGGGACTTGGGGACCTTGACAAAGGAGTTTAGGGGATTCAGACAGGCCTAAGGCAGGTGGCAGTCTGATATGGAGTTGAGGGTAAGACGCTTGGAGGCAGGGTGTAGACAAGGTCCATGCCCTATAGAGGTGCCTGTTGTTGATGAGTCATCTGCTGAGGAGGAAGGGGATGATAAGGACGAGGCGACGTAGTCAGATACCATGCATTAGGTTTTTTTAGGGTTCTAGGGTTTATTTTGACGCACATAGGATCTTGATGTATTTAAGGTAGTTTTTTTGACTTACTCAGGATCTTGATGTATTTAGGGTTTATTTTGTACTTAAAAGTTTATGTAATAAAGTTTAATTAATATAATGATTGTTTGTTAATGCTTAATGACTTTATGTTTACATTTTAGCATTAATATTGTTATTTTGCCCCTTAAAAGTGATATGAATGTGGGCCATTGCATTTTATATGCACAAACCCCCCGACTCAAGTCCAAATGCATTAAACTATGCCAATTGATTCATGTTTTGGTCATTGTTTGACCTAAATGACAACTTGGTATGTTGAAACCATGTTTCCTTGAATGGTTTTGTACGGTTACACACTCAGGACCGTCCGTAGCCTTTATGAAGCCTAGAACCCCTTCCCCAAGTCATAATATATGATTATATGCATTTACACACTCATTTGGATAAAAAAATCTATGGAACATAAGTTTGATCCTTAAAACCGCCGGAGTACTCGAGTAACCTGTACTTTTTACTCAAGTAGACACACTTGAGTATAAAATTAAGAGTAAATACTCTTTTTGGTTCTCAGGAAATTTTACGATGCCCGCTTTAGTCCCTAGCAAATAAAAAGGCCCATCGTGGTCCCTAAAAAATTCAAAATGGATCCATTTAGTTGAAATTGTGGTCCCTCACAAATTCAAAAAAGACCCATATTAGTCCCTAAAAGAACTAAAATGAGTCTATTTTGAATTTCTTAGGGACCATGACGAGTTTTTTTATTTACTAGAGACTAAAGCGGACATCGTGAAATTTACTGAGGACCAAAAAATATATTTACTCTAAAATTAATATGTCAGCTTGTGTCACGGGTCGATGTAACGTAGCTTGTATCAATTATTTTTCTTACAAAAATTGTTATGGACTTTTATATTTGCTGATTATATCAATGCTAGAATAATAAAGTATAGTAGAACACCAAAAAAAAAAGTAGTAAAAAAAAAAATAAGAAATCCCCCTTTTGTTTTGTGATCTTAGCAACGAGACAAATTAAAGTTGACAAAAAAAATAAATTAAATAAATAAATAAATAAAAATAGAGTGGAAATGGCACAGTGTGATTTCTCAAACTCCACCATCACTCCACCGGAGTTTCCTCACCGTGAAGAACAGCAACACAAAAATGGTGAACACTAACAGCATCAGGGTCACAACAACAACAACAACAACATCCCTCTCTTCTCTTCTCACAACAAAACCCCATTTTCTTATACCTTCAAATCTCAAATTCAATCCCAAACCCCTCAAACCCATAACCACCTCTTCAAGACCCAACACCCCACACATTCCCAAATCCCTCACCGAAGATGCCGCCGCAGCCACTGCCGCAACCTCCGCCGTCGACGCCGCCATCTCTCCCCGAAACCTCAAGTCCCGCCTCCGAAACGGCGACACCCTCTACGGCCTCTTCCTCTTGTCCTTCTCCCCCACAATCGCCGAGATCGCCGGCCTCGCTGGCTACGACTTCGTTGTCGTCGACTTGGAGCACGGCCACGGCGGCATCTCCGACGCGCTCCCCTGTCTCCACGCGATCGCGGCGGCGGGAACCGCCGCCATCATCCGCATCCCCGAGACCTCCGCCATGTGGGCCAAGAAGGCCCTTGACCTGGGCCCACAGGGGATAATGTTTCCAATGATCGAATCCGCAAAATGGGCTCGCAAAGCGGTGTCGTATTGCCGGTTCCCGCCGGGTGGGGTTCGCGGGTCGGCCCACCCGGTGGTTCGGGCTTCCGGGTACGGCATCGACGATGGGTACCTTGGTAGTTACATGGAGGAGTTGTTGGTTATGTGCCAGGTTGAATCGGAGGAAGGGGTTGAGAATGTTGATGAGATCGTAGCCGTTGATGGGGTTGATGTGGTGCAAATGGGGCCGTTAGATCTTAGCGCTAGCTTGGGGTGTTTGTGGGACCCAGGGAACAAGAAGGTGAAGGAGGTGTTGAGGGAAGCTGAGAGGAAGGTGTTGGAGAGCAAGGAGAAGGTTTACCTTTCTGGTTTTGCATTGCCGCATGATGGGCCTCAGGATCTCAAGTCACGTGGATATCACATGGTGTCTGGTGCTGTGGATGTTGGTTTGTTTAGGAGTGCTGCTGTTGAGGATGTCGAGAGTTTCAAGATGAGTTTGACCGAGGAAGGTTCCGATGGTGATCGTGGTGATGAGAAGTACTGGAGTGAATGAATGTGAGAAGCTAAAAGCCTTTTGATGTTTGTTTTATTTGTCTTTGGATGTTTTTTGTTTTTGTAAATTAGGTGATGTAATTTATATGCTTTTGATCTTCAATGAAAAATAACTTTTTGAATCCATTTTGTTATCTATCATTATATGATATGACTGGCAACCCCACATGATGTTGATGTTCATGTTGATGCCTGTTGTTACATATGATGTGTCCAACAAAATCCATGTTATAGAGGGTGCTGACATTTCATATGCGTATGTGAGGGAATTTGAAATACATGTAGCTGTTGATGTTCTAAGATGTCTGATGTGTATGCATGCTTGTTCTCCTAGATTTTGGCTTGATCTGGTATCATATGCATTAGCTGCTATACTCAATGATGAAGTGTGCCATATATGGCACTGCTAACTGAACACATTTCGAAGGCTATTCTGTGAATGATTGATAGGCTTGATCCATGGGATGAGTATGCATAGATTGGATTGATATGCTGATAAAAGCATGAGAGTTTGCGCTCATTGATTTGGATGCCAGAATAGGGATTCCAGTTTACTAGATTTTAGATCATGTCTGTACAGCTTATGATGCATAATCACATAGGTAGTTTAGTTATACTTGTTTGATTTGTTCGCATAAATTATGGGAGTCTCAACTCTCAACTTAGGTGCCATTCTGTTTTATTCATAACATTGGACTTACTTCCTTTTCTGTTAAATGATGACCATACATATTGCCTCTTGGACCCAAGTATAATGTTAATTAGTAGTTCTCTGGTGGTTGGTGTTCTCTGTATCTCAATCGTTAAACAAAACATGTTATGACATTCATGGTTTAATTTGGTTCATTTGTCATGGTGATTGTGTGACAAGGGATGAAAATAATTCAAAGTTGTTGTATTCTAATGTTTTCCTTTTTCTTATATAATATCAGTCTAATTATGTCATTTCCAGCCTTGATCAGTATTTCAAGGAAATAGTTGCTATATGCCTTTGTGAAACATCAATCAAGCAGGCCACGAGTTGAAATTATTGAGTCACTCCTTCAAACAAGCTAAGCCTCCTGAGCTTTGATGGAAGAAATTGTACACTGAGCTAGCCTGTTTTTCAAATAGTGTAATCGCACTCTTGGTTTGCTGTAGTACATTCTGATACTATGGTGCTTGTTCCATGATTTCTCCTGTTATGGCTACTCTTTACAGACGCAGCTCCAAAGAAAACACCTTAATATGGAACAAGAAGAAACATGACAGGCAAAAGCTGATATTGAAACGCATTATATGTTTCATGATGTGATTCGACAATTCATTGCTTGGGGCATCTTCATCGATTTCTTGCTGATGTAACTTAAGTTTTAACCTTTGTTAGTCTTGAACTCTTGATAATGATTTCCTCTTTTACATGAAGTTGAGATTTGAGACCCTGATCTTAGAGCTTATTAATATTTGGTTGCTTGAATCTTGAGAAAACGCTAACCCTATCTTACTTGTACTTGGAATGACACTCTTCTGGTTGAGCTTATTACAACTAATTTAAATAATTCCCTAATGCTTCATTCCTCTCCTTCTCCTCCTTTAGGGATTTTTTGTGGACACCCTTAGGTGGTGTTTGTTTGGTTGACGGTTTTTTCAAGCTTTCCTATGCAAATGAAGCAAGCAATCCAGAAAGCATGTGTTTGGTTCAATAGATTCACTCAAAATCCCCAGCCATCCTATTTGCATTGCATTTCCAATTTGGTCTTCGAATGATAGCTTTCTTCACTGTTTAGAAAGAGTTGTGGGAGGTGGTTTTATGTGAAAAGTCGGGTAAACCACTTTTTGACAATTTCTTCCAGACCATTATACCCTCTTCTTTTTTCTTGTCCAACTCCAGCAGTAATGAAGATATTGGTGATTTTGTGTCCACAAAATTTAGCAACCACTCTACTGATGACTCTTCGTACATGTCAAGGTTGAGTTGCTCTTTAGCCTCTAGAGCTTCCTACCGCTCTTCATTGAACAAGGTAGCATAAGGATCTAATTTCCTGTCCTTGTCTTTTCCAAGAATATGAAGCATCGCTGGGGAGGAAACACCATGGCCTTGGTGTTGATGTCGCTCAAGGTTTAGGTTAGGACGGCTTTGCTTCTTCCTTCGTTGGCTATTAAGATTGAGAGGATAATGACTTTTGTGATTTTGATATTGCATAATAACTACGACATGGCGTAGAGTGGCTCAACTATTCCATCTTTCTGATGTTTCAACTTACCAACATAATCCAAGGAAGTGACACCCACTATGGGTTGGAACGCTCCCTTCGTATAAGGTCCAATTCAACCCAGTTGGAGAACCCACAAGTGACGCCCATTTGGTAAAGCCGGATGCCCCTTGTGATGGTTGCTCACCGGAAACCTCGACACATCAATTTCGTCGTGTTAGATCTGTCCTTTTTTTTATATGGAGGTTGGCAAAGGATAACCCCTCTTTACGGGTAAAGGGCAGCTTGACTGATTGAAATTTTTTTAAAAACAAGATTATTTTCGTAATATCAATTATTTTATTTATCTATATTTTACCAAAAATCAAATATAGACTTTATAAAAGTTACCTAATTTCTCCAGTAAAATTTTTTCTAACCAAACAATTTTTTTTTACATTTTCTTACTAAACTCACTATTCAATCATTTCCCTAGTAATTACATTTTTTTATTATTCATAAAAATTTCTCCTCACCCAAACGTCTCCTTATTGCCTACCCGAGTATTAAGACCTTTTTGTGGATAAAAAAAAAAAGGCAAATTATTTTAGAATGTGGGGAGATGATTAGTCATAACAAATAAAATAAAATAAAAAATAAGTATGGCAAAAAATGATTAAAGAAATTATAAACAAAACTTAAAACAGCACATTGCTTTACCAGTTAATTCCCAACTTTTCCTCAATTTTTGCTTTCACCAAATTACAAATGGAGCTCCCCTGAAGGCAATCATCCATATGTAGATGCAGAATCTTTGAGATATTCATCAATATTTTAAATCGGATCAACAAATAATACTGACTGCTTTTCTAGTAAAACCAAAAAGAACAGTTAACTAAATAAAAATATACACGCTTTAATATGAAACTAAACATATAGATATAAAATTTGGTTAACAGCAAAACATTCCTTTCAAGCTCCGGAGTCTATAGGTTCAAACATATAAGCAATGTATGGGCAAAAACAACAGCGTTTCAGTTTCAAAAACTACCAAAAAAAGGCATGAGTTTGGAAGATGAATTAAGTCAAAGTTGGAAGTTTTTACAGAATTTCTATCTGTTGTCAAATCGGTGTTGCAACCAAGTTTAAAAGTTTCAACATCCAACAGCAAAATGAAAGCACCAAATAAAGAAGGGTTTTGTTTTTTTCCTTTCACGTAGGAAATAAAATTTTCTACACACACATGTTTAAGGTAAGTCTCACCATTAAGAAATAAAAATAAAAATAAAAATAAAAAACAAAGCACATATAAGTGATATGAGAAATACTTTCTCCAACAACATGATAAAGTATTTCCCCACTAAAGAATATCTTTCCATTTCAGGATTGATCAAGTTATCCCTCCTTTTCTTGCTCCATCATCACCTTCTTCCTCTTGTCATCAATATTTCTTCATGTTCATATCAAACTGAAATATAGGCCCCTATGATAACATTAAGACAGCAAAGATTTTGAATTTAAATATTTAATCGTAAGCTTGTTACATCAAATAAGAAAAAGAAATATTTACAAAAAAAAAAAAAAATAAGAAAAAGAAATATCACAGCGTAAGTAGAAAAGGGAGAAAAATTAAACTTTCTTAGTGAACTTGATCGCAACCTTCCCCTTTCCCATCACGCTTCCTCTCTACCCATTCCCAAACTAGACATGATAAGAAGTTTTAAATTCCATAACTATATGGAATCTTTCAATACTACATACAAAATAAGAAGCCAAATATCACTAAAAACAAGAGGGTATGGTGACAAAGAGAGACTCGTTGAAATAAGGAAAAAAGATGACGAAACAAAGAAATAGAGATGGAATACAGGGATTGAATTGTTGATGAGAACAGAGGTTCTGTCACAGACATTTGCAATTTATTTTATTTTTGGTTACAAAAATACATGAATCCCATTTTTCTATTTTCTACGAGAATAAAAGAGAACGCAGGATATTATGAAAGGCTATAGAAAATACGGGTAACATCGTTGGCATTAGAAACAAAAAGCTCTGAATGTGGATAGGCATGCCAGATAATAGAGCAAGGAAAAGAGACTTCTCAAGTATGTGAAATTGACCTGAAACTGGAAGCACAAAATCAAACATAGGCCAAAAATTGTGAACCCTATTTTAACACTTGTTCTATGATAATGATCAATAACGGATTGGTGAAGTGCGCCTTATCTAGCCCCAAGTTCTATATAATTAACGGGGAAGGATATTGTAACAACCAATTAGTGTTACTACCAAACAATTTCACCAATCAATTCCACTGTTAGATCGATTATGTTGATCCAACAGTTATATTTATTTCCATCTTTGTATGGTTATGATTCCCTATAATTAATACTTTATATTTATTTTCACCTTTACATGGTTATGATTTTCCATATTTAATGCTTTCATATTAAATATGGAGAAATATAACCATACAAAGATAGAAATAAATATAACCGTAGGATCAATATAATTGATTTAACGGTGAAATTGATTAGTAATAACATTGATAATAATACTAATTGGTTGTTACAATATCTTATCTTATAATTAATAGCATCCCATGATAAATAATACTAAGAATGTCAATACAGTTGTTCATCACTTCCCATCTTCAAAGCAGAACCTAAGTATTACTTAATATTTTTGTATTGTTATGATATGAAACATAACAACATTCTTGGTTTTAATTTTTTAATTTTACGATACATAATATGAACCATGATGATACCTAAGAATTTCTGATGAGTTTTGCACACTTTAACACTAATTTGTAGAGGAACTTGGAGATTGTTTAAGGAAGTAAAATATTGGATACCATAATTTCTTTTTCAAATTTTTTATTCTTGAATCAGTTGATATAAAGACATCTATTCAAGTAGCTCTACTCAAATGGGAATAGAAAGAAAGAAATTTAAAATAAGTTGTTATTAGGATACTAAAAAAAAAAAAGCTCTCCTAGGGTTTGTTAAACTTATCTAGGATTTGTGGTATTTTTCATGTCTTCGGCAGCCGGCCATGCTCGTTCGTTGGAGGAGACTGATCTACTCCAAAGAAGTAATAAGAAGAACAAAGGAGGTGATGGAATGTTCAGTAATGAGTAGGCTATGACTCCAAGAGAGGAAGGATGGATGATTGAAAACATGTCTTTTAAAGAAATGTTTATGCGACACAATGGTGAATGGCCAACAAAGGATGAAATTAATCAAATGAATGAGGATGAGATAGAAGATCAAGAGGAAGATAATGTTGTAAATGATTCAACAGGTAAGCCAACTATTGTGTGGGAGGAGGATAGAGATGAAAAAATGATTTTTAAACTGTCGGATGAGCTCAAGAAGAGAGCTTGGAAACCGTGGCATAAAGCTTGTTCTGTAAAACTTATGGGGAAGAGCCTCTCCTTATCCTTCATGAGAAAAAAGTTGGAGAACATATAGGCGAGAGAGGGCAGAATTTTTGTGACTGATTTGGAGAACAATTATTTCCTGGTAAGATTTGAAGACAAGAAAGATATGGACTATGCACTTACGGCAAGACCTTGGATCATCTTTGATCATTATCTTGCAATTAGGTCTTGGGAGCCGAACTTACAACCATACCACGCAGCGATCAACCAGATTATGGCTTGGGTTCGTCTTCCAGAATTCCTGATCGAGTATGTTAATACAGAATTGGTTAAAAGCATTGGAAACTGGCTTGGGAAGTTTATTAGAGTGGATGTCGCTACCACTTCACTTGCCAGAGGAAGATTTGCGAGATTGTGTGTTGAGCTGGACCTGAATAAGCCTCTCCAAGCAGAATATAAACTGGAAGGAAGGATTAAGAAGATGGAATATGAAAGACTACACCTCATCTATTATGGGTGTGGTAAATATGGTCATAGGATTGAAAATTATCCCAATAAAATTACTCATATAGTTGAGGAAGGAATGCAATAAGGAGAGAGATCGCAAGGAGTTGACGTGGAGAATACCAGATTTGGGCCTTGGATGCAGGCGACAAGGGGGAGGAAAAGTAAAGGGAACAATGTTTCTTGTGTTGAGGGGAAGAAAGTGAAGGATAGTCAATGGTTGGGATGGGAAATTTGTCCTGCACAGTAATAGCATTAAGTGCACGATAGTCGACACAAGATCGCCAAGTGTCGTCTTTCTTCTTCACCAATAAAACAAGTGAGCTCAAAGCATAGTGGTTGGGCTGTATAATTCCGAAATTCAACATGTCAGCCACCAATCTCTCAATTTTATTATTTTGATAATGCAGATAACGGTAAGGGCTCACTTGCACTGCTTAGAGTTGGGTAGCAGATTGATGTGATGGTTGTATGCACGATTAGGGGGTAGAGTAGATGGCTCCGCAAAAACATCAAAAAATTTGTGCAATAGGTGAGACAGGCTTAGAATAGGTGCGTGAGCAGTCTGTTTAGCATGGGCTTCATCAGGCTCAGTGGTAAAACACATCAAGCAAGAAGAAATGGAATCATGAACCATCAACTTGTGTAGCTGAGAGGAGCTGATGTGGGTTGGATTCAGAGGTCGATCTCCTTGTAGCAGAACCTGAGTATTGTTATGGAATAATGACATGGTTAAAACATAATAGTCTGTTATAATAAGACTCATTGTGGACAACCATTATACCTCCAAAATCATGTCTGCCCTTGCAATTCTATTACAAACAAATCAATTTGAAATAAATATGATTGAATGTCAACCAAAATTGTTTTACAAGAAGCAGAGCATAAAAGTGCATCATTGTTCCCCACTTTAACTTTGAAGGGAGTAATGGCATGTAAAGTTAAATGGAGATGTGAAGCCATACAAAGAGTGATAAAATTGTGGGTACTACCTCCATCCACTATAATTTGTACTGGCTGACCTGCTATTTTTCTTAGTAATCGAAATGAATTGGTAGAACGATGCCCAAATAAGGTATTGAATTTCATAGAGTATTTCTTGCGACGGTGCCTCTGATGCATCTGCAACTGGTTCAGGTGGTTGTTCCACTTCGACATCAAGGGGCTCATCATCGGTGCCTTCCAAATAAAGCAAAGCAGGTTAACCCTTGCACCTATGCCTAGGAACAAATCGTTCCTCATGCTGCGATCCTCTTTACTGTTTGGGCCTTAGTTTCTAGTCCAGCCCGTTACATTGGGGAACATAAATTTGTTGGTGAGACCAACATCCTACTTTGGTAAGACCCAATGTGGGGTCAGAGTCAAATCGAACCATAATACTTGAGCTAGTAAAGGTAAGTAGAAAGAGTAGCATTCTGACTAACATCTATATCTTTTGACTTAGTGATAAACACTCGATCTAACACTTAGTATCAGAGTCGAGGTTACAAGTTTGATTTCTCGGGATGACACTTTGCGAAAGACACGTGTTGGGGGGAAATTGTTGGTGAGGCCAACATCCTACCTTGACAAAATCGAGTGTGAGGTTAGAGTTAGAACAATTATAACTTTTGACCTAATGGTAAGCGCTGGATCCAACAAAACCAAATCATCCTTAAATAATCATGACATATTATGAGGCAGTCAATTTAATTGCAAGGAAACAATCAATCTAAGCCCACTTACTCAAAAACTTAAATTTTTGCAAATTCATCGTGAAAACAAGACCTAACATTCTCCCCCTTGATGATAATGACACCGTTATGAAACATTAGCAGCAATTTGTGCACGACCAACAAATCAACATATCAATAATCATTTCATATATTTTCAACAAGAATCATAGCTGACAGCAACTATAGTGCATTAAAAAGAAAAGATCAATAGTTAAGAGATGCTCTCCTTTAACCCTTGAATCCTCTCCCTTAATAGATATTTGTCCGATAGTATAGAAGACGTATGGTAGAATTTTATGCCAGTCTTTAAAATTAACAATTATTTTGGCGATGATATTTTACGTTTTTATTTTTATTTTTTTTACTGGTTCCACCGTGTCATTTATCCATGGTCTATAAGGAGAAGAATAGTGATTTTGAAGTAAGAATTTCTAATAAAGTTTTTCAACCTCCGCAGCGTTAAGATTTGGACCATTATATGTTTTTATCTTCTTTTGTAATCAATATCGGCTCATAATGTTGTTCTTCAAATTTCAGAAGAACACCTTCTCAGTGACATTGGCGAATGATACTGCGTATATCCACAAAAATGAATAAATTAATCGATACTACAATGAAGCAATGCCCATTAGTAGCCTTACGGTTTATAGGCCCGATCACATTTGTTCGCCACATCGACAATAATTATAGCGTTACCAAATTATGCAATTGACAAGGATTTACATTGATCCGATTGTAACACACTGAGCATTTGCGACATTTTGAAGCATATTCAATACAATTTTCCTCCATATAATTTTAAATATTTAATATAGTTAATACCCTTATATTTAATTTAATTTTTTTTATTATGTAAAGTTGTAAACTGATATCCCTCACACACAAAAAAGGTGCGAAAAAGTGTGTTGAGTATTTTTTTTATTTTATTTTATGAAAAAATCTATCTACTTAAATTATACACATTATTAAACGTTTACTCAATTTTATTATTTAATCTTACCTAGTTTTGCTTAACCTTTTACACGTTTACGTAATGATTTTACTATTTATAAAAAGTGTGTGAGCAAATATGTAGAAAGTACATGGTAATAATAGTTTTTAAAATTTTAAATATTGAATTAATTACCCCAAAGTTAATTAAAGAAAAAAGAAAACAATTGCAACAATAAAATAAAAACATCTATTTCAATTGACTCTCATCAATCGCGAAAGAAAGGGAATCAAAATAATAGTTTTTTAAATATTACCTTTTCATATTATTTCTACATAATTTTTAATTAAGAAAATATATATTTTAAAACACACTTTTTTTTTTATTAATAAAACGCACTCTTTTTAGTCAATGGGTATAACTAAATTTCTATTTTGCTAACAGGGGTTGTAGGTGGGGAAAGGATATAGAGAAATGAAGTGTACAAAAAAATAAATACATTCTTTTTTTTAATAAAAATATAAAAATCATTAATGTGCGAATAACCTTTTAAAAAAAAAGCACAATGTTTCCTCATGGGCTCAAGCACTTGGCATGCCAAAGTTATTGTTAACAACTTTGCTGTATTTGCATTTGCAGCAATGAATCATGACCCTCATAAAATAACACTCACAAAGAGAGAGAGAGTGTGTGTGGAAGGAGAGAAAGAAGAGTTAACAACATCCCCACCAAAATCCTAACATTAAAAAAAGAGACCAAACCCGACATTAAAAAAAAAAAAAAAAAAAAAACTAAGGCATATCATAGAGACCAAACTTTACATACAAGGAAGAAGGATTCACACTTTTAACTTACACAATATTAATTTCTTTTTTAGAGTTTTATCAGAAACTAAAAGTAAAGCAATCAAATATCACAGGTTGATTTTCAAGGCATTACTTGGTTAGCGTAACTATTCACCAGCGCCAAAGCATTGCTCGTGAACTTCTTCACCTTAGAGACGCGATCGCATACATCCGTTTTCAGGGAACCATTCGGTACGTCCTCGAACCCGTCCGTACAGGTCTCTTCCTCCGTTAACGCCGCGCTCATCCACGTCTGCACGTTGCTCATGCCGAACCGGAACGAACCGGACACCGAACCAGAACCGGCTCCTAGCAGGCGCATCTGCCTGAGCGAGTCGCGGATCTCGTCGACGGCGTTGTCGAGGTTGTCGGAGCAGTCGTGGAGGGCGGCGGAGACGGCGCGGGAGTCGTCGGCGGCGTAGTCAGCTTGGCGGGAGAGGTAGGAGGCGATGCGGTGAGCTTTTGAGAGCGTAACGGCGATGGCGACGCGAGCGAGGTGGGCGGGGCTCTGCTGAACGGCGCTGGCGTAGCGAGAGAGGGAGGAGAAGCACACGTCCGGGTACAGCGTGGTGTTGCAACTTGTGCGGATGAAACCGGTGTCGCCGTAACCGTAACCTTCGCCGGCGGTGGCTGTTGGGCGGAGATTGGAGAATGTTGATGTCAAGAATAGGAGGGAAAGGAGGAAATGGGTTTTCATGTTTGGCATTGGGATTTGCGTTTCGTGCTTGTTTTGTTGTGTGCGTAAGTGTCAGTGTATTAGTGAGAGTTTATGTAGGTATCAGATTTTGGGTGCCTTGCTTTATGCCTAATGTTTTCAGAATAATAACCAAAGTGCCATTATCCAAGGGAATAAGTAAGAATTTTATTATTAGGATTATTATTATTTGTTATGGGCCCATAATAGTAGCTTATATTTTAAAAGGTTCAAGGAAAATAATAGGAAAAAAAATAAAAAATAAATGAAATAATTCTTAAATGATACTCATCTAATACAACGACAATAGATCAAACATTGGGTCTCAAAAAAGTCATCATTTCGTACGAGAGATATTTTTTTTACAGGAAAAAAAAAGTCATAGATAATATGCCAGGATTTTTTTTATCTTGAGCAAGTTACAAAAAGATGTTTGATAGACCAAAATTTTTGTCAAAAATTATATTAATGCTATGTTTCGTGGATTGTAAAATATATGTGGGAATGTGAAAGAAAATTACAAAAGTACCCGTAGTGTTTGAAAATTTGTTTGAAACCTACTTTTTATGATAGGGTTGTATGTGTCCAAAGATTTTTAAATGTTCTTAGGCAAGATTCTTGGTTCTAGGATAAAAAAAATACCATCTTTTGAATTGCATTTTTTTTTGTTAATGTCCAGTTGAAAAAATTATGCATGGCAAGTATTTTATACCATTATTTTTTAACTTATCTTATACCAAACATGGTAAACATATTTTCTCCACTCCACTTTCCCAAGCATTCTATCAAAATCTTCATACCAAACACTAGGAGTGCTAAACGAGCCAGGGGCCTTACAGGGGCCTTTGGCTCGGCTCGTGAAGGCCTGAGCTTACATGTTTAAAATTGATTGTTGGAATCAGGCTTGAACTTCTATAAAAGCTCGTTTAATAAAAAGGCCTCGGGCTCCAATTCAAAAGCTCGGTCTTAGAGCCTCTCAGGCTGGCCTAATATATTAATTTTTATTTTATATTTTTTATACTACTTGTGATAGCCTTCTCTCTCTCCTCAATCCATTTCATCCCATTTTATTAATTAAACATACTTTCTGAATGATTTTGTTTTATATTATGTTGTTTGGATATACATTAAATTTATGAATATTTATGGAATTACTAGTGTTGTTGATTATATATTTTGTTTGGATAAAATTTTCTTTTCTTACTTTTTTTAAACATGCTAAACCAGGCTTTTATTTTTTATAAATAAGACAGGCCACAAGCTGAAATTATATTCATAACAGGTAACATGTTTGGTCAGGCTGACACATTTAAATACAGGCTTAATCTTTTAAGACCAAAACTCGGTTCGGCTCGGCCCGTTAACACCACTACCAAACACCCCCTTAAAAGTCCAGAATTCTATTACTTATGAGCAAACTAAATAAATAAGAGGTAAAGTCTACAAATATGATCATTATTACTCTCTATCATTACTTGTTGTCATTGTGTACACACCATCTCTTTGACTATTGATAAACCTTTAGTTTATCTTATTTTATAGACTAAATTAATATAAAATATCAAGTTAAATAAGTCAAAAACTAGGGTTTAATATAATAATCATGAACATTATCTGAATTTTGTTTAATTGAATCATCTTTGCTATTTTTAAGGGATTTGTTGACAAAAGGAGTCAAAGATGAAGATTGGATAGATAGAGATCACAACTAGAAGAGATGATAGAGGTAGATCAAAAACAAGATAGATTTGAGATCTTATCAAGTTGTTAGAGAGGAAGCTTAAGCCTCCATCATGAAGCTTAAGCCTCCTAAACAAGCAAATAGCCTCTGCCAATGGAAGCTTAAGCCCAAATAAGGAAGCTTAAGCCTCCAAAATACGCAAAAAGTCTCGGCCTATGGGCGCTTAAGCCCCAACTCAGGGCTTAAGCGCGCCACAAGAAGAAATTTTTGTCGCGAGGAGCGCGCTTAAGCGGCCTCCATCGCGCTTAAGCGCGCAACGCGAGTCAAAAATCACCATCCTAGCAAGCTTTAGCGCGCTGAAGCAAGCTTAAGCGCCCCAGAAACCCAACTTAGGCCCATACGAGGTATTCAACTAGGATACGAACTCTTGGCCAATAAATAACACATTTGGGGGTCAGAATACACAACTTTTACATTGCAAAACAACTCTTGGGTGCTTGGAGGCTGAAGGAACACGGAGAAACATCAGATTCATGTTCGTGAGCGGCGGAGACGGATCAACGTCAATTTTGCACTGGAGATATTGAAGATTCACCAATCATCCATGGAGTTTGGGGGAGCTTTTCTAGTTTCTTTTGTCCTTCATATTGTTATGTCTGGCTAGTTCTTTAAGTAGTTAGGGTTAGATGGAATTCAATCAATTTATTATGCTTTGAACAATTCGTTATGTTAATTTTCCTTTATATCATGAATGAAGTTATCTGTTTTTAATGCTTTATATAGGCTTGAATCTTATATATTGATCATAGGTAAATTCATGACAATAGGGATGTTGGTGTGTGATCCATATCTGATAACTTCATCGTAAACGTTATGATTCTAGGAATAGACATAGGGTTTGCGCAATCGTTAAGATTCTTGAACGTAATGCTTGCATGCTTGGGGAATAACCGGGGAACTAGGGTTCTTTCAAGTTTTTAAAGGTTTTCGGGTAACAAGGAATTGAGCTCTAATAACATGCGAAAGAATTGATTAGATTGATACTAAGGACGATTAACGTGAAGAAGGAATTCAAATGTAATAAAGAGATTGAAGGAAATCGAAACCCTGGCTACGTTTTTATTTACGTTAGTTAATTCAAATTTTTTACTTTCTTGTTTTCTTTTAATTATTGAGATTAATTAGTTTTGCTATTTAATATTTTAAATTCAAATCCTATTTCCAACTACAACATTGATTGTCCAACTTAAGTCGCGATAGTGAATTAGTGCTTGAGTATAATTCTCGTGGGAACGATCTCTTACTTAACACATTATATTACTTGTACGATCGGTGCACTTGCCGTGAGTAACAACAACTATGCCGTTATTTTTGTGCACAATGATTTGTTTACCTCAAAGGTATTTCTTTCATAAATACCTGAAAGAGCCCTGGATACAAGATCAATTCACTGGTCTTTAACTAGACACTTCTATTCCCAGAGATAGAACATTATTTTATTTTATTTTAAGTTGGTAAATAAGTACTAATTTATTCATGAATAATGTAAGGTTTGGAAGTAAGATCTCTTAATCATTCCCAATTAAGGGAAGATGATATTAGATCAAGGCATTAAGCAATTCATCAATCCGAGCAAGAGTGATCATCTAAGAGAGAACTATAATTGGGTGAAGAGTTTGAAAGATTATCATCCTCTTAAACTAATGTGAATTTCACCACATGCTGAGGGTGTTTCATTAAGTTAGGTGAGAAAAAATTTGTTATAAACCATCATATTAGTAGATAAGATGTTGAGTGCAACTTTCTAATGTAAAATTAAAGAGTGAAAATACTTTTGTAGTCATGTTAATGTTACACGGGAAGGGTGGAAGATTTGAGCCTTCAATCTCGTAATTTTTTCCCTTTGTTTTTGAGAGATCACATATATTATAAACATATTTACAAATCAGTCATATAAGATTAGAAGTCGAAGAAAAAGGGACATAAAGAGTGAGCAATAGAAGTTTGTTTGAACGTATATTAACATCCACCAATGTTCATGAATTATATACGAAGGTAGAGTCATCGATTCAAAAGAAGTTGTTTCGTAACAAAGTACACCCTGTGCGACAATTGGTGAAGCTGGAGTATAAGGATGGTCAAGCATTTAATCATTTTTAAGGGGCTCATGAATCAATTAACAAAATTTGATATTTACACTGATAATGACATGTAAATTCTTCCACTCCTCAGTTTCCTACTAAAAAAATTAGATCACATTGATCGTTACTTTAAACAACCTTACCCATAGAATACGTAAGAATTCCTTATAAAATCAAAAACTCATAAGCAATTTTTAATAAGAAAATAAAAAGTACTCAATAATACAAATGAGCTTTTATAAAAAGAAATATAAATGAAAAAGAAAAAAAATTACGTACTTATCACTTATCCATTTATTTCTTGTTGCTATGATCATAATTTAATATTAAAAAATCTATAACTATTTATTTAAGAAAAGAAATTCGAACTAAATAATATTTTTCAAAGCAAAATAACAGAAGGCATGACTAGTAATTGTAGACCAAATAGAATGGCATTTTGGGGGGATAAGCTGCTTTTTATAACAATAAATATAACAATTAACTACTTTATAGGTATTTACCAAAAATAAAATAAAAATTACTTTATAGGAGACCATGAATGTAAGTTTATCCCTTTGCTCGCATGCCTAATGCCCACTTTAATTTAGCGGCTAGTGCGTTAAAATACAAATGAAGGTCACTTCCCACTCGATAACGATATTAACGGTAGGCTAGCCAATTACAACCATTGCCTCTTCACATGCTCGGGGGTTAAAAGCACCACCCAAAATCTAGCGGGACGTGTAAGTGATGATTATGACTACAAGCTAAAAATAAAACCTACACTTATTTATATTAAGTAGTATTTTATATAAGGAGTTATTAATCTCATGTTGCTTGAGATAGTTTTTTCGTGTGTGGGAGATAAATATGTGAGGTCCATACTTTAAAACAAGGGAAAATTTCAAAAAATTCCTTACAAGTTTTTTCAAAATTACTTAACTCCCACTCCGAAATTTTTAATCATTTACCCCCTTATTCAATTTTTTTTTATCACTTACCCCCTAATTTGATTTTTCATCCAAAATTTTGTTAAATTTTTTAAAAGGTACCAAAATTACCCTTAATAGAAAAAAGAAAAACATAATTTTCTCACAAACTACTTTGTAACTAGTTTAATATGTCTTTTTAATTTAAGGGATGATTGGTTAATTTTAAGCTTGCAAACAATTGTTATAAATTTACGTTTAAAATATTCA